TATTATAAACAATACTAATTATTAGTTTAAAAGAATGTCAATATTCAATATTCTTAGTAAGACTAATTTATCTAGACTTGTTTTCAACATTCATAAAAAAAATAATTAAACTAAACTTGTAATTATTTCATAGCTTGAATTATTTATAGAAAAATTTGGTTGGAATACAATTATTTTAGCATGAAATAATAAAAATATAAATTAGAAAGACAATTAATCATGTCGACAAATCATGAAAATTATCATGGAAAATTCTCGTCTCGTAAGAGTCGTGGGTCAACAAGTGGTCAAATCTAATTACCCTGATGATAATTCAATGTATTTACGTATGTAGAGTAACATCATCAGGCACAAATGTTAGCGCAATTACAACAAGACTAATAGTTCTAACACATGATTAGTTTACAGTTGACTTGTATATAATACTTATTAAAATATTCATCATTTATGCATGTCAGTGAGACATTGAATATTTGGAATACAGAGTGGTCAATTGGCTGGACTATGTGTTAGTTAGAATAAGCATATTGCGTAATATATTTCTACACATCTAGTTCATCTGTCAATGTCACTATTGAACTACTCATCAAAAATTTCCATCTAAATGGATGTAATGAATGTGAAGACAAAAATATTGGACTCTAATTTGTTTTTTTTTTTTTATTTTCTAAGCTGAAAAAATCAGTGAATGCGTTGAAATAAAACTCAACTTGATGTGTAACTAAAAATAAAAGTAGTGCCTGGAGTATATCAGAGTATCTAGCTCTTGAGTTTTATGCATAATTTCTTCGTGAAGCTTTTCTGATTCTTCTATTTTTTTTTTTACAGCTAACTTATAGGATTTTCTCCCTCAAGCTCGACGGCCTGGTTACTACCAGAAAACACAAGGCATACATATATATATATATATATATAAACCAATTCCCAAGCGGTTTCTTGAAAGTACGATCGTTTTAATGAGATTCTTTCAGAGCATCAAGGGAATGCAAAAATCAAAAGAAACTCTTCTTCAGACATCTCACTTATAGAGAAAGAAAAAACTACTGAATATTTAATGTTTATTATCTATGATAGAAAGTAAATTAATAGAAAGACGAATAAGAAGAAAATTCAAGCTTTATGTATTTTATTTATATTGCAGAGGCTATGCAATAATCATAAGTTAAGTTTCTACATTTAGCGAATAAGCTAGCGTCTATAGACTTAACATCCTCCCTGACGTATTAAATTTCTAACGCGATGAATGATGACTGTGTCGACGACATTGACAAGCTTTAGGAACACTGGATTCAGTACGACATAGAATCTACGTGCATTATTCATCGGGTTGGTTCAGTAACGAACCACCACCAAGACAACTTTACTGATGAAAAGGATCATGATAATAATCCTGAAAAATAATCTGTTCAGATTTCTCATCTATCATACGTGATTTTTATTCAATATGTGTTCCATTTTTTGCTATTAGTTGATGCCAATGTAATTAAAAATCATCATCTTCATTACAGATTAGTAGAGAAAATATTCCATGTTTTTCATTCAATTGATACTGTTGCTGATGATGGATTCATTTTATTTTTCTTCAAACTTTAAAAATGTTTTTGAATTGAAAAACAGCAAGAGATTAAAATTGAAAGGAAAATAAAAGTAACGTGAATGATTGCAGCAAAAATAATTACTGAAAAATATCAATCAATAAGACCTTTTCAATTGCTAACGATCAAAGCTCTACACCAGTGATCAAACTGAGTGAAGAAAAATCTAATTAACTAGCAGGAAGAGTGTTATTTTTATTTTTTTATTCCTCTTTTATGTAATCTAGGTTTCAGAAGTTACTTTATGAAACAGTGTAAAATAGCATTCCCACTTTCAAAACAGCACAAAGACTATTCACAGCAATGATGACTACATAAACTACAGTATCTGCTATAACATAATGGCATCACAACTAAATTCCTCAAGAGCTTCTGAAACATGGGTGACATGAATTGCACGCGGTTCTCCTTAAACTAGAGATCCTCTATAGCATCTCAACATTCTCAAGCTTGAGCATATTACACATAGACTCTATTGTATATTTCATACATAGATAAGACGTATGGTTACCTGTTTGGAATGTTGCCTCAATCTTTTGTGGGTGTCAAGTGGATACATCTCTAGCTCATACTGTTGGCTAAGTCATTTGTTTAAGGTATATCGCCAACAGCGGAATATGGTCAGGTTTATATGCTAATAAACACTTCACATAATTTTAGGAGAAACTTAATTGAATTCACTAACAAACTAAACAATGCAATAGCAATATAACACAAATGAACTATTTTTAGAAACATTGTTAATAAAAACAATGGTTTGACAAATAAAAATTCACTAAAATTTTAAAACAATAAAAAAAAAAAACTCTATCAATTGTTATGTTTACTCATGAAATAAAACGAAGAATAAATTCTAAAGTTTTTCCATTTGATGAGTTGTGATTTTTTTATTTTGATTATTAATATTGGCAAACATTCATTAATTTAAATATATATAAATATATTTTTCTAATTTTATAATATTGTAAACAATGTTAAAAAGTTGTAGAAAGACTATTTAAATTTAAAAAAATATTTTCTTGAAATAACAAAAAAAGTTTTGACTCATTGTTGATTCCCTTTTTATTATTTTCCATTTAATATCTGACGTTAACATGACTAGAACTGGCCTTTGTTCTAACTCCTCATGTTCTACCTTCCTATTCTCTCTTCTCAAGTCTTTTATTCATCCTTGAACTCGCCCTTCATCCGCTCTGCTTTCTTCTATATATCGGATGCTCTTCAGTAACGAACGAAGCTGATTTTCCTGAGTCTTCCTTTTTTTTTCATTTGTTTAACGAACACTCACTTTTCCATCCGTTTACTCTGACTGCTCCTACCTTTTTCATTCATTTTCCTTTCTTTTTTTCCACCCATCTTTCGATCAAATTTTTTTACCTGCTCTGCTCGCACCCATCACTTGCAACTCTTCTTACTCTACTCTACCTTTCCAATGCACTCTCTACTCAACAAAAGTTTTGTCGCTTACAATCGAAAGTCGATATCAAACTAAAATCCCTGAACGCCTGTGGCAAACACTTTGAGCTATTCATTTTGTACTTGACTACAAGCCAGTCATTCGTTGAAAATTGTTTTACATTCGATAAAAATTGAGTTGAATATTAAATGCTGTTTTTAATTTCAGTGCTTTTTATAGTCTAAAGAAAAAATTTTTTTTCATTAAAAAAATGATTTTAAGTAGTATTAAGTGAATTTAGTCATACAAAAAATATTAAATTATCGACAGAGAAAGACTGTTTGATGAAAGAATTATTGAAAAAAGAAAAAATGTAAAAAGTGATAATGGTTTATTCTGCAAAATTTACCTAATTAAATTACGATCAGAATTTTAAATTCTTAAATCTACTTGATTATTTCCTACTTCAATCATGACTATTTTACTTCTACTTTTTTCTACAATTTAAACAATACAGCATAGAATATGATTCTTATTCATTAACGTTTATTTAGACCTGATTGAATTAACAATAAAAACTTTATGCAAAAATTTTCTAAAACTATTGAATATATGAATCCTGCAATTAGCATATATCAAAAGCAATAATGGCCAACTGAATTGGTTAATGTAGAGCACACGTGCAACCTATCTGGTTGCAAAACTTAGTCTAGCACTTGAAAGTGTGAAGAAGTTGTTTTACCAATCCTCTAGTCCAGTGGCAACAGGTAAGACAAACTTCACAATTTATATTCCATCTTTAGAATCTCCACAAATAAACAACAAAAAATTATTCACCATGTGGTTACTAAAATGATATAAAAGACATAAAATCCCCATTACGACTTATCAGATGACCGATAAAAATGTTGATGGCCATCCAGGCTCTTAAAGCTCCTTAAATATAAGTATCTCCACCGATAACCCGGGTTGTTATCATGAAAAATATATTTTTATAAAAATATCTACAAATAATTCGAATACAGAAAATGTTCAAGAAGCACATGTCGAACCAATTAATGATAAGACCACGATCCATGAACTTTCATCGCTACTAATTGTCACTGGAACATCTGTGCTATCCTGAAGCCAATCTAACTTGTTATCGTCTATCCATAAACTGTTCCAGCTGATACCATCGTCAGTATAGCACTAGACTGAACATTTCATTGTGATCTTGAACAGAGATTTTCATTTAAAAACTCCAAGTACCTTATTTCGATATAAATTATCTCCAATCAACTTTTTTGTTATCATTTTACAAAAAATAATTTAATTTTTTCTAACAATATTGATTTTTTTTTTTTTTTCTTTTATATAATCATCTTAGTAAACCATGACACTGATAATACTCAGCTATTGTTTCGCTATTAATTTATAGTGTTCAACGATAACACCTAAAGACACTTTCCATTTTCAGCACATTTATTCACACTCAGCAGGCGAAAACTGGTCAAGTGTTAAGGGTGTTCACAAGTTGAGAATCCTGTTAATTTCATTGAGTCAAAGAGAATTTATCTATCACATAAAATAGATCAAGGATATATAACTTGTGCCAAATGGGATTAAAGTAGATTTTTAGTTCAATCTATTTAAATTATTAGTCCATTTTTTTATTGATAAAAAAATTATTATGGTAACGATAGATTCTCGCATTAACATTATAGGAAGACTATACAATTATTCACAAAGTTTATAATACAATAAAAATTTAAAAATTTATGTACATATTACATGGAGTGTAAGTAAAAAATATTTACATTTATCCATTTACCATAGATTCTGAAGTAGACTTGAAGTAATATTATTCCATTTAAGTGATAATGGAGAATAATTACGTTCATAAAAGATTAAGTAATTAATTAGAAACGAATACATTGATGTCAATAGTCGATAACAAAAATTTTCAATCAATCAATTAATTTAAATATAATTTAATTCTAAACTTTTTTCATATTTAAGTAATTATATTTGTTAAAGTTAAAAACTCGAGTTTTTTGTAATTAATTTAAATAAAAGCAAATAGTTGTAAATTCAGTAATAATTTTATTATTATTAATCCTTTGAAAACGTTAATTGACTTGTACCTAGTTAAGAGGAAAATCGTGTTTTGGTGTAACCATTGAACATTTTATCCTTATTTTTAAGTACTTGTCTTTACGAAGTAAATTGAGATGATATTTATTTACTTTGATGTTTACTAAAATTCTTTTTGAATTAAAAAGAGGCCAAAGAGTTGCGAGGAGATTCAAAATGTAACTTAATGAAATAAAAAATATATCGTTCCATCGTTAAATATATTTTAATCTTACTAGAAACTATTTCCAGTAATAATGAGTACATAAATTGATGGTAACTCAAAAGTAGATTTTCCTAAGTTTTAAAGTCTTCAAAGGATTAAATGATAATTATTCAAAGCTCTGACGGATTAATTTCATATTTTATATATTCTATTATCAAGATAATTCAATGCATCCAGCAAATTAATAATTTCTCTTAAGAGCACATTGCTAGGTATATTCAGAAGTCAATATTATCCATTTAGTGAAGTACAATTAGTTGGAATATCTGTTTCGACTTCTTGTTTTGAACTTCTCCAACTTTTACTGTACCGAAAACGGCTCTTAGAAAGTTCATCTTGAATTTCCGTTAAAGATTTATTTTTTGTTTCTGGTACGCAAAATAAAATAAAAATGAAACCAATAAAACATGATCCTGAGAAGAAAAAATAAAGAAAATAAGTTCCCAATGATTTTTCAATTTTGGTATAAAAAGTTGATACTATAAACCCAAGTATTCCATCTGAAATAGTGATGCCTGCAGCAGCAATACTTTTAGCATTAGTTGGAAAAAGTTCTCCAATCATTGCATTTGGAAGTGTACCAAGTCCTATTTGATAGGCTATTTGGAATAAGACGATTACAATTAAGGGTAAAAGGTTGACGGCACTCACGTCAATGTTCCTTTGCGGCAGGTAGAGATAAATCGCTAGTATCAAGAGAGTTCCTGCACAGAGGAAACTCGATAACATTAAAAGTCTACGTCTTCCTGCTTTCTCAACTGTCATTGTTGCGACTGTGCCCGAGACTAAACCAACAGCAAAAACAATGATTGTCGCAGTATCTGCATCTATTCCAACATTTGCACGAATAAAAAGGCCCGTTAAAAATTGCATAGTTGTAAAATTACCACTTAATTGTTGGATAACAATCATCATAAAAACAATTAAAAATGCTACGGAATTATTATATGATAATAGTCTTTTAATTTTAAGTATCCAACTTTGTTCATGAGATCGGTATTCATTGATATTACTTAATATTATTGTCAATTCTTCATGTGCTCTTTCCATGTTGACGTTTTTAAAAAAAATAATTGCTTCAACTGCAGCATTTTTTTTGCCTTTCATTGCTAAGAAATGTGGACTTTCAGGAAACCACACGAATGATACAACAAATACTATGGGGATTATTAACAAAGCGATTCCTAAAGTTACATAGGAAACATACGGGCCAATGCTGCAAGTTATTAGAGAGCCAGTGAAAACATTGACAGCTATCAAAGTTCCTAAAGCTCCACGGATATTCGTGTCTGCAACTTCTGATACGTACATTGGATTTGTGGTATAAGACATTCCAACACTAATTCCAAGAATAGTTCTTGCAGTATAAAGAGCACTTACATTTTTTGCAAATATCACTGCAAGCCATCCGGTTGTGAAAAACCCACTAGAGCACAGTAAACAAAACTTTCTACCATATAGATCAGCCAGGCATGCGCCCAAAAATGAACCACACATTGAAGCAATTACTGTTAGAGACACAAGCCATGAAGCCTGGTCGTCGGTGATGGTCACAGGAACATCTGTGCCATTTTTAAGACGTTCCAGACTTGTTGTTGTCCATCCGTAAACTGTGCCAACTGCGACCATTGACAAAGTTGCTGTAAAAAAATAATTATCTCTACTTTTTCTGTTTTTCTTTCGAGTTTATTTCTTTTTTCTTTTCTCTACTAGAGAACCTTTTTGATTAATATTCATTTAACTGGACTTTTTCAGAGTTTCAAAGTTTTCTTTATCATATCAAAAGAACTATTCATGTTATCTTATCAAATTTATATAACTGATTAATAAGCATATGTCTTTAACATAACATATAAAAATTTTATCAAATCATACCAGTGATAGCAGCTAACCACTGTTTCCATTGCGACCAAACGTTCACTGATGTAGTTGAAGAAACCTTTGATCTCTGCTCCGGGTTATTGATCTAGAATATAAAAAACCAGGCAATGAATGAGTATGAAGAAATACCAAGACTAACAGATAAAATAAACCTAAATTTCTGAATGATGCAAGAGCTTAGGGAAATTAAAAATCTAGATAAAATTATGATGGACATTGGATTGGTTGATGGAGAAAGCATGCGTAGTAGCGTCATGTAAACATGCGTTGACATAACCTAACGTTTTACTGAAGTTTACATGATGAGTTAACAATTGATTAGTAGCAATAAAATCAATGAATGACACAACTTTTAAATCATAAATGATAAAGTTCTTACCAAAGCATCAGTTGTAGTAGTCATAATAGTAAATTAAATCGATCGAGATCTAGCGCGCGCGCAATCATCAGAATGATTTTGAAACTCAATTGATCAGAGCACATACAAAAGTATGAAAAAATATATTTATCAATTGTTTTATTATTATAGCTAATAATAAGCGTAAAATATCAATTAATTTTCTGCACTTTAGATAGTTACTACTAACGCGTTAGACGAACATGCGCGCGCAGTCTCTTCGTACTACTCTTGTGTATCAAAGATGTATTTATAATCACGCTTTCTCTCTTACTCAGCAAAACTCCTTTATAGCCAAGAATCACTAGTAAGTTTTTTAAAGCATATCGTGTACGCCTTTAACAACCGTCATATTGATTTACGATAAAAATAAGTTTCGAAAAATAAAATAAATAATTGACAATATAAAAATAGCTTGTGGTTTCTCACGGATATACAATTAAACTCACGTCTAGTAATACAGGGAAATTCTATCTTCTAATGATTAATTTTGAAAATTGAGAAATAATTTATTTATATATTATATTACAATATTATCCAATTAAATGAAGAATAATAAAAAAAAAATTACCAATAATTATTGAGAGTATAAAGAAGAGAAAAAATGTGACTTATCAATTAACTGTAATCATGAGAATGCTATAATCTGTATATTATCTGTAAACCTATAAAATTGTATGTAGAGTTAAATAAATAACGAATTTTACAATAATTGGATAATACTTAAACACTCTAAAGTTCATTTTTGTTTTCATACTTTTGACGATTATTCGTTTTCTCACACGTTTATCTACACTCTGTAATTGGCCAGAGTAAAAGAATGTTTATGATTATGACACAACAATTAACATTAACTTCAATCGTCTAAAACATACTTACTCCCCCCTTGCTATCAGCTCGTCTCATACAATTTTATTAACTAAGTTCATATTAATGAACATGTACCAACCGTGATAGTTAGATTGTATTGATAAAAATGTCAATATAATAACAGTAATTTGTAATTTTATTTTCAATTAAATTGATATGAATTTGTTATTATATTCCATTTTAAATATTAAAACTGTGATATTTTTTTTTATTATCATTCTTTTTTTTTTAGTTGTGATATTATAGTGGCATCAATTTCAATTATTTTCTGTAATTGATTCAATAATTTTCAGGTGAAAGCTCAAAGCTATATACCATGAACTCTAGTCCAACGTAAAATTATTCATAAAAATATAAATTCAGAAAAAAACAGGGTTTAATTAATTGTCAAGTTTTTGTAATAAAGAATAATTATTGAAATAAAATTTATCGAGTTATCTTTCATCTAATGAATAAACAAAAAAAAAATAAAATTTATTCTAAATGAAATGAAATGTTGAATGACAATAAAATTAATTAACACACCTGGGGAAAGTTCTGTAGTTCAATTGTGGTCATGATGATTCACTCAACAAACACATGTGGCTTTTTGCCAAATTTCGTGTGAAATAAAAGGTCATGAAAACGCCTTGTCAATTATTTATGTTGTATATAAACAAATGAATCTAGTTTGCAAACTGCACTGTCCATTCCATTTTATCGAGAGTTATCAATCAGCTTTGATCCCCCCCGCCAATGCAATTAAAAGCCACTTTACTTCCGTGAAATTAATCTTAATCGTATGTTGAAGGTAATTAATAAAGATTTAAACACTTGTGGGTTATTTTAGTGCAATAGGTAATCCCTGTTACATTAATTGCTAACAGACAAACGTTTGGAAAATAAAAGAAAAAAGAATTTAACGAAGTAGAAAACTGCCGCAGGATAAACGTGCAAGAAATCCCAAAGCAAGACTGACAAGCTGACAAACTGTCTTCGGTGTTATTTCAGACGTTGATAAATGTGTAAATGTAATTTAAAAAAAAAATCACACGGTTTTGTTATTTATTTTATTATTGTTATTCGCTTCAATTAAAGTTAATTTATGTAATTTTTTTATTATTTATTTCAAGAAACAAATAAGCACTGGAAAATACTGAATTATGATTATTTCAATGTACTTGATGATGATAAATGTTTCTTATTATTTGATCAACATTAAATATGAAATTGTATACGTAGTGTAAATGAAATCGTAGTTCCTCTTATCGCAAATATGCGAATTGCAGACCTGACAAAAAAAATGAAATATCTCTTAAGTGATATTAAGTGGAATAAGTCGGAACTTGGTGAGGAATTAAACAATAAATTTATTATTCATTGAGTAATAAAATTTCTTCTTCTTTATAGCACCAATAAGATTGCAGTAACGATCAATATATTAACTCCAGAAATCTATTTCTATAAAAATGTAAAATTTATTGCAGTACACTTTTATTTGATAATAATTTTAATGAGCTCTATAATTATTTTAATTAATAAATTAATTTTGATAGTTTCGGAAATGCTTTACTTGCGGTGTAATAATTATTTTTTATCCGTATATTAATAAATGTCTCTTTTCTAAATTGAAAGTAATTTAATCTACATATGTTTCATCGAATTATTTTAATCAGCTTTTTATTCATTATTGACGTTAAGCTTTTAGTCGACGATAAGCTATTGTAATTAGTTTGAAGACAAGTTTATGTAACAAATATTAAAGTCATCAATTAATAACTGAAAAATTGATTAATTATTTATGTGAACGGTTTGTTCAATTAATTAAAAAATAAAACATTTTTCAAATTTTAATTTTAGCGCGGATGTTGATAAAGCAGTCGGTAATGCTATCGACTGATTATTAGTTCGTAAATTTCCGTTCGGAGCGCCACTGACAAAATCGCAAACAAAATGGCCGCCAATGTGGAGAAAAAAATATTATTTATGGCATTTGAATGCTATTTTCTTTAAAATAAACGATTAGTTAAATGAAATGGTTGAATTTTAAATCAACATTTAACAGATAACTTTATTAAATAAGTTACTATACCGTAAAAATAAATATTACTTTCATTTGTTTGAGATAACAATCACTGTTGGCTGGAATTTTGGATATTTAGTTGTTAACCAATCAGATGTCAACCTTAGTTTGTGTTTAATATTGTTTACACTAATCGACCGCCAAATCTCATTGACAAACATAACTTGTATTCTCGAAGGTAATAAAATTTATCATAATTTTATATTTAAATGCAACTTATCGTTTTAAATTCAACACAATAATCAACACTGAGACATTCACTAGTAAGTTTTCACTTGATTATTATGATAATTTAAAAGTACCTTTTACTTTTACAGTTTCTGATTAATAATTGAACTGCTAATGTATTGCAATGTTTCGGAAACCACTTCGAACATATGAAAGAAATCCGAAACCAACATCTTCAATCGCGAATGTTGCATTTAATGATGTGGAATTGACTTTTAATCGTAATCCAAGTGATAATCGTAACTCATTAGAATCTACTTTTGACAGAATTCTAAAGACTGCCAAGTAAGTAAACACCTGAACAATTATTTAAATGATAAAAAGAGTCTTATCTATATTTAAATGCAGTTTTCTAGTAGTGAAGTTTTTTTTACATAATACGTAGATAAAATTATTTATCACTACGAGAAACATTAAGTAAATAAATATTTTTTTTGTCGCTAGATTACCACCATTACCTGTTCAACCACTTGACAATACAGAATATACCAGTAGTTCCTCTGATTTTTCTGACAATGAACCTTTGGAATTGATTCCAATAGAAAATCCCAGATTTTTTCAAGCCAAGGGTAATCGCATTAAACAGCCGAAAACAGTATTACGAAAAAATAATAATAAAAAGAAACTGCCTAAAAATACGAAGACATTAAAGAAAAAAGAATCTACTAAAAGGGATCACAATAACGATGAAGGAGCTAATGAAGGTATTGAATTTCCACCTTTGCGGAAAACTCGACGTGAAGAAAATAAGCCAACAGTTTCTGAAATTCTAGTTGACAAGTTACCTGATAAACTGGACAATTGTGGTACATCAGTTGTAACGAAAGATTTAAAAGACTGTTGTGTCATCTTGACACGAATGAATTTACATGACAAATATATTAATAATACTCCACTGTCACGTGCTTTTAGCACTAATAGTAGTGACAATGACAACAGCATTAAAATTAGCCATGATGAAAAAGAAATCTTAGATTCTAAGAAATGCCGAGTAATATTATCTCGGTTTGATTCGGAAACGGAACAAAATGATCTGCAATATAAAGATGCACTACAGCAACCAAAACCAGTAGAAGGTCAATCCACAAACTTGTTAAATGTCAATTCAAACGTTTTCAGTAGTACACCATTTGAACGACGAATTATGTCAAGGAGATCAATACCAACATTATCACCAATTAAAAATAACGTCAATATATCAGTTGGTAATGATCATCCAGCTGCGGTTTTATTTGACAAAACGAGCGAGATAATTTTCTCCGATGAAAATAGTCCGGAAAAAAATATTTCACAGAAAAGAAAAGTACCTAGGCTATCAAAAATAAAAGAGAAAATTACTGTAAGATCTAAGGAAAATAATGAACCTTCAACAAGCATGAAAACAATTAATATTGACGATTCAACACAAAATACTTTTTCACATTCTCTCTCTATGTATGAAAAAACTCCGAAAATAGTATTTGATGATTCTGAAGAGATTATTCCGGATACTTATGCTTCTGTTAATGTAACTGATAAAAAAGAAAATTCTCATGGTTCCAATGTTTCAAATAGTTTATCACTTAGTAATGATGCAGATGTTGAGACATCAAAACATAATGAAACATCAGTAATCAGCAGTGATGACTTTAATGGCAGTTCTGAAGTAAATTCTGAATTTAAATCAACACAATGTCTTGAAGAGATCTCAGCAGATTCTGAAGAAGACCCAAATACAGATAAGTCTAAAAATAACTACAGAAAAATTTCTATGGAATCTGAAATTGAAATGGAAAAAAATCAGAATTTGACAGAATTACAAAGCTCAATTAGTTCTACAAAAAATGAATCTAGTAATGATCCAGTGACTATGGATGTTTCAGAAAATGATGACGATTCGCTTCATTTAGTTCTGTCCAGTACATCATCTGATAAAGAGAGTACTAGAAATGACTCCACCAATATAGAGAAAAATCAAGACTCATCAAATAGTAACGTAATTAATGTAAACAATAGTGATATAGATAATAATCTTAATATACAAAAAGAAGACTGTAAAAATCCTGGAGAATTAGTTGTTCTTCTAACACGTCTAGATGATTCAGTAAAAATTCCTGAAAGTAGAATAACCCACAGGCACTGGAAACAACCTTTAAACGTAATTACTGAAAGTTTTGATAAATCTAAAAACTCAAATGTATCTCAAAATATAAGTGCGAGATTAGATGAGAATAAAATTCTCTTCCTTAAACCAGGAAAGTCATGGGCAAGATCTCTTTCCATTTTAAATAATATTCATAACACAGATGATATTGAATTTTTATCGTTAAGAAAAGGAAAAAAATGGAGACAAAGTGTTAGAAATGTACTTAGTATGCAATCTCAAGGTGAGTTAAATTCTCAGGAAGTTTTTTTTCCTCAATTATTATTGTTATATTAATGAAAAACAAATACTATGAGAGAATTCAATGAAGTTGGCTCACTTTGTTCAAGTTATTTTAAAACTATGTTTATGAATAAATGTTTACATTTTTTTAATATTTTTAATTTTGATAAGTAAATTTTTTTTTGAGAGTTTATTTGTATATTATTAATAACTTTTCATGTTTTTAATTCAACAATTTAAATGGGTAATTTAAGAAACTATTTAAAAACACGTATATATATATTTTCATCAACTTCACTTATTTTTATTCCAGGTTTACTTTCTAGTTGTGTACCAAATACTGAGATCAATAAAACATTCCATGAAACATCTCAATTATATGGGCCAAAGATTTCGCTATCAGCCAGCCATGGTGCAAATGACTCAGCCAACCGCTTTACTCGTCGCATGACAATTCGTGTCGTTCCTAATATCAAAAAAAATCAAGCTAAAGAAAAAGTTATCCATGACACATCATTTTTAGAAGTTTATGGTATAACTGATATCTTAACAGATGATATTAAAAAACGAACCAAAAAATCTATCTCAAGAGGTAAAATATATTTTCTTATATTGTAAATTTTTTGATAACATTTTTATTGATTTTTTTACAAGTAATTCTTGTATTTTAGTACCTAGAAAGACTCTCGGATATAATTTGAGGTGTTCAAATGTGCCTGAAAGAATTTCACCAGAACCAGTAATTTCTGCCAAAACTGTTGTTTTTGATCGATGTAATCAAAAAGATAGCATTCCTTTTGATCAATGTTATCCTGAATCGTGAGTTTTTATGACATATTCATGATTTTATCGTTTTTGCAAACAAAAATGATTAATTAATTCTTATTTAAGGTATTTGAAATACTGCCGTAAAATAGGAGAAGGAGTCTATGGTGAAGTCTTTTTATATGATCATCAAAAACAAAAATCTGTGATAAAAATAATTCCTATTGAAGGAACTGAACTCGTAAATGGAGAAACTCAAAAAAAATTTCATGAAATTTTATCTGAAATTATAATTGCAAAGTTAGTTGCCATTACTAAAGAATATGTTGAAATATTATTTTTTGTAATTATTCATTTTATTTTGATTTATTTCAGAGAGTTACATAATTTGAGGTTTAATGACACTTATAGAACAAATGGATTTGTCGAAGTAAAAAACATTAGGTGTATAAAAGGAAAATATCCACAAAAATTGTTAGATTTATGGCAAGTTTATGATGATGAAAAGAATTCAGAAAACGATTGTCCAAGTATGTTTGAAGAAAATCAACTTTATATTGCCTTAGAGCTTGGCGATGGAGGACAAGATATGGAAGCTTTTCTGTTTAATAATGCTAATGAAGCATACATTACATTTTTACAGGTAATATCAAATATTTCAAAAATTCCAATTTCTATCAATGTATGTATCATTCTTAATATTTCAGACTGCTTTAACTCTCGCAGTTGGTGAGAGATCTTTAGAATTCGAACATCGAGACATGCACTGGGGAAATATTTTAATTTCTCGAACAAAAGAAAAAGAAGTTTCGTATAAGCTTGACAATGAAGAAATAACACTTGCGTGTAATGGTATTAAAGTATGTTGACTTTAATTTATTGTATAAATTTTTCAGTTCAGTGTAACAATATTTAAACAAAATATCATTTAGGTTGCAATCATTGATTTTACATTATCCCGAATGTCATATGAAGGATGCTGTATATTTAATGATTTAGCATTGGATCCTGCTTTATTTAATGCAGCTGGGGAATATCAGTTTGAAATATACCGATTGATGAGAGCCAAAATAGGGTAAGTAATAAATATCATTTAATTACGAATTATTATTTTGACTATCAAAAATGCCGAATGCATAACATCTATAGTCACAATAATCAATTATTTATTGCTCATAAAAAATTATAGAAATGATTGGCAATTATTCGAACCGTATACAAATATTCTCTGGCTCCATTATACTCTCGATAAAATGATAAAAGAAGTGCGATACAAAAAAAAGACAACTAAAATACACAGAACTGCAATTCAAAATCTCCAGGAGTTAAAAGATATTATTCTAGATTATAACAGTGCCTTTGATTTTATATCAAACTGTGACAAATTATTAAATCTTCAGCGCAGGTGCTCAAATAATTAGTTAATATTATTTTTATAGAAATATTCATTATATTATATAACATTGTATGAATTAATTACTGTTAATAATTTTATTACACTCAACGTCCACATTAGATGTAAAATATACAGCTGATAAATGATTTTTATCAATGCAATATCAGCAAATTAAGTATAATATTTCTTTAGAAAAAATGTATTATTGTTTTTATTTTAAAATAATTTTCGAACCTAGAAGGTTATAAAAGATTATTAAAAATAATTTGTTTAAAATATGTTAATAAACATCAAACTTATATGTATTTAACTACACATAAACTTTTTAAAAGTGAAAAAAATACCATCACAATAAAACATATGTTAATTACATGTATCCAATCCTACTAGAATCATCTTTTCAATGATGGTTTGATAGGAGCTGAGTCTATATATTTGAAAATAATTTTTGGTGGTGTTTTTCCATCAAGAATATCTTTTTCATGAACGATTTGTAGAGGTTGAGGAATTCCATATAAAGATACATTATAATATCTCTGTTTATAAGTATCGACTGGATTACGTGCAATGCGTAACTCTCCTTCAATTTGATATATTTTGACATCAACATTGCATTGATTTAAAACTCCTGATTTGAACATTCTATTTAATATCTAATAAAGTTGATAAATTTTTCAAAAGTATTCAATCAAAGTAGTTAGCTTATACTATTAAGTATTAAGTTTTATACTCTTGCAGTTATACAGCTAACACGATTCCCAAATATTCGTAAATCTCTCATACAAGTACTCTTTTTTAATGTATATAAAATATTTGCCATTCCATCATCACTAATGTTATTATATGAAATATCTAAAAGCCGGACTCTTGAATAAGGCAAAGCAAAACTTAATTCTCTAAAATTTAGATAAACCATTTATTAAAATAGCTAAAACTAATTATGATAAATTATTTTTTGAAAGATAAAATTATACCTTGCTCCATCGTTTGTAATAATATTATGGCAAAGAATGATACCAGCCAGTATAGGTCTCTGGTGAAGCCAATTACATAAATATTTTATTCCATGATCACCTATATTATTGCAACCAAGATCAAGCAAGTGTAGAGTTTTATTATATTTCCCTTCAACACACATAGATTCTATATCGTGGCAAGAAAAATTACATTTTTGCAGATGTAATTCTGTCAAAGATGTATTTACCTGTATTAATTCGTGAAAAAAATCAACTTATCATTCGTGTTTTTAATTCGATAATAGGAATAACATATAATGAAAATACTTTTAACATTGCCCCTATTAATGTGGCAAAATGAAAACTGTCAAATGTCTGCATAAAATCAGGTAAAGGTCTACTAAGATCCAATACTTTTAGAGTATTATTAAAATTATTTTGATCTGGTCTTAGTACAGTGATAAAATAAATTAGACTTGATAATGTTTGATCCACTTCAGCAACATCAAGATGCTCTATATAAGGATTATTTAATAACATCAAGGCAATCTTTTTAGCTGACTAAAACACAACGTTGTAATAAATAAAAAAGCAATTTATCAGCTGATTGAATTATTTACTTTAGTTCTAAATTTATTTCCATTGAGCCTTAAACTCTTGAACTTTAATTTAGATCCATTCTTACATAATTCTTCAATCCCTAGAACTCCAATTTCATTATTTTGCATATTCAAATCTACAATTTGGTCATTTGTCTAATAATTTAATTCAATATAAATGAATATATTAAAGTTAAAAGGAAGCTTGTTATGCTTTTGTTTTAATGTTTAATATTTACAATTATGTAGTCAATGATATCAATGAATCCTTCACAGTGAATATTGTTATAAGCTAAACTAATACATTTAACGTCAGGATTAGTTTTTAAAAAAGAAATTAAATTTTCAATATCGTTGTCATCCAATCGTCGCCTACATGATTAAATTCATAAATTAAAATGAAAATTAAACTTAAAATGAATCGAAAAAATTTTTTATAAAGTAATACTAAATTATATACCCAATTTGAGGATACAAATCATTGCCATTCAAAATTAATTCTCGAGTTTGATCAAATTTTTCGATACAGAAACATGCAAAAAATAAATCATTCAACTCTTTCATTTCAAAACTTGTAATTAATTTCAACTATTAAACGTGTCTAATTCATTAAAATTTTTAGTAAGATATTTATATTCAACTGTTATGTATCCTATTATCTGAAGTGAATAATGGATTAAAATTCTTTACATATATAATTTATTCAAATCAGTTTGAAACAAGGAATGCTAAGTTCTGGGCCATCTAAACAAACTAAAATTCCACCTATAGTTGTTCCATTAATAGAAATGTTTGAAGGTAAAATGATTTATGAGAAATGCTTAAAATAGAATATTATCATTAAGTTAATAATTTAATTACTAGCGTACTGCGATTTGGATTTGCTAGCTGACATAGTTGATGCAGATTTACTTCCATTCTCTCAATTAAAAAAATGGTTTATGAAAGCTAAAGTTATTGACATGTCACGGGTTACTATAACTGATGCTTTCCTATGCTTTTTTCAATTTAAAAAACGAGCCATTTCGTACGAAGAATTTCTTGCTTACTTAGAAGATTTAGCGGAAGCAAAAGAATTAAATCTGAAAGAAATTAAACATAAATTACAAACTTGTGGAAAGCCAATTGCACCTCGTCATAATAATTAAAAATGAAATAGAAATAATAAATAATCGTTTAATTTAACGAGTCAATTTTATTTTCGTATATACAAGCATATTGAATAATTTTACAATGAATCCAATATCTTCTATGCATCACCATTGATTCTATTCATAATCATATTTACATTTTTTTTAATTATTTGAAATTATATCAATCTTGTATTTTCATATAGTCGTTTTTTCTTTTTATCAACATTCCTAACTTGCTATAAAAATACTTTCATTCTTTTAATATTATCAGAACGTAATTTTCACTCATTGCTATGCAAGATATTGTGTAGAAGAGTGAAGATGAATATTAATTAATCCATCGCATCAGAAAGTTTTATTAATGATGTTTAAGTTGATTAATAAATATACCTGATTTTATTTGAAGATAGAAAAATATTTTTAAATCCCCTTTAGTATGTTTTTCCCCCTCTAGCGCATATAATAGACCGACTGTATTTAAAAACGTAATACAGGTATACCAATTGAGCTTAAAAATAAATTAACATTGACAGAAACTAAATAAAATATATAACATTAATTGAAATTTTACCAAACTATTTTTTAAAGATAACAAAAACCTCTAAGCGCCTTGAGATACTGTATTTTTATAAATCCATCTTAATCCTTCTTGAACATTATAGAGACTGACTCTACCCAGAAAATTTGCAATCAGTTGATACTCAGGCATCGTACGTCTACCATTGCCACGTGTTGATATCATTCTCTGATAATTATTACGTTGAGACTGTTTGGAAGTATCAGAGGTCGTAGTCGATTGGAGTATTTCGAATTCTCGCCCTTCGCAGAGTACTTTAGTAGTTAAACATAAAAGCCATTGGAGAATTTCATCACTAGAAGGTTTTTTATTTTTATGAAGCCATGAACTTGGAGCCCATAAGTACAATTGTATCACAGTAGCTGCCATTTCTGCAGTTAAACGCTAAAAAAATGAATAAATTTTAAATAATAAGTCATTTACAATTAATTGAGATTGATTTACTTACTTTGTATAAGTTTCGGCTCAAAATGTTTTTGACAAGTGAAGAAATAATGGAAGGAGTATTCTCCGGGAGTGCAGGAAGTTCATCGTCAGAATAATTATAATTTCTTAACGTTGCTGATTTATGATTTTTCCCACCATAAAATGGATTCTCAGCTCCAAAGATTTCATACGCAATTGTTCCTGCAGTCCATAAGTCAGCTTTGGTGTAATTAATACTTGTAAATGGGCCAGGTTCAGCTGTAACAACTTCTGGAGCCATTAATGCTGCATTGCCACCTTTATCAACATCATGAGAATTATAAGGAAGATAAAGACCATGATGTTTATCTGCTAAACAACAACCAAAGTCACTGATAACTAAAGATGGACAATTTTCTGATTCTTCTGATACGTCTAGAAGAATATTGTCACTCTTGAGGTCTCTATCAAATAGAATATGTTGATAAAATATTAAGGTTATTATTGAATAAATATTTTATCTTGAGAATCGTTTTAAAATAGAACCATTTACCTGTGCGCTATTTCATGAATATTCATGTGTGCAATACCCTCCAACAACTGGGCAAATAATAAAATTGATTCTTGAATATTTACTGGATGATCGATCATATATTGTTTCAACGTAGTATCATACCTGTAAATAATTGAAATATTAATGATAGATACAAATTATTAACATTAATTAAAATATTTTCAAACAACATAGAAAACATACCTTTTCATTAGCAAAAATAAACTCATATTTCTTCCAGAACCTTCTGGATTAAGACGGGTAGGTAAAGCATCAGGATACATTACTGACGAACCAGGTAGATAAGGAATTCGATCAGCAAAGACATGATACATAGCCACAATATTGGGATGCGGAGGTAAAATCCGTTTGTTATCAGCCATTCGTTGTTCCCAATCAGCTAATTCTGATCGATCATATTTTCTAGCTGGCACTGTTTCGCGATACATTGCTCTGATAATTGACATTGCATTTGATTCAGCATCATAATTAAACATCATTTTTACAACCAAAGGAAATGATGATAAATCTTTGCTCTGGGTAATAACTGGACCTTCACTAGAGTTATTATCAGATGATTCCTTAATCCGAGCTGCATAAACTACTGCAGAACACCCTTTAGCTATTGGTGGACCAACAACTAAATCTTTCAGACTTACTGTTTCTTTCTCAACTTCATTTGTTTCATAGTTTTGATCATTTTGAGGTTTCATCCACTGTAGTTTTGATACAGCCTCTCTAATCTCCCAACATACTCCCTCCAATTCTTCATCTTTAGTTAAGATACCTGTTCCTGAAGCCAAAGAAACACCAACAAGCGCAAAAAATGGTGCAGAATCACCACCAAGTAAACGACTAGCTGCTTTTCTTCTTAAATCACCAGCAAGGCTGTTTGTGACTCTTCTTAAGATATTGTCAACAAATAGCCTTCGTGCTTGAGCTCCAAGATAAGCAAGATGGGTTCTAGCATGAGTGACATTGCTACTGCCCTGAGGCAGCTGGCTCAGGGGTTTGCCTAAAATTATTAATAAACATTTATAAGCACAATATTCAAACAAAAATAGTTAATTTGGATAACAGGAAAATTATCATCTTAATTCATCAATATCAACTTTAAAAATATGTGACTCATTCATTGTTGTTTAAATAAATATGACGTTGAATAATGGAATAATACATAAAAATAACTTTGAAGGATATGACTAATATTGGAATGAACAAAAATTTTATTGTTAAAAATTGAAATAAAGTAAAAAAAATTAATTGATCGTATGACGAACTTACCTACTGGAACAACGTGTATTTTGTCGAGTTGACCTTTTGCATAGGAGCCTGAATAATATTGCTCGTTATTTCGGAGCGATCGTAAAACAACTCGACCATTTTGCAATAGACGTTGTGCGATTATCCTAATCGACATGTCTGAATGCTCTTGGGCCGGGAGTGCCCAACGGGCAAGCCCTAATTCGAAGAATAATCCCTTCACGGCGTAGAAAAATATTATTCGATCAAACGCAAAATTTCCACTGACTTTTGTGAATGGCATATAAAATGCGCACTAACAACGATGCATATTACTCTGTTCAAGGAATTCCCGTTGTTATCAACACAGTCACAAATTTTGATAAATGTTTCCAATCATTGTCACTAGTAGAAAAATAACCTAACATTAAAGGCCTTCACACAATTAAATGGAATAGAAATAAAGAGTTCAACATAAATGAGAATTCCGTAGATGAGATAGGAATGTAAGGTTTTCTCTCAACAGTCGTCATTTTTGGAGCAACTCAACGCGAGCCAAAATTTCAAAATTGATGTAATACCATGCATCATTTTAGCAACAATTGATTAGGTTAAATTTTGTATAAAATGCCTGCAGTTTGTCACGCGAAAGGCTGTAAACATCAAGCAAAGGATAAACTTCGTTTATTTAAATTCCCTGCTAATCAAGAAAGAAGAGAAATATGGAGGAGAAATTGTGGTAGAGACAATGCTCCTCAGCATGCCAGGTTATGTGAGGTATATAACTTTTATTATTCCTTAATATTATTTTCTACAATGAATAAATAAAAAGTTTCATCATTTCTGAATAAAAAAAAATACTTACGTTTTTTAGTATCACTTTGATGATTCTCAATTTGAACAGAACCGGCAAGATGGGTGGCGTAAATTAAAACCAAATGCAGTACCAACAATCTTCCACCATTATTTATCAGCTTCCAATCAAGTTAATAAACCATTTGATGATGGAGTACAAATAATAAGTAAATAATTTTTTAAACAACAATTTAGTATTAATGAAAGCATGAAATACAGCATAATGTTAAATGATTAAATTCTACTTCTTTTCATGTATTTATCTATGAAGAGGCAGAGAAGATTGAAGTAAAGCAAGAGACAGATATTGAAAATGATACCATTTATCTTCATTCGGCAGATGACCTTAACATAAGTAGATTTTATTTTCTATTTACATTATAATTCACCATTACAATATCTCTAATTGACTTTATTTTATAGATATAATTGAATCAGGAATCACGGTACAATCATCCAATTCCATTAATCAATTAAATATAATTAAACACTTGGAAATGGAATTAAAACAACTGACTGCCAAAAATGAACAATTAAAGAAAGATAATGCTTTGCTAAGAATTGATAATAAACAATTAAAACATCAGCTATTGGCTAAGTCAAAGAGTCTGAAATCATTAAGGAATATAATGGATAAAATACCAGTTTTAAAACAATCTTTAGAAGGGTTTAATAATATCACTCGTAAATGGTCATCAGAATGTTTAAAGTTTGCGTTACGAATTAGATACGCGGGTACTTATAGTAGAATTTTTTTAAATATATTTATGTATCGAAAGTTAATTTGTTTAATAGTATTTATGTTTTTTAGTTGGTTGGAAATCGTATATATATTTGCAAAAAAAACTAGGAATTCCATTACCATCATATTCGACTATGTGTCGACATCGTAACCAAATTAACCTCACACCAGATATGTCAAAAGATATGGCGTTTTTTATGGACGCAAGAAAAAAACATCACCTCTCTGTAAGGAAGGCAAAAACGAAAATGAAAAAAAAATTCCTTCCGCCTCTAAAAGTGCAAAAAGACACTCAATAAATGACTAAACATATACATATATATATTAATAAATAAATAAGCAGATATCGTAATGTACAGTAATTATTACTTTATTTATTTATATTTTTATTGCTCGTTGATAATTAATAAAGTTAAGTATTTTTTGAAGGAAATAAAACTAGAATAATTATTGAGAGCTTTCAAAATCGTAGATAGATGATGATAAAAATTATGATATTTTTAAAAACTGATCGTTAGTATAATAAGAAAAATGAGATTATAGAAAAATTAACTGATTGTAGAATCTCATTTAACCATGACTAAATAGAGAGAAACAGTTGCAGAAATCTATTTTCTCTTTTTCGTCTATAGATCATGATCCGAGCAAAATTTATGCGAAAATTATAGCAATTTCCGGTTCTTCCTTATATTAAGGGTCGCTTAAGGATCGAGAAATTTATTTTCAATATGTTCCAATACCACATTTCAAACCATCGAGATGAAGAAAATAAATAATGGAACGGCGAAATCAGGCCACTTCCATTTTTCGGAAAAAAAGGGGTAGAAAAACCAAATACCTCTGATTGAAAAGATCGATCACTTATAATCGGTTTAACGACGTCTGAAAATGTGGTATCAGGTCAAAAATACAAAAAAATTTATTCAGAAACTTTTGGAACAAGGTAAAACCGGAAATGGCCATAATTCTGGCATAAATTATGTTCGGATCATAATTTTGACTAGTGCAATAGAAAGCTCTTGCTCTCAGGAATCTATTGACATGCTTGTGGTCCATGTTCCTCTTTTAGATCGTGAGTTATCGGCGAAAAATGAAGCTATGCTGCAATAAAACATATAAAAATGTTTAAACGCTCATAACTCGAAAACTAAGCGAGATACGGCATTTTTGACGGGGATATCCTATAGGGGGGATCAAATTTTATACTTAGGTCCAGATCTTTCATATGAGCCCTCGATCAACCCCGTAGCATCATTGGCATAGAAGTTATGCACATTTTTATGTTTTATAGATTTTCCGGAATATCTGCTGATTTTACCAACCAAATATAATCAATAGCCAGTGTTTGGAAACCGTCTCATCCCCCTCTTTCCAATGACATCCTTAATTTCATGATCCAAGCATAAATACGGTTTTTTTCCATTTTTTAAGGTTAGAAAAGAAAATTCTTCAACTTTGATGATTGGAGGATCTTCCGTACGTTTCGGTGCTCTGAAATTCAACCTTAAATTTCAATTCATTCTAAAACTCGTAGAAATGAAAATGGAGGTAAAACCGGAAATGGCCATAATTTTGGCATAAATTATGCTAAGATCATAATTTTGACTAGTGCATTGGAAAGCTCTTGCTCTCAGGAATCTATTGATATGCTTGTTGTCCATGTGCCTCTCATAGATCGTGAGTTATCGGCGAAAAATGAAGCTATGCTGCAATAAAACATATAAAAATGTTTAAACGCTCATAACTCGAAAACTAAGCGAGATACGGCATTTTTGACGGGGATATCCTATAGGGGGGATCAAATTTTATACTTAGGTCCAGATCTTTCATATGAGCCCTCGATCAACCCCGTAGCATCATTGGCATAGAAGTTATGCACATTTTTATGTTTTATAGATTTTCCGGAATATCTGCTGATTTTACCAACCAAATATAATCAATAGCCAGTGTTTGGAAACCGTCTCATCCCCCTCTTTCCAATGACATCCTTAATTTCATGATCCAAGCATAAATACGGTTTTTTCCATTTTTTAAGGTTAGAAAAGAAAATTCTTCAACGTTGATGATTGGAGGATCTTCCGTACGTTTCGGTGCTCTGAAATTCAACCTTAAATTTCAATTCATTCTAAAACTCGTAGAAATGAAAATGGAGGTAAAACCGGAAATGGCCATAATTTTGGCATAAATTATGCTAAGATCATAATTTTGACTAGTGCATTGGAAAGCTCTTGCTCTCAGGAATCTATTGATATGCTTGTTGTCCATGTGCCTCTCATAGATCGTGAGTTATCGGCGAAAAATGAAGCTATGCTGCAATAAAACATATAAAAATGTTTAAACGCTCATAACTCGAAAACTAAGCGAGATACGGCATTTTTGACGGGGATATCCTATAGGGGGGATCAAATTTTATACTTAGGTCCAGATCTTTCATATGAGCCCTCGATCAACCCCGTAGCATCATTGGCATAGAAGTTATGCACATTTTTATGTTTTATAGATTTTCCGGAATATCTGCTGATTTTACCAACCAAATATAATCAATAGCCAGTGTTTGGAAACCGTCTCATCCCCCTCTTTCCAATGACATCCTTAATTTCATGATCCAAGCATAAATACGGTTTTTTCCATTTTTTAAGGTTAGAAAAGAAAATTCTTCAACTTTGATGATTGGAGGATCTTCCGTACGTTTCGGTGCTCTGAAATGCGGAATTTAGTCCTACCCGTCAAACGTGTATTTCAACCTCTTTAATGACGGACGAAACTTTGGAGATTAATAACTTGAAAAAAGTAGGTCCAAAAATGCTTTTTCGGGTTGTTTTGGCAACTTCAGAATCTGAGCTAAGCATACATATTTATGAAAAATGTTTGAAAAAATTCCTCAACTCTTAAATTTACTAAAATAATTAATAAAATCCTTTACAAATCGTGAATTTTTTTTTATTTCCTTGACATAACGGGTGAAGGAATTGTAAACATTTCTTATAGATATATATGTTTAGCTCAGATCAGAATTTTTTAAATATTTCCGAACCATTACAATCGGACAATTCTTCTACAAGTTATAGACGTCAAAAGTCAGGGGAAAGGTCAACGATCACCCTTCCCCTGCATTTTAACCTCTGTAACCTGTGAAAAAATTGTGCAAATTATATATAGCAATTTCCAGTTTTATTTTGTGTCAAGAGATACGGGGAATCAGTCGCCTCCGTGACTTCAGCCTAGCTCTAAAATGTCGGAAATTATTCTCTTGAAATACATTGCGCGAGATGGCGTGGCTGTTCTTTTGTTTTAGTTCGATTGCAGCGATACATGTGGTAATGAGAAGAAATTTAGTCAACAACATGGCGTTGTAAACAGTGTAAATATGATAATTTACTAATAATTTACAAAATAATCAAATAATCATTTGAAATTAATTTTTTCATTGTTGTTTTATCAAATTAATTTTTGTTAGATTATATAAAAAGTCTCTGGTATTTATTATTCATAACGACAGGTAATGAGTGTGTTCAAAAGGACAAAAATTTCAAAGAACCTATATCAGATTTCTCAGACTATTCTAGACGAAAGAGGTTCATAAGAAATCATTTATTAAATAAATAAAAGTGCTTAATTTGTCAATATTAATGATAAATTGAAAAATGTCTTCTGATGAGCCAAATAGAACAGCTGCTATGCCAACAGAAGAAGCAGGACAATCTGTCAGCAGTACATCACATAACTCAGGATCTACAAGTACTGATACAAATTCACCACGTCCTCCAGATCAAGCCAGTCGTCAAAATAATCTTCAGCGTATTCAGCAACGTAAACAACATGTATTCAATTGGCCACAAGTAAAAAAGTTATTGAAATTAGCCAACTATAGTGCTTGTCAAGTGAAAGAATGTAAATGTAATGGTTGGAAAAATACACAATTTCTAGTTAAATCACCAAAAAATGAAGCACAACAGTCAGTAGCTAATTTTACTGATCCTTGTAGAAGTTGTACACATACTTTAGAGAACCATATAAGTCATTTACCTAAACAAAATGATGAAGAAATCAATAAACTCCTTGGAATGGTAGTTGATGTTGATAACATCTTTATGGGAATGCATAGAGAGGAAGATCCTGATACAAAAAGAGTATATTATTATTTATTCAAGCTTTTAAGGAAATGTATTTTATCGATGACAAAGCCCACAATTGAAGGACCACTTGGGCAACCACCTTTCGAAAGACCTAGTATTGCAAAAGCAATAACAAATTTTGTTTTATATAAATTTGGACACTTAACTCAAAGAGAATGGCAGGCGATGTATGATTTAGCTAAAATGTTTCTCAATTGTCTCAATCATTGGAATTTTGAAACTCCAAGTGCAAGAAAAACAGCAGTTAATGCTGATGAAGCACCTGCTTATAAAATTAATTACACTCGATGGCTTGTTTTTTGTCATATTCCTGCTTTCTGTGATTCTTTACCACATTATGATACTACACTTGTTTTTGGAAGAACAATGCTCCAAGCAGTATTTAAAACAGTCTGTCGACAATTAATGGATAAATGTCATAGTGAAAAAGATAGAATGTCACCAGATAAAAGAGTCTTAGTATTAACACATTTCCCTAAATTTTTATCAATGCTTGAAGTCGAAATTTATTCAGACAACTCACCTATTTGGGATCCTGAATTTAAACAAGTGCCACCATCTCATCTCCATGTGACCATTGAATCGAAAGGAGCTAATGCTCGACGGACAGGAGAATTTGAAAAAGTTACAGTAACTCCCAACGAGAAAGATAATTATACAACAATAAATATAAGTCCGGGAGTTAAGAGAATCAATGAAAGAAGATCTCATGCTGAAGGACGTAGTGAAAGTAAAAGAAAAAAGGTAGAAGAGGTTTTTGAAGATCTTCCAGAAGAAACAGTAGCTGAAATAGTTGCTACCATCAATGATCCCAACTATATGTGTGGTCCTGATGCCGTTTTTCCCCCGAATGTTCCCAGAGATGAAACAGCAAAATTAGAGGAAGCTAAGAAAATTATTGAATTCCATGTAATTGGGAATAGTCTTACTCAACCTGTCTCTAAACAAACGATGCTCTGGTTGATTGGATTACATAATGTGTTCAGCCATCAACTACCAAGAATGCCAAAAGAATACATTTCTCAGCTAGTTTTTGATCCAAAGCATAAAACATTAGCTCTAATAAAAGACGGAAGACCTATTGGAGGTATTTGTTTCCGAATGTTTGCCACTCAAGGTTTTACAGAAATAGTTTTTTGTGCTGTGACAAGTCAAGAACAAGTTAAAGGATATGGAACTCATTTAATGAATATGCTAAAAGACTATCACATAAAAAATAATATTCTTCATTTCTTGACTTTTGCTGATGAATTCGCAATTGGTTATTTCAAGAAACAAGGTTTTAGTAAAGATATTAAATTACCTCGAGCTATTTATCAGGGATATATCAAAGATTATGAAGGAGCGACTCTTATGCATTGTGAACTTAATTCTAAAATAGTTTATACTGAATTTACAGCAGTGATTAGGAAGCAAAAAGAAATCGTAAAGAAACTGATTCAACAAAGGCAGCAGGAAATACAAAAAGTTCATCCAGGTTTAACGTGTTTCAAAGAAGGAGTAAGAGGAATTCCTGTAGAGTCGATACCTGGGATTCGTGAGACTGGATGGAAAAGTTATGCTCAAACGAGAACAAGAGGCGTTGCTAAAGGAACTCCAGGTCCAGAACCTATGGAAGCTTGTCTTGATATCACTGACTCTCTTTATAATGCACTTAAAAATGTATTAAATAGTGTGAAAAATCATAGCACCGCCTGGCCATTTCTCAAACCAGTTGATAAGAATGATGTTCCAGATTATTATGATCATATCAAATATCCTATGGGTATGATTTATTTTTATTCCATTTTTAAAATAATTTCCGTTTCAATTGCTATAAAACCGTTTTCTTTTTCAGATCTTAAAACTATGACAGACCGTTTAAAGGCTCGATATTACGTTACAAGGAGATTATTTATTGCTGATATGACCAGAATCTTCACAAACTGTCGTCTTTATAATAGTCCCGATACAGAATATTTTCGATGTGCTAATGCATTGGAAAAATATTTTCAAACGCGCATGAAAGAAATTGGTCTTTGGGACAAATAAAATTCTACAATGTTGATATTGTTATTACAAATAAAATATTTATTAGAATAAAATTTTTAATTACTTCAATTTATTTGATAAATATTTACTATCATTATGTAGTGATAAGGTTTTAATATGTGGGTATTAGTGTCATCAAGAATGAATAGGAAGTAAATAATGATTGAAGTTATTTACAAAACTAGACTAAACACGTTACTTTACACCCTAATTAATATTATTGGCCATACTATCAATTAAAGAATGCAATCCGTCGTTTATAATGATGCTACAAGGTACGTCATAAGCATCCTATGGAAGAACGACCATTGTCGACTCTCTACGCTGTAAAACTTTACTCTAGCCTTGAAATTGGCCTAAAAGAGGCATTCATTCATTTAACTTAATATTTTACCGCTTTTTTTATACACTGATCAAAGAATATTGACTTTTTTCCTTTTAATTAAATCGATTTAGTCTAGTTAACTATCCAAATGTTTTATTACTTTAATACATTGTATCAATGATCATTTTTTTCGTTCAACTATTTTTTTATTAATCAACTTTAAAATAAATTATAAACAAATTATTTGATCAGTTTTAGATATTGATAATTATACTTATAACAAACATTTAAATCATTAAATACAGATTTATTTTACATTTTTACGGCTTAATGATACTGCACTCATTTTCCTTTTAAAATGTGTCCTCTAAAGATTAACGTATTTTATCTTTAAACGTGTAAAAATTTAATGACCGACCATTGATCGTTCTTACTTTTGTGACAAATAAATAAAACCACATTACTGCTAAAATTAAAAGAGGCTAAGGTCAATAAAGTTATAAGTCTATTAAGATAGAAGTCGATTAAGAAGTAGATCATGATGAATTTCCAAATTTTTTATACAGGTATCAAAAGTTTGCGTGATTTTCTCGACTCGTTAATTGATTAAATGATTTCCATTACACTCAATTATAATAATTTCTCTAATTTTGTTGTAGTGGTTTACAAAATAAAAATAAATAAATAAAAGTCAGAAGAATAAAACACAATCTTTTATATGCTCTGGTTCTTATGAGCTTCATTCATTTAACAGATCTAGTCTTGCCTTGTTAATTGCAAACTCTAGAAAAGTAATTAAATTATAATAATTTTGATTTGTTTAAATTATTTATATTATTTGTATTAATATCATTAATCAATAATAGATAATTATAGTAATATCACGACGTACTGAAGAGATTTAAAATAAATATTAGCCACATTTTTATAAAAGAGAACTTTCCATATTCATTATGTTTAAGGATAAGTAAAATCATCCGGAAATGATAGAAAATAATATCATTAGCATTTGTCTTAGGAGAGAAAATTTAATGTGATTGTCAGAATCAAAACAGAGAAATTATTTAGATAATAAAAAACAAATAATTATACCATTGAAAATTTATAAAAGGCTGTGGGATTATTTAGAGCAAGTGTACGAACGTTTGTCCATATATGTTGAGAAAAAAACGTTGAGTGAAGAGGGGAGTTGATATAAAGCCTGTGCAAGAGCTGGAAGAACTCATTGCTCCAGTAAAAGACGTTTGTAAAATAAAAAAGTGTCGATGTTATAACATTTGGATGTAAATAATTATATTAATTCAACGATCATTGGAATTATTGAATTATTAGCTTTAAAATTTGTAACATTTCGGAAGACTAAAGTGTTCTTGTTGATATCCTTAAGTGTTTGAAGTATTAATTACTTGAAAAAATAAATATTCAAAATGTGTGACGACGATGTGGCTGCCCTTGTTGTCGATAATGGTTCGGGGATGTGTAAAGCTGGTTTTGCTGGAGATGATGCGCCTCGGGCAGTATTTCCATCCATCGTTGGACGACCAAGATATCAAGTAATTAAATAATTAATTAACTAATTTTCTCATGTAATTGATTTAGTACGATGCAAATTAGATAAAAATATTTAATTTTAAGTACCAAAAAAATATTGTTGAAATTTTTTGTAGGGAATAATGGTAGGAATGGGTCAAAAAGATAGTTATGTTGGAGATGAAGCTCAAAGTAAAAGAGGAGTATTAACAGTCAAGTATCCGATAGAGCATGGAATTGTAACAAATTGGGATGACATGGAAAAAATTTGGCATCACACATTTTATAATGAATTAAGAATTGCTCCTGAAGAGCATCCTGTTCTTCTAACAGAAGCACCATTGAATCCTAAAGCAAATCGTGAAAAAATGACCCAGATTATGTTTGAAACTTTCAACTCACCTGCTATGTATGTAGCAATTCAGGCTGTTCTGTCACTGTATGCATCTGGAAGAACCACTGGGATTGTTTTGGACAGTGGAGATGGTGTTTCCCATACAGTACCTATATATGAAGGTATGTTATTTTATGAACAATTGAATAATTAAATAGAAAGTACAATTGAAAGAATTAAATATATATTATTTTATGACCTAAACCTTGCACATGAATCATGCGTTTTCCCATGTTCTATTTTTTTATACAATCTTTTTAAGTAAATAACATCAATAAAATCAATTCATGATTTACCTAATTGGGGTTTATTTATTAGTTTCATACCGAAACTAATAAATTACTTTACATGGATTAAAGATTAAATTGTTTGTAATGATTGTTAATTTTCTACATAGATTAATGGCATTATTTATGCATTTTTATTCATTGTAAATTAAATTTTTAGGATATGCATTACCACATGCAATTCTACGCTTGGATCTTGCTGGTCGAGATCTTACCGATTATTTAATGAAAATCCTCACTGAAAGAGGATACTCCTTTACAACAACAGCAGAACGAGAAATCGTTCGTGATATTAAAGAAAAACTTTGTTATGTTGCTCTTGACTTCCAACAAGAAATGGCCACAGCTGCAGAATCCAGTGCTTTGGAAAAGAGCTATGAACTTCCTGATGGACAAGTAATTGAAAAACAGTTTATTCTATTACAATTAATTATCAAATAATTATTGTTATTATTTTTCAGGTCATTACAATCGGAAATGAACGTTTCCGATGCCCTGAAGCTATGTTCCAGCCCAGTTTCCTCGGTATGGAGTCCTGTGGTATTCATGAAACTACTTATAATTCTATCATGAAGTGCGATGTTGATATCCGGAAAGACCTCTATGCTAACTCTGTTCTTTCTGGCGGTACAACCATGTACCCAGGCATTGCCGACAGAATGCAGAAAGAAATTACTGCTCTTGCTCCTTCGACCATGAAAATAAAAATAATTGCTCCACCAGAGAGGAAGTATTCAGTATGGATTGGAGGATCTATTTTAGCCAGTCTCAGTACTTTCCAACAAATGTGGATATCTAAACAAGAATATGATGAATCAGGGCCGTCTATTGTTCACAGAAAATGTTTTTAAGATAATTAATTATTTACAATATTGATGAATTGAAAAAAAAAACCATTAATACATTAAAATTAATATGAATTTAAAATTTTAGAACTTCTGAGCATATGTTTTATAAATGGATGATAATTATCTTTCAATGTTTTATTCATAAAGGATAATAATTGAATGAATTTTATAATATGAATTAAACATATAGTTATTTATTTTATACACGTTTTTTGACTTACTAGAATATGAATAGCGATATTATACAGCTTTTAATTGACCATTAAAATAACTGTTAAGTTTAAAAATAAAATATATTTTAGATCAAATTTTTTCACTGATAATTTATTAATAATTATGTTTCTTGATTATAAGCATCATTATTTCTTTCAACTCTATTATTCATTTATTACGATAATATTTTTCCATTATTTAGGTCATTATTTTCTAATGATTGATCTTAGATCAAATATAAATTTTAAAGAAAAAATAAATAAATAACAAAAATTTACATGACTATTATAATTTTTTTAATATAGCCACCAAATAATGAAATTTATAAAAAATTATAACATAAAAATTAATATTTAATTTTTTTTATTATTTACATATCTTATTATTGTACTTTTTGGACTTATAAATCCTAATCTGTCAAACGTCGTTGAATTTTATTCTAAATGGACGGTTAATTAATCAAATTCTGTTTTATTTTTTTCATTCAAACTATGATACATGTAAAAGTGTTTTTTTTTTTAATTTATCGAAAGATATTGACGAGAATTTTTTTTCTAAGAATCATATATTATGACAGATTGATTTATTTTATTATTTTTTTATATATATATATATGTTTTGTATCATTAATCACATGTTCCATACTCTCTTCTAAACAGTAAAAAAATGAATTTATTACTATATAAAATAAATGAGAATGATAATGAAAATATTTGTAAAACATTGTATGTATTCAAGTAGATTTATTGTTTTTTTTTTCTATCAATATTCTACTGAAATGAAAGTAATAAAAAATATTTTAATATAATATATATAATATTGAGTGATAGAGTCGTACGTGATTTCTATATCTATGCGGAGATTTATAATAATTGATATCTATATCATATTATAAATTTTTACATTCTTCCAGTTTTTCTGATAATTTAATATATTTATTTATATATATATATACGTATATAGTTATAATTTTTTCTTAGTTTCTCTATAATTTTTACAGTTTTGAAGAAATATAATAAATGTTAATAGTAATGAATGAATACTGTACATATCGAATAGATGAATCAATTAAAAAAAGAAAATTGTTTCTCATTTAATCAATTAGTACATTTGTTATTATTCCAAACTTGATAATGGAAAATAATGATAAAATTTATGTGATTATCTAAAAATATCACGATATATTAAAAAAATAAATGAAATAAGCAATGATAAACTCTGTCGAAAATGAATAAAAATTAATAATGTGAATAATATCTGAGCAATCGACAAAAAGATGTAAAAAAGTAAACTAATTGTACGAAATTTTGAAGTACGTTAAGTCAAGTTTTTCGGTATTAAAAAAATATAATGAATTATAAAAAAATTATCTTTGGTGGCCTATTTTTTGCACAGAAGTGTGTTCATTACTTAATATTTTTTTTTTTTGATTCTATTTAGGACCATATAATTTAAAACTAAAATGCAACTGAGAATTTTATACAAACATTAGATGAATGCTTATCTTCGTGATTTTCTTCTTCCCGTCGATCGTTTTGGCCTTCGATTTTTTGATCTCGTTGAATGAAGCCATGGTAAGGAGAATTCACTAGAAAAAATTAATTAAGTCATTCAGAAATTATTGATTAGATACGTTATCGAATAAACATCATAATAGTTACCTAGGTGTAAAACTAGGAATAGGTGCGCCAAATGCAGAAACTGGTAATTGAGGATCTACTTGAAGACTCTGTATTTGTTCAACTTCCGGCCATAGTGTCGTTACAGTCTCTTCCTCGGTAGTTGATGGACAAGGTCCAGTATGATTAGTATTATAACATGTTGCTTGATGATTTTGACGTTCTTGTCGTTGTTTTAATTTTTCTATGTGTCTCTGTTCCCTATAAAAAAATTTTTAATTTATACATATTTTCAAACATTGATTGATAATTTGTTTTTATAAACTAATCGAACAAGCTATTGAATTACCTTATCCTCTGCACGTCCCATCGTTTTCTCCTTCTTTCATCATTTTCTAGTTTCAAATGCCTTTTATTAAAAATTTCATCATCTAAATTTTCTGTTCCCTCCATTGTATAACAACTTGTATAAATTTTAATTCTCCAATTAGGAACTTCTAAATTCGTAGAATCCTCTTCTTGCTTACAAGGTTTTGTGTTAAGAGCATAATTTGGATCTCCTAATGCAGTATAATAATGTTCTTCAGTTGTTAAAAATGATTCTTTTTTTACAATTGATTTTCCTTTTTTTTCAGATTTCCTACATAATTCGTGAGTAGATGTCTTACTATCAGGAATAGTTGATGATGTATCGTTACTAACATTGGAAGAACATGATACTCCTCTCTTACGTTTATTGCTTCCAGTGGCATTAAGGGATATTTGATCTGCTCGTCTTTTTCTTTTACCATCCCACTCTATCCTCGAGTCATTGCTGGCTCCCTGTTTAGAGTCATTCTTACTTTGATTATCGTTGGAGTGTTCTTGTTTAACCGTTGTTATACCTCCACTTGTATTCAATCGAATTTTGAAACTTTCATTATACGGTGGACTATTACACTCAGAGGAAATATTTTTTTGATGATCTCCTGTTGTTAATGTTGCATTAACAGAGTGTAAATTTGGTGGTGAGCATGGCCCAGTGTTATCAGATGCAACGGAATTTTCTGTACTTTCCGATCGTAACTTCTGGAGGTTAACTCTTCTATCCATACGCTCCAAGCGCAGTTTAAGCTGCAAAAGTTTAACTCCCTTATAATACATTTGCTTAAATAACCAAACTAATAATAAATAAACAATATGTCTAAAGTTAAACATGTGAACACAGTTAATTTTATTGATAAACTAATGGTGCTTTGAAAAATATTTTGCGCGCCATTTATGTTTATATCGATATAATAGAAAGTGATTTAAACAACTGAGTTCCGACTAAAGTACCATCTTGCGGAAAATATAAGAACTAGTAAATTAAATTTTTTATTAACGTTATTCCGTTTTTTCATAAAAATACAAATAAACACTAACATACAATTTAATTTAAAATTATAATTTCATTGATAATTACACAAAACTCAAAAATATAACTAAACGATATTAAATAACGTAAATAAATGGACATTAAACACAAAGGAATAAAAACTACAGGAAAGAAAGAGTAAAAAGGAATCAGCTGATGATTTTTGAAGGCACTAATCGTTGACCTACCGTTTCATTTTCTTGTCTAAGAGCCGCGAGTAGTTTATCTTTTGTAACAATTTGTTCAGACTGCTGTTGAATGAGATCAAGATGAAGGAGCAACAATTCCTTGAGGTGTTTGACCTCAGCAAGGTCATTGAGTCTAGGCTCGTTGCCTCTGAGAGGACTGACGCCAAGGGCTGAAGTAGCAGTGGCCGCGACAGCCGGGGTGCCACCGTCGGTCATACTCGCGTACATGTGATCAAAATCACAAGGAAAAGTGAGTATACCAGCGGGCGCTGGTTTACTGTCTTCGTTCTCAGCCGCGTGGCCGCTTGTAAATTCGTTGTGGGCGCTCGTACGAGCGCTGTTGGTCGCCGACGAGGACGACAAGTGTTCGTTCATCGCCGCTACCATGTTGTATGCGGCTGTTACCGCACTGCTACTACTACTGACAGCAATTGGAGTCTCCAGTGACAACAAAGATGATGAAGACGACGATGAAGATGATGATGATAATGATGTACGTGATTCAGAATAGTCAATGGATGTTACACCTTCCACTGCTCCTAAAGAGAATGCACTAATGTCCTCGTCGCGATGATGTCCGTCTTCGTGATATTCCTGAAAGTCTACGCCGACGCAAATGTCGTTATCACCATTTACCAGTTGTGACGGCGAGACGTTTGACATCTTCCCACCGTGGCGCCGCCGCAGCTAATGTTTCTGAGCTCATTTGTGGTAGCGCCGAGCGTACCACGCGCCCGCTTCACGCACATGAAGCGTTTTGCTACACCCACCCTTGTTATTGCTGTTTTTCTTCTTCCTTTCACTCCTTTTCTCTCTCTTTACCCCTCTCAATCGGTAATCGTCTCGCCCTCTTCACCGTTTAGAACATTTCCCCTTGCGTCTTTTAACCAGACGCTTTTCTTGCCAGTACTCATTCACACTTGCAACAATTCATTAGACACTGTCGTTACTTTATTGGAACCTATTGCGTCTTCAATCACGAATACACACTTATATTCACGTTCAACAACGAGTGTTTAATGTTTACTGACGATGATCAAGGCCGACGGCCGACGCAGACAGCCGCCGTTCGGCTTCTGCTTCTTTGACTGTTGCGCCACCTTCTCATCATCACCCGGGACGCTTTTCATTTCCCGCCATTTTTGACCACGTGATTTCCGTGGAATTTACTCCGAATTCCAAAACATTTAAAAACTACTCCTTTCAAATTGTTTTTTTATTTTTGATATTTTTTTATTAATTATCGAATAAATATGCTTCAATATTTATAAAAAAGTTATACATAAATGTATAAATTTAAATTTTACGACGTAAATCTAATTACAACACTTTATTGATCGAATGTTAAAATGAAAAAGAAGGGTATGTGTATTTAAATTAAAGAGGAAGAAATTGTTTTTGTTGACTTTAGATATAAGCGCCCTCACTTTATTCATCAGTATTATATTTTTATTATTATGCACTGAATTTTGATTGGTTCAACATATGCGTCGTTAGGTGCAGGTGGTGTGAAATTTTTACGATCAAAACAAATATATCCATGGAGCTTTTTAGAGCATTTTTTTAATCATACAATAGATTTTAATGTGCTCCGTTTTAATGTATATATATATATAAATAAAAACTATTGTTATTTATTTGTTGATATGCAATATTCTTTCCTTATTTGTGTAGAAAAATGACAGCAATTGAAATAAATTCGCCGGTAAAAAATATGTAAGAATAATTTATCATATAACATAATTATCGCATCATAATCATTATTATTTTAATTGCTTACCATTATAAAGTTATTTAATAATTTATTAATTATTTTAAATTTACAGCATCAATGATAGTACCCTAATTATTCAAGAATATGAAATTATCATCGAAAACCTCCAGCAAGATTTAGGAGAATGCCAGGTAAATTTTAATTTTTTTTTATTCAAAGTTTTTATAGTAATTTTAATAAAAAAAATATTTAACATTTTATTATTTAGATTGAACAAGCACGTTTGAGGAAGGAAATCGAAGCTTTGAAACTTGAAAATAAAACATCTGTTGATGATATAAAGGATGCACTTACTCATGTTAATACTACAGGGTGTCCAGTAGTTTTGAACAATCAAGAATGTATCGAGAATTTAAAAAAACAAATATCAATAATTAATTTAGAAAAAGAATCGATATTTCAATTATGGCAAACAGCATTAAAAAAAGTTGAATCTTTAGAACAAGTGATAAAAGCAGTACAAGGAGATGGGACAGTGAATAAACTTTATGAACAACAACTTATCAATGTCAAAAAAACAGAAACGATTCAAGTGTTGGAAGCACAGCTCACTCAAGTAAGAGATAATTTTATTAAACATCAGGTTCTTTGGGAATCATCAAAAGAAAAATTGGAAACTTTAAAAAATGAAAAGAATTTATGTGAAAAAACGATCGCTAATTTACAAAAAGAACTATCAACCAAAGAAGAATCTAATTTGAAAATTATTGAATCCTTAAAAGCTGAAATAAATACATTAAAGCAAGAACTTGATTCTATAAATAAGTTAAAAATAAAGCTTGAAAATGAATTAATAGAAGCTCGACATTTGACAGCAAAAATGACAGCAAAGGATCAGGAATCAAAAGAAAAAGTTGCAGAAGCATTAGAATTAATTGAAATAGCTGTCAGAGAGAAAGAGGCGATTATGGAAAGAGAAGTAAGAACTATTGAAGAAAAATCGAAATTAGAAAATCGACTAACTAATTTATCTGAAGAATTTGCTGCTAAGCTTGATAAAGAATTAACAGAGATAAAAGAAAACTTCGAAAAAAATTCAAAAAAATATGTATCTGAAATTAAAGAGCTTAAAGCAGAGTTACGGGAAAAGGCTACTTTAGTCGATCGAGTACAACGAGAATATAGAATGCTTGAAGAAGAAATCGAAAAATCAAGAATAGATTCTCAGAATTATCTACTAAAGTCCAACGAAAAAGTTTTAGAATTAGAAAGAAAATTAAAAGAAACTGAATATAAGTTAAATGTTTGTGAAGATGAATGTAAGCAAAAATATGAAGAAAAATTACGTCAGACAAATCATCAAATATCAGATCTTGAAAATAAGCTCTCGAATTGTAATGATAAATTACGAAGAAATCAAGTTCATAATCTAAGAAATATGGAAGAAATGGTACGAGATGCTGATGATAGAACTAAAGAAGCTGTTGAAAGATATTCATGCTTGGAAAAAAGATTAGCTCGTGCTTTAGACGATAAAGAAAATTATGCTAGTGAGATGAGAGAATTACAGATAAAGTTTGATAAGGAAATTACTCGAAGAAATCATGAACGGCAAGTATTAAAAACTAGAATAGAAGAACTCCAAGAAGATTTAAAAAATTCTAATGATTTAGTTGATAAAACTACATCTAAAGCTCACAGTCTTGCTGAAAAAATTGAAATATTAGAAAAGAGTATAGATGAAAAAAAAAATCCATTGATGTAAGTTGAAAATATTTTTATTTAATAATAATAAATTACCCTGATCTATTGAACTGGAACATTTAATAATTATTATTTTATTAGCACAAGTAAGGAAAGTATTCAGCAAGCTTCAGACATGGAGAAATTATCAAACCACAAAATAATACGAGAACAATATGAAGAAAAAATTTCCGAATTAACTAAATATGTTAAAATTCATCAACAATTATCAAATAGGTAATTTATCAAGTTATAAATAACAATTAATTACATATTTTAACTTGTGAAATTTTTTAGATGGAAAGAAGAAGCTCAATCTCTAGCCAGTAAATTTTATAATCGTTATAAAGAACTTCGTTCAAAACTACAATTATTAAAAGATGAAAACACGGAATTGAAGAAAGAATTAACACTTTGTAGACAGCAGGTGATCGTTTGCCGATCACAATTAATGCAAAGGTAATATTCGAGATTATTTATTATGTTCTTAAAATATTAATTGTTGAGTATCAGATAATTTCTTAGAATTATATTAAACTAAATATATAATAAATAAATTTAATTTGTTTTTCACCAGGTTGGACCAAGATGATGAAAGATGACAAAACCTCTTATGTTTGTCAAATTTGCTTTTATATTTTGTAAAATCTATAAATAAATATTTTTATTGTTACCAAAACATGTATTTTATTTATTTGCATAAATATTCTTTACTTACTGTCATCTATTATGAATATTTTAAGAGTGAAAATTATGCTGAAGAGTCGATGCAGGCTGTAAATAAACTTGGAAACCAATAAAGTAATTCATCCTCAGCCTGATCATCTAACCAAGCTAGACCCATTTTAACCATATGATCAAGAGCTTTTTGTGCTCTATCCCGTTCCCACTTTAGTTCTCTGTGTAAAAGAGAAATTGAAGCAAAAGCATTGCCTGTTAAACTTGTCTGTTGAAGAACTGCTGTATGATCCATACTAAGTTCACCTGGAATTGATTGAACTAAATATTTTCCTCTTCCAATAGGCAACACAGAAAACCCATTGCCAAATATCCGTAATTTTTTAGCAGCAGCTAATAAATCTTCATTGGTGATTTCTTGATGTTCTTTCCTCTTTCCTCGTGCTTGGACCAATCGATCTCTAAGTTCATCAAGAGATATTAATCCTCCATTTTTGTAATTCGTAGCCATACAGACTTCTACTATTTGAACAGCAAGTTCATAATAAAAATCTCCAATACCTAACACTGACCAGAAACCTTTTCCTGATGCCAAAGGGTCAACTCCAATTGATGCACACATTTCTGTGAATTGTCGACGAAACTGAGCATTCTTTTTAATTTCATTTTTATGCTTTGATGCAAATTCTTCAAGATTTGTTCGAAACAGTTCCATTTGTTTGGTCATTTGTTCAAACTGATTTTCCTGAATTTCGGTACCCTTGTCTTTATATCTTTCTTGCTCTAATTTTTGTTTGTGAATTGCTCCTATTCCAGCTTTTCGTCTCATTTTATTTGTAAAATTTTTTTCAATTAACACTTTTTAACAAAACATTCAAAAATACCATTTAACCTTTAAATATACACGACAAATACAGTTTACATAGATGAACATTCAGATTTATGACATTCAATCAAACAATTTGTCATAAACAAATAATTTTATGCAAAGTAACTTACAAGTATTGATGATAATTTTATTTTTATGTATTTATTGTCATAATCTGCAATATTGTTGATAACTGAACCAGCTGACTTTGTGTATGTATCGAATAAAGTATATTATGTACATGGGTTTTATGCATTTCCATGAGCTCTCAGTAAACTCATGTGATTAGCGCCATTTTTTGAATGATTGGAAAGTTTCTCCTCGAATTCTCAAGTCAAATAATCCAAATGCATATCTACTGCAAGAATAAAATTTTATTATCTTATATAAATATAAGGTTACATAATTTTTTAGTTTTATCGATATTTAAAACAGTGGAGAACTTTATATTATACATGTTAGAATTAATGGTGTTTTTGTAATGATTGATTGCCCATCATAGAAAAAAAAGATCTTAGAAAAAAATATCATTGACTAATTACATTTATTTAAGGATCGGGAGGATAATCTATTTCATGTTGTACAAGAACTGGAGCATCAATTTCTGTTTCGATTGTTTCTTCTACCTCTTCACCTGCTTCTTGGGTACGAATATTTTTAAACCATCTTTTTAAAGAACTTGCGCTTGGAAAATTCATTCCAGCATTTTTTAATTTTTTAAAACCTGATCTAGAATATAATAAAATTTCAGTAGCTAGATTCTTTTCTTCTTCTGTATAAGGAGTACGTTTGGTGTGCAATTGAAGTGATATTATTGCTTTAGAAACTGGAGAAAGATCCATTTCTTCAATAGTATCTAAAATTAATTGTCTTTGTTCTTTAAATGATTTTTTCTTTTTCGTTACTGTTTTTATTGCCTTCCGTTGTTTACGTAACCTTTCCAAGTTTCTCATTCGTCTCAATTCTTTCCGTAACATTGAATTTTGTTGTTTTAATTTAGCTATTAAATCATTTTTAGTGAATTCAGCATTTAATTGTCTAATCATTTCAACACTTGCCCCTGTAGTATCAATTATCGTCCTAGTATTCTTTGAATTAACATTGCTAATAGTTGTTGGATTTATTATATTTATTGTGTGTAAATTAGATTCGTATGTCATCGTTTCTATTTTTTTTTCATCATGATGTTCTATCGTACTGTCTTGTGAAAGAGGTGAAAATTCTTCCAAGTGCTCTTCATAGATGTTTACTCGATTGTTTATTTGATATTGTAATTGATTATTCGTGTCTGGGTTTACATTATCTACCATCACTGATGAATCAGTATTTTTTATTGTTTGATTTTCGTTTTTACTACCATCGTCTTCATCATCACTGAGATAAATTGCATACTTCTTCCAACTGGGAATTTCTTCATCATTGTCATCATTTGTAGATATTTCTTTTTTCGAAATATCCGATGATATTTGAAAACAACTATCTATGTCATCAACTCTATCAGGATCATCAAAATCTTCAAAAAGCTGTGGCGCTTTTATTATTTTTGTATCATTTGATTTCCAATCATGACATTCAGCATTTGAAAGAATAACATTTGTTGCAATTACATTTTCATTAGTTGTCTTGTTTTCATTTGTTGTTGAATTATTTTGATTTGAATTGTTACCAAGATTAGGGGGATAATTAGGTAATGGCACGCTATTTCGTTTTAAATAATGCTTCGAAGCATCTGAAAAGCATGATGGATCAAAATGATCAGCACACACTCCTGATCGACGAATAGAACTAGCTGCTTTTTTTCTTATGTCTGGATTTCCTATAAAGTGATTATTATGCTTCATAATACAAAATGATGATACGAAATATGTCTTACATTAAATCTTTTATATCCAAATTATTTACCGCAATTTTGTAACCATTTTTCTAGTCTTTCAGGCTCAGTGCTTCTTGGAAATAAAAAAAGTTTCCTGAAATTACGATATTTTCCATTCTTGCAACCTTTATAAGCACAACGGTCATATGGACATTCACCTGGGATTTTTTCATCATCTCTATAAACTTTTTTCAACATAATTAAAATATTTCCATCGAATAATCTGAAATGTTTATAGAAAATTATTAATTTATCATTAAAATGTTAATATTACATTTCATGTTGAGTAACTATTCATGTTCAACTTACATTATTTTATAAATAATTGAGTAATTGTTCACAAATATATATTATTGATATTTACATAAGCCATTCCAACATTAATAATCAATGAATAAATGTATAATTATTTGTTATTGTCGTAATGTAACCTTTTTAATTCCGGCACTGCACGTAATGGATGTTTCGCTCAACTCAAGTTACCCCCACCACTGCACTATTCTTACTTGAAAAATATTTTAGTGCGCATGTCCGATAGAGAGCGCGTGCTGCGCACCTGATATGCGCAATATTCTGAACAATGGCCGATGTCAACTAAAAACACAACCGAGTTTTAGTAAACAATTATTTTGAAGCCAAAACTAAAGTTAAAATAATATTTATTGAGTATTTTCTATATTTATTTAACTCAAAAGAGTAATCTACAGTTATTCTCAACTAATATTTAAATCAATCTTCACAAACAAGTGTACGAAAATATGGATCAGGTAAATTTTTCTTCCGTATTATTTGTTTTTATTATTTTAATTTCGTATTTTACAATAAGAAATCAGTATAATTTTATATTTTTCAGCAAGATTTAAAATTAAAAATTGATCAAGCTTGCAGAACAGCTGAAGAGTTTACAAAATTGTTCTATGAAACATTAGATAAAAGAAGATATGTAAGCATTTGTTTTATTAATTAAGAATTATTTGCTAAAGATTTATTAAATTTTTATTCTTATATACTATTGTAATCGTTGTCACTCTCTAATTTTTCATTTTATAGCATATATCAAGACTTTACTTGGACACTGCTAGATTAATTTGGAATGGAAATGGTGTTGAAGGAAAAGAGTCAATTCAGAAATTTTTGATTGATTTACCAAATTCTAATCATCTTATTTCTACTTTAGATGCTCAACCTATTACTAGTATGTAATTGTGTTTAAACTATTCCGTTTTTTGAATTTATACAATTTTTTCTTTCTGCTGTTTGGTAATTTTATTCAATATCTATTTTATTTTAGGTCCAGCAGTTGAGGATCAATTTACTTTTCTTGTTAAAGTTGGAGGTCAAGTTAAATATATGGATAAATCTATGAAACCTTTTGTTCAAACATTTTTAATAACAGCCAGAGGAGAAAAATGGAAAATAGTCAGTGATACATTTAGAACTCAAGAGTCATTAGACAATGTTAATACTCCAAGTTAATCTATTTATTACATTTTAATTATCAATAAAATTTATATACAAAACAACCAATAAATTTTTATATAAAACAATGATATAAATTCTTTATATATTAAAATCTATTTAAATTTATTATTGATCATATATTTTTCGATACTATTATTAGTTTGGTTATATCGAAATGAGTTACGACAAGATCGATTGTGAAGAGTACTACTTCGATTATCAAACGTAAATATAGCAAACTTCATATTACGTGTTAATATTTTACATTTTAATCAAAGATGTTTTGTTTTAATAGTTTGTAAGTGACTTTTAGATTAAAAACTTCATTCAAAATGAGTGGAAATATTCCACATCGTGATGTAGGCCCTATTATACAATTAATTAGAAGAATTGCTCGAGGGGTAAGATTGATAACCTTCAAATCAAATATCTTTTACGTCTCAATTAACTTCAATGTTTTTCAAAATTAAAATTACGTAATAAAATGATTTTTACCAAGTTATTAAAAAATACAATATTAATTTATTTCGTTTAAATTAGAGAAAATATATTCCTTCTGTGAGATTTGCTGACGAACTAGCTGCTAGAACTCAACCACATCCAAATGTTCCTGGAGGTCCTTATCATAAGACATCAAAAATTTATTATCATACAAGAGATGCTCGACGTTTAGTTGCACCTCCTATTGAAGTTGCTAACAACACTAATAAACAAATTACTGCTGGGTATGTAATATTTAGCAAACAGTAACATTGATGTCTCTTATCTGTAATTGTAATACCATATAATATCACGATTCATTTTTAGTTCTGGAGTAGCAGCTGCGAAACCAATAACTCCTAATAAAACATACCACCCTCAAGTAGGAGAACCAGATCCTGGAAAAATTTATAATGAGCCATTTGAGTTGTAATTAAAGTACTCAGTTTATAAAGTAAAATAGATGTAGAAAATTAACTTAATAAATTAATTATTTCTGTTAATAATAACAGCAGAAAGACATAAAGTTAAAGTTTATTGTGTTTTTCATGTTCTTAACAGTAAATAATTTAAATAACATTTTAGTTACTCTGCATATATACACATATGTTTTTTACAAACTTCAACGGTTATTTTCAATTAATAAATTATCAGGTGATAGTAGACATATTAGCCTCAATCTTTCAACAATTTTCATAAATAAATTATTTATTAATCGTAGATCACCTAATAATTTCTAAAGTTATGATTAAAGAATAAAATTCATTTTTTAAATCCACCTAATACATACATAAATTAGTAATAATTAAAAGCATAAAATATACGTGAATTACACCTATAGCTCAAAATAATGTAGTCAATAATTTTTTAAATAATAATTGTGATTATAATAATTATTCTGTAATTGAATTTGAAATAAAATTCGTGATATCCATCACGATAATAATTATACTTATATACATATACAAACGTTTATGTAAGTAACTCTTGGCACCGAACAGATGAACCTTTAACTTAATATGGAATTTGATTCTGATAATACTGTATCATATCATAAGTCTTGGTACGGAAATTGAGGAAACTGCTGCGAATAACATTCAACATAAAGGCAGCAGCTTCACGATCTGTTGCAGAGGGAGCAAATCTACTGCGAAGTAATTTAATTGTTTGACCACGAAAACAAGGTAATCCAGTGTCCAGCATTAGAGAGACTAGGGAAATAATTGCTTCTTGATATGGCCTAAAAATATAAGAATTTAAATTTTAGATAAACATGAATTAATTGTAATTATAGAAAATTATTAATTTAGTTTATTTACCTGACTGCTAAAAATGCTTGAACACAGAGCTCCATAAACCATCGGAATGGAGCAGCCTCCATTTTTCCTCCCATCACAAGCACCATTTCATCAGTGAGCTTAATGTCAGGTTCAAATCCGAGATTCCCACCAGGAGAACTTTCAAACATGAATCCAAAATCAATGTGAATTATATGTCCCTCATCATCAAGCATTATATTTCCATTGTGTCTATCTTTTATTTGTAAAATATATGTGATTACACTGTAAGCTGCCATTGATTTGATAAAATTGCGTCTAGCATTTTGGAATTCTTTTCGTGTTTCTCCTCCATATTTTGCTAGAAAATATTCATACATGCCAAAATCTGTTTGTCGACCAAGTTGATCACGAGATTCAGCATTTGGAACACATTCTATTACGCCACACTAAAAAAGTGTATATATATAAATAAATAAAGTTAAATTAATTTATTAAAAAAAAATAATAATAAACAAGAAAATAAATACTTACTCCAGGAGCAGTGGCAACAACTCTGTATGGAAAGAGGAACAAATTCAATCCAACTTTTTGGAAAATATTTTTAAAGATTCCTATTACTTGGAGAGCCAACATATCTTGTCGAACATCATCACCAACTTTAAATATTGCAGCTTGCCATATTTCTTGACCTGTACAAGTTGTTTCAACTTTAGCATTAGCAGAAACTGCCATTGCAATATTTTCCAGTTCTTTAATTCCATAACGTTGGACTCGGAAACGTGCTAAGAAAGGTGCTTTTGCTGCACTTTGCATAGGTCTTCCGCTATTATAATCAATGTCAATTACCATTGCTTCAGGATTGGAGGGTAAATAGCATCCTGGTTGAACAGTAATTTTTCGTAAAGCTTTCAAACAAGCTTCTCTTCTTTCAGGACCTTTAGGATAAGGCCTGATTTCACCAGAAATATTGGTAATTTTTTCGAAGAAATCAAATTCTCGTTCATAAAATTGTTTAGCAGGTCCTGAAAGTGATGCTACAATTGATTTAACTAATCCATCAAGGACATCAAATAAATCAGGATCTTTAACTTGTTTTTCTTCGTCCATATACATATTAGTATGCATATTCCATATTAGTTGATGAGCCACAACTTGTGATCTCTTTGCAATAGACTTAATAAATTCAACCGCATAACCCATAGTATCATGTCTTACAGCTTGAACCAATTGAGGAATGTAAAATAGCACTGCGTCAGCTGGATAACTACCTAGAACTCGTACTGCATACTGAGCAGAAATTGGATGATGAGGAAATTGTCGAGAAAAATAAGCTAGAGCTTGAATAGGTGAAACTCTAGCCCAAGTTAACATATAAACCAATTCCGGAGCATCATTTAGCAAAGAATCAGTTGTTACAAGATACTGAAGCGCTTCAGGAACATGCATCACTGGCACAGGCTTTAATCTCACTAATCTACAAACTTCCTTGATAATTGTATCAGAATTTTTAAGTCTTACGGGTAAGAAAACTGCTAAGACTGGACTAATATCCCATGCAAGACGTGTACAATCACGCCAGCGTTCATTCATAGCCTTGGCTCTCCATTCAGCAATGGAAGCTTCTGTTGGCATATTTAAGTCTGATCTACCACCAGGGTTGTGCCAGACAAGTAATAATTCAATTTCAACCGCTAGAAGTTCAAGAATTAAATTACGTTTTTTGATATAATTTTTTACCAAAACGTTGCTATGAAGAATTCTTTTACTTCTATTACTTCTTTTTCCTAGTGCATTACTGCTGGTTGATAAAGGAACTGTATTAATCCATCCTGAGGCTGGTTGTTTAACTAATTCTCGTGAACTTGGTGCTAAAGAATTCATAGATGTTGCAGGTTCAATAGACACTAAATTTGTTTGCTGTTCAATGAGCATTTCTAAATCACCTTCTCCAGTCATCATCAAATATTTTTTATCACTGTGCATTACTTGCCAAAAACGCATTAATGTTATGATATCTTCACGCAACTGTTCAGGTTCTTGAGTAGGAGTCTGACGCTCTCTGCAGAAATAATCTAGACAATTATAGTAAACTCTTTCTCTTAGAACATTTTTACTGAGAGATTTAGCTAGGGTTTCGCCTTGAAGAAGAAATAAACCACAGCTAAGTAATTTAAATCTTGCTCCAACGGCTGCTATGTGTCTATTCAAACTTGGTCCTCCTCCAGATGCACCGACTGTCATCGGCAAAGATCGATGTAAAAGCATAGCAATCATTTCTACAGTTTCTTGACAACAGTATTTAGCAGTTTCTATTAATTCGATGATGAAAGTTACCCAAATCTCATGTGGTTTAACATAAGGAGGATTAGGTCCTAATTCACAGCCTTCATAAACTGCTAGAGGATTCACTTCTTCTTGCTCTGGGGAAAATAAACCCATTCTTTTGTCTACAGTATATTGCCAAGCAGAGAGCATTTCTTGTAAAAATCTCAATTTTAAATCTGGACGAGCTGTTAAAATCCACTGCCAACATTCTACTGCTGTTAACATGGCTGAATTAGTGAAAAGATCGATTTGAGATCCAGCAACGACATGCAGAAGTCTTCTATGAAGTCCCGGCATAGAAATAAGAAGAGCTGTAGCTCGCCACAGTGCCCCTTGATGAAGACTGTCATTTTTACTTTTGCAGGCATGATGAACTGCAGCTATCACTCGATCAACAACAATATTTCTACCTTCTTCTGCTCTTGTTTCTGTACTAGGAGATTCAGCTCGAGCTAAAGCTAACATACCGGTGACTTCTCCAGCATACCAAGATCGTCTTGACATCATTGAAAGAAGCCAGGAGCTCGCACCTTTATGTTCTCTACGTTTGTCAAGAGAATTTGTATTCATTGATCCTGAATTAGGCGTTGCTAAGTCGATGAATTCGAGAACAGAGTCAGTTGCTAAAGCCAAGCCAGTATGATGCCACATTCCTGATGAAGGAATTTGATTGATGTATTCTTGAAGATGAGATCTAACAGCATGAGGTGCCCATTTCATCGCTTCTTGAATTATTTCTTTACACCTTGCTGCAAAATCATCAACAATTTTGGCTCTTGCTTCAAGAGAATCCATCAAGTGAATACTATAAGGTGTCCCGGGAATATGAAGATTAGGAGTTTCTTCATTAGGATCAAGTTGAAGAGAAAATGCTAAGACTTGTAAAATATCTAGCATACTCCATAGTACTCGACAATTCCATAAAAGATGAGGAAATGCATCAACAAGTGCACTTAAATATTTATCTGCTACTCTACGAATTTGTTTATGAACATGATTAAAATTGACTAAAAGGAACTGTGCATGACTTTCAAGTTCTCGTTCTCTCTTTTCGTCTTTAGGTTTTTTCAACATAACATCTTTAAATTTAGCAAAAACTGAATCTCCAACACTACAAATACATTGCCACATTCCACTTTTATCTTTTTGCAAATCTGGATCACTTAAATACTCCATGATTGGTTGTAAACTTGGTTCAGAGCTATTTTCAACTCTTAAAGTTTCTACCCAATAAACTGATAATAAATAAGTAATCTGAGCAAATTGCATTTTTGAAACGTAAGTTACAACATCACTTGATCGAATACTCATTCTCAAAATTTGATTACGAAGTTCTTGAAGTTCACTTATCGATACACTTTCATTGCGAACAGCAGAAGTGTATTGCAATTCACGCATTTCGAGTTTAGCATTAGTTTGAGAAATCAAAAATGGTGATTTAATAGATATTTCTTTTACTCCTTCATACCATTCTGATGGCCAGATTCTTGCAGAACTTGGTTCAATAGGCACAAATCCGAAAACAACACAGTATAACCAAAAATCTTTAAATAATTTAAGCATTCGAGTGCTAGGTTGTCTTATTGGTGGTAATCTTCTTACTAAAATAGCAATAACTGGGATCAAAGCACCGAGGTTTCCAGCCACATTTGAACTTTTAGTTATTGTGGACATTGAAGCAATCGCAGTTGAAGTTGCAACAGCAGTAGAACTTGCGATTTTTTCACTCTGTCTTTTGCCTTCAAGACCCATTGATACAAACAATTGCAAAAGGCGAAGTAGAAGTTTATCCAACTCATCTTCTCCTTGTAAATTAGCGGCTATATTAGCTAAAGCATTTGTCACTGCTCCTGTTACATGCCTGTATTGTTTCCTATCAACATTCGTAGCATAAGCAGCACAACTAGATTCTAGAGACACTGAAAACATTTGCATTATTTCTCCGCGAGCTTCACACTTTGCTATTATCATACATCCAAGTTGATCGACTATCAACAAATCTAAAGAACTTGGATCTCTGCAAAAACTTTGTTCAAAAAAAGATAAAATGCTACTTGTAGTTTTTGGAGTATCCTTCAGAGCAACGGCAACATGACCAAGCATAATCATAATATTTTCTGCTACGAGTTGATTAGTTAATCGTTCTGATTTTTCAACATTTTCATTTCTTTCTAGACTGCAAAGACGTGTTGATGCACTGCTAACTAACGCAGGAACACAATTAGGATAAACAGGTTGTGCTGCTTCCAAAGCGATACAAAGATTGCCGATTGCTGCATCTCTTAGTTTCTCAAAAGCAGATTTAGATGGTGAAACTGCTTGTTTTGGCTCTATCTCTTTTCCATCAACGATTGCTCGAAATTGATTATTTCTATCTAATTTTTCACTGAATTGAAGATGTAATTTAACAAGAATTGGTGATGGATTCATTAAAAAATCTCGAAGATTGTATGTTGAAGTAATAGCAATGTTGGGAAATTTTTGGGCGAGTTTTCCAAGACCTTCCAAGCAAACCATCAATAAAGGCATGTGAGCTAAAACTAATGTTGGTCCGTGATTCGAATTTATTTTTTCTGTCAATCTGCTACAAAGGCTATCTGCACCTGTTTAAACAAAATAAAACAATTCATTAATATCATAAATTAGGATACTAATGTTAAAGAATTATGTCAATTATGGTTAAATCTGTTAGTTTTTTTATAAATGTCACAGCAAATCAGACTGAAAACAGGGGAAAGATTCATTAAAGTCATTAAATAGTTCAGTCATTCATATTTTTGTTATATAAATAATCGTTCGAGTGATTTTGATGATAGTCATGCAGAATTCTTAACACAGGATAATTAAAAATACCCTGGCCAATCAGCATAGAACCAAGATCTGCATAAAGTGCTGATATATCATATTCTCCATGAACTGTAAAAGATGTAATTAATCGAAAAAAAATCATTTTTCATACAGTTGTTGATTATTTAAATATATTTTAAATAACATCCACAAAATGGATCACCAATCACGTACCAATAAAATGACAATAATCGAGTAGAAAAAAAAATGCATTTCAGTAATTAAAATTTAATCTAAAAAATTTACCAGTTTCATCTCCAATAGCCCAAACCAAGAGGTCCACGCATGCCGAGTTAGCCATAACATTAACTTTGAATCTATTGACTGTTTTAAAATTTGTATCTGCGTCTTCTCGTTCACTAGCATCATGCTGACGAGATTGCAATTCCGTTTGTCCTGAGAGAAATAAACCTTTAACGAATTCCTGAACGTCTTTCGTAAAAGGTGCAGGTAAATCTCGTTGATTTTGTAATAATTCACGTAATAATGCCACCATAACTAAATTCATCGTCTCACTGAATGAGCGATATGGAAATATTAATACTTGACCAGAAAAATATATCTAAAAATAATAATTAGTAGATGTAGTAATTAGTTTTATAAATAAAATTAAATTTTTGATAAAAAAACGTTTAAACTGACCTGCTGAGCTTCTTCATCAAGAAATTTGAGCATATCTTTGGTTAAAAGCTTTTTTGCTAATGCTAAAACACTTTGCAAATGTACAATACCAAACAACAATCCAGTTCTTTTTTCAGGACTTTCATTACATCGCATTTGAGGAAATTGATTGAAACTAGATCCATAACGAGTAAAAAAATAAGTTGATGGATCATATGGAATAGATAAATAGGATTGAAACGATGGTCTTTTTCCAGCATGATAGTCATCAATTGTTGAAAATGTTGATTGTGCGCTATCAATAGTAACATGAGGATTCAAATTTCCACTCAGAGAACGTGGAATGATTGGACGAAAATTAGAAAAACTCAAATGTCTCTTATTTGGTGGTGGTTCGTTGCAAGAAATTTTAATCGGTGGTTCTCGTGGAGGAAAAATTCGACAAAGCAATGGTGGATCTACACATGCAAACCGTCCCATTGCTCGTGCCAATCCTATTAGAATTGGAACAAGACACTTGCAGAGTGATACTATAAAAAGTAAAGAATATTATGTTAGCAATAATCATTGATATTTATAATAATCATTATAACAATTTTTGTAAAAATACTTTTAGCTTGTAAAGTTCGTGCTCCATTTTGCTCTTTAGATCCACGAACAAGGTTAGTTATTACTGCTAATAATTCTACTTGATTAGAAATGATCTCTTCACAGACTGTATCACATCTTGCAGCAACATCACTTAATAGTGTGTTTAAACAAAAGCTAAATCTTTCAGCAACGGGTATTCTTTCTGCAGGAGTCACTCTAATTTCATCTAACCATACTACTTTAGGTAATCCTCTAAGTAGTCGCAGTAAATAAGGCAAAATGCGATCACGATGTTGAAGTCCAGATTCCAAAAAATATATGCCAAGAGCAATAATTGCATCTTGACCTCGTTGATCCATACGAAATACTCCTTGAGCTGATTCTTGGGGACATAGTTTAAAAAGTCGATTTACCTGTATTATTAAAAACAATCATATAATTATTTGTTAATGATATGACATAATTTTATTATTAAATACGATGACTAAGATAATAGTTGTAAATGTTAATTAATAACCTATTGAAATAACTTCATAGAGCTTTATAGATTTCTATAAAATATTTTAAAAATCAATGTTTACTAGCTTTTTTTATGTGAATAATTTCAAAAAATAGTTAAATGTTAATGGTGTGAGAGATTAATTTATAATATAAGCCTGTATATAATAAAATAATTTAATGAGGTTATTTCATAATGTTTATGTATATTATTAGGTATAAATATTTAAAATATTCATTGAATTAAGAACATACCTTTTCCCAAGGTGTAGGATTAATTCCTGCTAAAGATCTTGCTAAATGTTGAACTGTCTTGGTAAAAAATAATTTTTCATCCGTAATCATTTTGATGTCTGATGGTTATTATTTAGAATTGATTAATTTAAATAAGTGTCAACTTATTAGTTGTTCCGTTAAATATAAACAACAAATCTTTTAAACTACATAACACAGTTATCTATATAAGATGTACGTAATGATACAATCATTTTTATAATTATGTACGTTTTCATATCATCACTTGACGTAAAGGATTTTTTTTACTTTGCAATATTTGAGTATATGTATACGTTTATCTGTATATTTTCATATTTTTTCAAGAAGATTTTGTTAGAGATATTTCTCTTGCTTCTTTTGGTATTGTAAAATGTAGTAGACAGAATATCCACTAGATGGCTTAGGAAAATTTAAAAAATTCAAAAATTGTATGAAAATTTATTGATTAATAATTTCAAACGATAGAAAATAAAAAATGACATAAATGTAAAAAAATTACATTACTATTAAATATAAAAAATACTTGATTAATTTTTCCAAAACTTTTGGAAGTTCTTAAATTTAACTTTAACAGTTAACCCTATTTCATGATTAAACTTCTAACTTATAATTGGATTTAGTTCATAAAAATTTTCAATCTGATAAAAAATTAATAAAATGAACATTATCATGTGTAGCAGCAACAATAATTTTTCTTTTTTTAAAATCTATAACCCGTATAAAGATTATAGGCTTCGTATCAACGATTATTTTTCGACCATTTGTAGGTGAAAAATCAAAAGATTCTAAATCTGAATTCTTTTTTACATGAAAAATGTAAATTGACCCTGTAATAATGATATATAAAATTTATGTTTTCTAAAATATTTTAACAATAAATGTTTCTTACCTGAATCTAGACCGAAAATTAACAGTCTACAGTGATAACACAAATATTGAATCTTTCCATGAAGGCTGTTAAATAAATTATATTCACGCCATTTATTTCTACTATACCACTCTGTAAAGAGAAACCGTATATTCGTATCTAAACAAAAAAATTCTTAATTAATAATTGATCTATCATAAAAAGTTTACTATTCATAATCATTATTTACCTGAGATTACAGCAATTAAATCTTCATCAACTGTATAGAATTTTGCATTAGTCCAGATTGAAAGATTTTCTCGTGATGGGAAAAAAATATAAGAGAAGTAGTGAGAAAATCCTAATTTCCACATAAATTCAAGATCTTTTTGTACATTTGCCTGCATTACCTAAAAACAAAATTTTTGAAATCAATGTTAGATCTATTATACAAAATTCGATAATTTTTTTTTTGAAATACATTACATAATGAAAGACAGGTACTAATGCTGGAACTGCTTCGACGTAAGCGAATCTTGTTACAGTAAGATCATGTACTACATAGCATTTTTCTAGACATATGCTATAAATGAAAAAATCAATTTTTCATTAAAATTTTAAATGTAAATGTAATTCCAAATGATAATTTACCTTATAATATCTCCCTCATTAATTCTTCTTGGAATTCCTGGTTTTTTTAGAATTACATCCCAAAAATGTATAACTCCGCTGTGAGATCGAGCAAGAGCGAGTATATCTGCGTTTTCTACATAACAAGTAATACAAAAAAGTAATTTTTAGTAAGAATATTGAACATTTCAGGACGATTTATAAAGCAAGTAATTAACCAGTTTTCCAAAAAGTAAATTGCACAGTTGTAGTAGAAGAAATGTAAACTTTATAATAAATGTTTTCTAAATCCGAAATGTTATAAAATAAAATACGATTTTCGTTTGTTACAATGCCAATAAAGTCACCTGAAAATTTTTTTAAAGAAATATTATTAATCTTTAAAAGAAAATTTTTAAACTAGTTATATGAACTCATTCAAAAAATTGATCATACGATAAACATCCAGATGAGTTATTTGTTCATATGTTTCTATTAATGATAAATTACTGAGTTTATCAATAAACACTCGATGATTGATAAACAATGGCCATGTTTTCCAATAACAATAGACTTCTCGCCAAATTTTATTGTATTTCATTGGATCACTAGATCTAACTACATCGTAACTATATTCTTCTGGTTTTTCATTAATTTGATTTACTAAATGAAACATGCATTTTTCTGTCATTTCTTGAAAACAATAATCATCCCACAATATTTGTTGTTGAATAATTTTTTCTATTATTATATTCCAATCCTTACAAACAAGTTTAAGTCTTCCTAAATCTTCAGGACATTTTATTTTTTGTAAAATTTTCTCCCAAATCTCTGGAGGAAACATTTTAAACTCACACAATATATTCAATAGAATAAAACTTCGTGTCGTAGTCAAACAAGTTTTACAAACAGTAAATAGAAAACTATTATTGTTTTTATTCACAAGTAACAATCGGTTACTTGTGAAAAAATGTGCGTCTCGTATGTACGTAATAGATGTATATTTAACATATAAAGAGTAGCTGAATATAACTGATAATTTAAAAAGTTATACTTGTATCTAATTAACACGAAAATATTTGACCTCATTTGTTGAATAAAACGAAAAAAAGTTATTTACGTATTTATGCTTAGAAGATAAACATTCGAAAGAATGCCGGGTATGATGTTCATTGACCATGAAAATAATGGCTGATTAGATACATTTCTCAATTGGTTATTTTTGTATTCATAGAGGGCGCTGCTGGTTGTTTCTAGTTCCAAAAAAAGCGCCAAAGAAATAAATTTTCAATTTTCGTTAAGTCATAAATTCGAAAGTTCCTGAACAAAAGTGAATGAAATTAAACAAATGCCATCATAAATAAATTATTTTTAATAATAAGATACTTCTTATGTACACTTGGATATGTAAATAGTAGAGGAAGTGATGTAATAAAGATGAAATATGATTCATTGTCGACGTTGATTGTAGATATAAACAGGAACACAAATAGCATAGTCATCACACACTATAGAGCTGTAAAAGGGAGGTTATCAAAAGAGAATACATATCGAAAAGAACTCATCGGATTTTCTCTCTTCTCTTTCTTCTTTATAGTGATTGATCCTTGTGAACAGGTGCAGTACGATTGGACGCTGAATAGTTGGCGTTGTTAGTGCTGTCTACGCGTGTCATATGTATTTCGTGGCATTTTATTAAAACGCAATGCATCCGTAAATCTTGTGTTAATCAATCTGTCGTTGTCTGGAGCAAGTGGATCGCTAATAAAATAGCGGTTTGTCATAGTATTGTTTATAAAAAATATTATTCCAAGTGCCGGACGGCATGAATGTTTACAACGCGTCGTCAGCGGCCACCACCGTCGTCGCCGCTGCCGCCGCTGTTGGAGCAGTCGAGGGTTCTGATGATTGGGTTGAATTCTGTGATAGACACGCCCGCGCTGCAGCTTCTGATTTTGCCAAGGCTTTTTGTACATACGTCAGCTTAAACTTGCCGGAAAGTGCTCGAACTACTCTTTCGCACCGGGATTTTCTTAGGAAATTTATTGATACATTCTGCGAACATTTCGAGAATGAGTACCTTAGACGAAGTGCGAGGTTGTTAAAAATGCTTATTCATTCATTCTTATATTATTTTTACACCTTTCTTACGATCCAAACTATTAAAATGATTTTACCCAACACGGTTTGTTTTTCTCTTTTTTTTCTTACTAAAATTTAATTTTGTTTATTTTCAATGTATATTATTATCTATGTGTTTTTTTTTCGTTAAACAATTAGAAAACTCTAACAATTAATACTGTCTACTTTTTCCATTAACAATTCAAAGTATCTTTAAATATTTTTCTAATTTAGTGCTTTGTTGATCAATGTTTGTTTTGAAACAATTTGTTACAACTCATTAATGATTTAAATCATTTCAGATCACCATCATTCCACGATACACGTCATGTAATACCCAACTCTACTAGTCAAAATAATCGAACACCTTTACGTGCTTCATCACATGAGGAATTTAGTGATTACTCAGAACATGATGGCGAGATCGTATCACCTAAACCAACTCATAAGCCATTTTTTCGGAGGTTATCATTCAAGGGATTTAAAAAGGGGAAAGGTTTCTTTCATAAACAACAAAGTGATGAAGTGGAACTTTCTCACAGTGATTCTAGAAAAGATAAACATACTAAATCGAAACTTTCCAAAATTGTTGTCGAATGTCGAAAGGAGGGAGTTGTTAATACGTTAATGGGCGAAAATCCTGATGGAACACAAAAGTGGGAAAAATCTAGATTAGCTCTTATCAAGGCAATTGGTGGATATATGTTAGAATTTTATTCTCCACCAAAAGCTGTGAAACCTCGAAGTGGAGTATTTTGTTCGGTAATAACAGAAGCGCGTGAAACGACAGCATTAGAAATGCCTGACCATGAAAATACATTTGTATTAAAAACACAAAATGCAGAATTCGTAATTGAAGCTCATGATTCCGCTGACATGAGATCGTGGCTAGCAACAATTAGATATTGTATGAGGACAGCATTTTTAAACTCAATGAATTCAACAACCAATGATTCATCTGGGGATGGTTTAGGACATTCATCAACGGCAGGTCAAGATGGTGATCGTGTGAGAGCCAATTCTGCTAGTAAAAGTTCTCGTTCTGGTCATGATCACGCTAATGATCTCACCAATCCACCGGAATTACCTCCTAGACTTCGTACTCGTAGTAATAGTAATCTTGAGCTGTGCTCATCTCAACAAGAAATTGAACAAAGTAAATATTCACTGAACAATATTAATCACTATAATTAAAGCAAAGAATTTAATAAAATCATAATTTGTTTACAGTGAGTGGAAATGAAGGAGAGCCAGATATTGCCGTAAGTTTACGAGAGTATCCGTGGTTTCATGGAACACTTCCTAGATCGGATGCCGCACAATTGGTATTACACAATGCTGCAAATGGTCATGGAGTATTTTTAGTTCGACAAAGTGAAACGAGAAAAGGAGAATTTGTATTAACATTTAATTTTCAAGGAAGAGCGAAGGTTTTTATATTATTACTATTTAAATTCATTTTAAACTGAATGCACTATTTGATAAATTAATAAAAATAAATCTTGCAATTTTTTACAGCATTTAAGAATGACATTAAATGAACAAGGCCATTGTCGTGTTCAGCATCTTTCTTTCCCGGCAATAGCTGATATGTTGGATCACTTTAGGCAGAATGCAATACCATTAGAATCAGGTGGAACAGCAGACGTGATGTTAACAGAATTTGTGGTGGCAAATCATGCGTTACGTCCAGTGGTTCATCCTGTAGCAAATACGAATCTACAGACACCTCAAGAGAGGAGACCCGCCGCTGTCCCGGAGCCCAGAGAAGTAAGAGTCAGCAGCGGAAGTCTCACACCTCTTGAGTGAGCGCGAGTGGCCGACTCCCACAGTCTCAAGTCTGAACAACAGACAGTGAGTAGATAACACGCTAAAGCGATGCCCCAGATTTGATTGGATTTAACACAATAATTGATATAAGTACATCCTTTGACTTCTTAACGATTCAAATAGTAAAGAACTATCTCAAGTTATATTTAAAAATTTTTAAAATCATGAAATCCTCCTTCTATGTAGTAATGAAAACCAATATTAAAACATTTTTTAATAAATTTAAAAAAGATCTGGCCGTGGGTGAGGGGCTCGCTTTCACACAAATACAAGTAAAACATTATATAAGGTAAAGGCACTACTAACTAATAGTGTAAATGACTCCATATTTTCACGGAAAAAATTAATGTTTAACTCTTAATACTAGTGCCATGTAAAATTGATGTTTTTAGCGTCATTTATATATTATGATTATATATGTTTCTTAGTTTTTTATACTTAAGGACATTCATTAACTGCAAATTATATCTATATTTAGGTTCAAACATATGGAGGATCAATAAGAACAAGAACAGAGTCTTTGGAACGGCTTGAGCAACAAAACAGTAATATGGATCAACAAGCAATGACTTCGTCAAGCAATAGAGCTATTCAAAATACCTATAGTTTTCTTTGACGATGGATCCGTAGAGCTTTACCATCAGGGTATCGTTTAGTCAGTCCCCCAGATTGAACACCTTTAAGGATTGAGTATAAGTCTCAAATAATGTTCCCTGACTATTTTAGTCAAAGTTTTATGCTAGAGTTTTTGAACCTTTCAATGTCTCTATATTCTCAACCATATTTTGTCGATGTCAAAGTAACTATCATAAGGACAGAAAATGAACATCCTAAGCTCAATTTATTCTAGCAGTATACAAATGAAATTGAAAATTACCATTTATATTTTGTCCCTATAAGACTGCCGCTTCCCAAATTGAATATGTAGCTATTTGAATAGCTATGATTCAAGCTTCAGCTCAATATTTAAATACTAATTGCATAAATAATATTTTGAGCAGCCAATGAATCTATCCTCACGCAAGTGTTAATACAAACGTTACAAAAATTATATTTTTTCAACGCTAAACAATTTAAGAAAACGTGCAGGGATTGTAATGATGACGTAAAAAGTTAAAAATCAGAAATAGTTTAATAAACCCTCGAAATGTACATATAATTATATTTTTTTTTATCTTTCGCGGCAGCTTCCAATGTAAAATTGAATATTTAATGCCTGCTTATTTTTTACATAAACGAATTAATTGTAAACTGTATGACATTGCTCCGAATTAAGACTGCCTCTTGCTTACTAATCAATTTATATTTATGTGCAAAGATCATTAATCTCAAATGCGTTACCTTTTATACAATCATAGTTATATTTTTTTTAATCTGACTGATAAGATTTGTTATATACAAAATCAAGTGATGAATTTTTTTCTGATCAAGCAAGTTAACGATTATTATTTCAATAATTTCAATGAATTTTTCATTTGAATATTTGTACAAACTGATGTAATGATGAGACTGGTAGAGTCATAATAATTGTTTAGAAGCGCTGAAAAAAATACTCTTGAAATTCCTCTTCTTGTTTTTTATTGATTAATGGATAAATTAAATTATTGATGAAATAAAAATATAAATTTTGAGTAGTGTAATAGAGGATAAAACAAATAATTATGAAAAAGAATTAAAGTACTTAATTTAAATTTTTCATAAGTCACAGAGAGGAGAAGAAATATGGCAATTTTTTTATTGATAATTGAATAAGAAATTTTTTTACATTTTGTCTTTCATAAAAAGATGATATGCGTTCATTGAATAATGAATAATTGAGATATAATCGTTGTGTAATTAAATGTGATGTTATTTTATTTAAATTTATTTTTAAATAGTTAACATTAAAAATTTTTTAAGTTTCTTCTTTTTCTATGGCTTCTATATATTTACATTATTTAAATGTAATAAAATTTCTTTTTATTTTTTCATTTTTAATCAATTGGAAAAACAAATAAATGGCTAAAACGCTTTTTTGTTTAATCTTTAGTACTCTGTGACACATTTTATAGACAGAACATATCTTACTTATAGTAATGATTATCGATTAATTTTTTCTTTCATAGTACTTGTTAATATTTAAGAATGAAAATAAAAATCGTATATTTCTAGAATTGCTCTTAAATTACAAAAGAATGTTTATTATTCTCTAAATAATATTGAAGATCTGTTGCACATAAGAAAAATGAAAAAATGAAAAGAAATTTACTAGTATAATCGAGCTTTGTGTTGTTTTATTGCTAAATTGTAATAAATAATTTCATCATCATGTGTTCATGATGCTGGCTCGAAATATGATCAATTATAAAAAGTATCCAGTTATCGAATATCAATGTACAGTACCTTCTAGTCTGAATATATTAAGATCTTGATAAGAATGATTTTTGTATTTTTCATTCATCCGTATCGATTACAGGTGACAGCTGCAAAAAAAAGATAGAAAATTAATTTAATGTAATACTTATTTTGAAAATATATATAGCATTAAAAACCTTACATAATATTCGATATAACAAGTATGTCCATCATCAGTTTTAATAAGATATTGGAAACCTAAAAGTCCTGACCGATCAACTCTAATTGATACCTTATTAGCACAACTAAGAACTTTTGTAGCAGGTTTGACATGAGTGTACTGATAACAAAATGCTGTTGTTGCTTTACAGTCAAAATTATCGATTAATTCACTATCATGAGGTAATTCAATATGACACTCGCCTGCGAGTCCATTGGTGCTTATTCGAAAATATGGAGCATCAGGAGAAAGGATCAACTGTAAAAAACAACTTAATAAAATTAATTATTCAAAATTATTTGGATCTTTTTCATATTAAATACCTCCATAAACTCTGTCGTGGGATCCAGTTCACTCCAAATATCTTTTAACAGATCAGTATTCATTATAACTTTATTTACAATACTATCTGGTTCCATATTAAAATCTAAAAGATCATCTGGTTCAAATGTTTTTAATGAACAGTCTGTTATAATACCATCTTCTTCAATTAGAACAGATATTGGATGACCAACACCCTTGAAAAAGTAATTTGAATAATAAGTAATAATTGGCACGAATTGGAATTTTAAAAAAATAACTAGTAAATATTCAATTTACTTTGTAATAAAGCTGTAGAACGACAGATGATCCCTGGTTAGACATACTACTCCAAAACATTCCCAAACATTCAACCAATATTGTTAAATTAATTTTGAACATGACATCCTCATCGAGATTAAATTCTTGGAAGACATTTATTGGAACGTAAGCACTTGCTTGAATACATTTGAAATCTTCTACTGTTACTTTCAGACCATTTTCTGAACAATAACACGTCGCCCACTACGGTTGAAAGTAAATTAGAAAAAATTAACTTGTTATAAAATTAATTTCTAAAGAAAAATTTGAATTAATTTACCTCTTTAAAATTAATAAACCTTAATAGTTGTACAACTGTTTTGAGATTTCCAAGCTTTGCGACAAATTTATAACTATCCTGTGTGCTCATCTTGCATATAAGATACTTGATATAACCATAAACTTCGAAATTGTTCTCGTGTAAGTTCTTTTTTGATTAATTTATCTGGAGTTAAAGTAACTAACCAAGCTGCTAAAACATGTTTGCATGTCAAGTCAGTTTTATCTCTTATTACTTGATATCTGAAAATATATGAATGTGATTGAAAAAATTTTTTAGTCATATAACATCAATTCAAACTCTATTAAATACCGAAAAGCAGCACATGGACAAAAATTAACTTCAGGAAATAATATATAAGCTTCTCCCGATAGGCCTTGAACTTCAATTAACCACCTAGCAGCATCAATTTCCTTCCAAACACCTGATGCACTTGGTTCTAATGTGATAATCTTCGTTATTTTGCCGGTTTCATATAATTCTAGAGCTCTTTCAAATATTACACCAAATACAGAATAAAGCTTCAAAAAAAATGAATCTGAAACTATTTTAATAATTCAGAATTTTTTTGCTAACTCATTAAATAACTCAATTATTTTAAACATCTTACACTTATTTTCTTTAGCAAAATCCACAGATGCTTCTTCAAGTGTTTTTCGTGCAATACTTCTTATTTCAGAATCAGTTTTTATTTTTGTTTCAATAGCTGGTGAAAATTCATCCGAAGTGCTCATACTGATTTAAAGTATTCTTTTTAAAAAAGTTTCAAATTTCTCTAGATCATGATAAAAACACGTGTAAGATATTTGTGTAAACAAAATGTTGCTGTCATATGTTTTCCACCGAGGAGACATATTTTGGCGCGAAAGCACAAACTTATACTCCGTTTCTACTAACTTTAATAATTAGTCATGGGTTGAAACAAATACAATAATTTTTTGTATTACAAATATTTTATTTTTATGAATAAGAATATAAAAATATTTTCTTAATAAAAATAGATTATTTTTATTAAAACAGTTATTGAGTATTATAAAAGTCCATCACCAACAAAGTTGCTTATCAGAAACTAACAATTTAAGTGTTTTACGAGTGATCAGTCTTATTTTATCAATAGGAATAGAATAAGTATATAAAACACAAAGAATATTACTCTTTGCTTTGAGTGCATGACATTTGTAGTATTCTAAACACCAATAAGTCTCTTTAGTACGAATAGTTTTTTTCTTATTTGAATTTTTTTCTTTTTCTTGTTTCTTATTAGATTCTGTTAATAGAAATGTTTCTACAGCCTGATAATAAAATGTTCGTAAAATATCCAATTTATATAGATTGGTCTGATGGTTTGTCGTTTGTTTAATATTTCTACTCATTACGAATTTACCAACTCGATAATTAATAAGTAAAAATCTGCCAACAAATTGAAAAATAACATTAGAAATGTTTTATATTGAAAACACTGTATCAATATCAATTAACTTAAATAAAATTACCCTAAAACATCAGGATCTAAGGATATTTCAGAAGGTATACATTGAGGATAACAATGTTCAGCTCTTCTTAAAACATCTATGTGATTTCTCCAACACTGAATTGCTAACTTTTCCACTTCAATCAAATCAGGCTTTGGTCCACATAATGCTAATACATGAACGCCATTCACTAAAGTAATTGAAAGCAGTCTAAATGCAATCTAAAAAGAAATAATTTATATTCATCAAAACAATTATATTTAGAACTAAAACTTGAATAGTTTTTGTATACTTACAGTTGGACTCATTTTGGGCAAAAATACTGGAAGATCACATGAAGAAGCATTGCGATCCATAGAAATTACTATAGACAGTAACTTCTTCTCTATTGAATCTAATTGCCACCAACTTTCTGTTGCAACAGTGCAGCAACCATGAACTAAAATACACCCATAAGATGAATCCAAATACTCCAAAAACATTTCGAGTCCATTCTAAAGGAAAAAATATTTATGGATTCATCACTTGAGCTGTTTATCATCTACATAAATAATTTATATTCACCTGAAGTAAATGATTTTCTGGACATAACATGCTAGATGTCAAGTCTATTAAATCATTTTTTGTGCTAAATCTGTCATCAATTTCTAAACATTCAAATAATTTGTCAATTAATCCATAGCAGGCTCTTAAATCTTTTTTTAATCTTTCGATATTTCTTGGATTCTTTATTTCATCAATACCAACGACTAATATCATTGCATTGAATACTGCTTCAATAAAATAGTCTAATATTTTTTTTGTAACTCCACTAGCAATTGCAATTAATGTTACTGAATCAGCATATTCATTCCAACTTACTATTATATCTGACATTTTTGTATCATTTAACTTAATATCTTGAGACTTCAAAAACATGTGTATACCACTCAATGATGCCATTTTCGAAAAAGCCATCTATAAAATAAACCAATACACAATTCATTGTTAGTATGAAATAATTAATTAATAGTAAATTAATAATAATCATTAAAAATTTTTGTATACTTACAGGACTACCTTCACCCTTTTTTCTGATGAAAATAGGGATCCCTCCGGAAGAGGTGAAACACATAACGTGAGCAGTCATGTTTTTAGATTAACTGTTTGTTAATTTATTTTTTAATCAACTTTCTTATCGCCATAAATAACTACAAAGCTCCAAGTAACATGATTGCAATTTTAATAAAAATATTTTATTAAATTTTGATCTCTAATTGACACTTGAATATCCTGATCAAACACTCATATAGTTTGTTTTTGCTAATTAGCGTTTACAACGTAAAATAGGGATGTCGTTTAGATCTCGATCTTTTGAAAAATCGATTTTTTCACATCGATTAATCGTTTATTTCAGATCGATTTTCTGCTGTTGATTGATCGAGTGAATAAAATCTTAGTAGACAAAATCAAACTAAAATTTAAAAAAAAAATTGTGATTGAGAAATAATTATTCATATGCATTTTTTTTTTTGGTAATAAAAGTTCATGGAGTGAATACTTTAAACATCTATTGCGCATGAGTACATACACGAATATTTTCTATCGTCTTTATTGAAACATTTAAAACATTAATTAATATTAATATTACGGTGATGTCTTGAGACAAATTAAAATTCTCGATGAACAGCTATTGAGTTTATGCACGTAAAAAATGAAAACATAATGTATGTACAAATTAATTATATATCCGAATTTATAGACTTTTTCTAAAAATATTAATCAATAAAATACTGAATTTCAATTACAATTTATCTTATTTTTTTTTTATTAATCTTCCTATTTTTGAAATTATACTTACAAATATGTTTCAAATTCAATCTAATCTTAAAATTATAAATAAAATTCTTTTCGCTATTTTTTTAGGTGATCTATAATGATCGACTTTTTAAATATTTTTTCTCTTTGATTTTTTAAAAGAATCTTTAACCGGTGATCTAGCATCTCTCATGTAATAAAACTTAAATAACTTATCTATAAAAACAAAAGATTTATTTTAACAGAAAATAATTTCTACATTATTTACATAGATTGTATGGTTAATTTACAATTATTACAAATTAAATTGATTCATTGGATCTTCATCCCGTCGTCTCTTCATTTGATAGGCTTCTATTTCTTCAGCAGTTGGATCTTTGGACTCATACATGCTATTGTATGGACGTTTTCTTTCATCCATTTGCAGAAGTTGTTCAGCAGCTTTTTTATTCTTCTCTTCTTTCTTCAAAGCTTTTTTCAATTCTTTCTTTACTTTTCTTTTATCCTGCAACTTTTGTTTTCTTCTCTTTTTCTTTTCTTTTTTGGAATTATTCCGTTTCTTTTCAGTTTTTGTTCGAGTGTCCTCTTCAGATGAAGATTCACTTGATGAACTACTACTACTACTACTGCTGCTACTACTACTACTACTACTCCTACTACGGCTACGAGTACTTTTTTCACATTTATTATTTTTATCAGAACTATCACTTTTCTTGATTTTGTTCGTATTATTAGGTTTTTCAAAAGCTTCTGATGAATTAATTTTTTCGCTAATAGTTGGGACCTCTGTTGGAGTAGTTTTTGCCGCTTCAAGAGCCATTTTTCCTGCTTCACCTGTACAATAAGAATTTTTGACAAAAGAATGACAGCATTTGAATCCCCATTTTCCTTCTTCCCAATACGATCCCCATACTGATGTATGATTATTTGGAAAAACATCTTCTTCATATTTGGATCGGATTATCTGTTTTTCTTGACCTTTTATAATCTAAAAAAAGTTAATAAATAATTAAATTATATAAATTGACTTATATAAAACATAATAAAATTCAAATAGAGCAGAAAAATTTTCTTACTTTTCCCGATCGTGAATATTCAACATAATTTTCCGTCTGAGCTAATAACATTTCCTTATCGGGGGTTTGGAGATATTCACTTCCTCCATATTTTTCAATTACATTTCCTTTCACTTTATCTTTTAACTCATCCTTTTTTTTATCATATTCTTTCTTCAATAATTCCAATTTGGTTGGCTCTGCCAGTAAATGAACATCCACACCTTTCTCGTAAGCATCCCAAGCAAATAACTGTGCATTTGCATGTTTTTGAGTGTCTCCCGTGAATCGAACGAAATTTTCTCCTTTATAATCAACTCTGTAAATAAAATATTGATATTAAAACATGTTCATTATAATTTATTTATCGTCAAGATTAAAAAATGACAACTTACTCTGCATCTTTTCCAGCATATGGGTTATCTCTCATCGATCGAGTTTTTGGATCATAATATGCACTATTGGGATCTAAATTTCTAAGATACTTGGCCGTATCTTCACGTATTCTCAAGTTTCTGACAGTTATACGCTGTTTTGAATCAACTTTAGTACCGGGCATGTCAACTTCATCAACATATTTGTCTTCATCCTTATCTGAAGTTTGCTCATCATCCTCTTCAGCATTGAGCTTTTGTGCACGGAGCATTCTCTTAGCAGTTTGAATTTTTTGATATTCATCGACAATTGCACGATGTTCTGAAGGGTCATATCCGGCCCATCTGTCTCTTTTACCCTCATAATCCATTGACAGATTAGGTTGAATAAATTCGTCTGGTGCTATATTAGTATTGGAATATTTTGCTATAATTTTTCTCGGTCGTTCAAAACAATCCTTTTTTTTATGGCCCATGGCTCCGCAATTTTCACAAGCTCCAGGTCGATATTTATGAGCTTTTTTAGAGGTGTCCACACCTCGTTTATACCATTCATGTAAGCTGCTAAATTGTTTCTGCTTTTCTGGTTGCGGCCTTTGGTGTTTTAGCGTGGGGCCAGTAGCTCCAAAATACCATGGAGTGGCACTGATATATTGTGGGATGTGAGGGTTTATATCTTTTCCTTCTTCATCAACTGCTGCCGGTGCTGTTCCTGCTTTTCGAGCTTCTTCGAGCTCTTTGGCTTTTCTCCAATCTTCTCTGCTTCTCTTCTTAGGAATGCATTCTTCTGTAGCTGACATTTTTAATTTGTATTTACTTACTGTAACTATAGTTCAATTTTATTTCAATAAGACTTATAACTTGATTAATTAACTTTCTTAAAGCTGATAAATAATTAGCGTACGTTGTGTAAACGTTTATTACTTTTTTCGGTTATATGGACATTTTCCATTCTATGAATTGGTGATACGAGTATTAGTTGAAACTTTACGACTTTCACTGGACTGATTTGAGAATAATATAATCACTAACTACAATAAATAGTTAATGCTTGATTAGAAACAATAATAATGATTATGATATTCAAGTAATAAACAATTTAATAATTCCAAGAATATCACGAACAATGGCTGAGAATCGACTGACACTAGAAACTCGAATAGAAACGCTATAGTCGGACTGAGAGGAGAGTTCTTCATGTGCGCTTGTACGCTTGCGCAGTAGTGAAAAATGTGGTAGAAGGGGTAAGAAATCAGTGGTGGGGAGCCCGAAAGCGTACTGCCAACCGTATATACAATGTGGAAATAGGTATAGTAAATGCAGCGCATTATTCCTCTCGTAAGCAGGGAATTTGTGCTCATCAAGGTTGGATGACCTAATAAACATGTGCAGCAATATTTTTTGTAATTAAACGAGCTCTACTAGTTACCGGCATTCATATTACTTTTTACACGTGAAGCATAAGATATTAGCATTCTGCAGAGAATCAAGTTTTTTTGTTCTAAATAACTAATAACACGATGGCGGTAAGTTAATTAGCATTGATAATTACGCTTTCTAAGATCTATACTGGTATTAATTAATATGAAATTCTATGTAACATAAAAATTTTATCCACAGTTGTCGTATGAAGTAACTTTTAATTATATTTATAGGTTAGTCAGTTGTTTAGAACTTTTATTTTGAATTTTGAGAGATGAAAAATTTAAATAGAAATATTACATGCCGAATTAACGAGCCTTATTCTATAAAAAGAGAGAAAGTAAATTTATGATAATTTTATAACATATCAATCAAACAATCATCTGTTGTCATAGCAACTTCTATAATGATGTAGATTCAATTTTTATGATTATTTGTAAAAATAAGTAACGTTGTTGGAATAAGAGTAGTTAATAATTTATAAAACAAAAACTGTATATGTTTATAAATTAAAACTAGTTTTCTAAATATCTCAACTGAAACATTTACTTTTTTCCTAGGCTCAAGCAGCAGCAAAAGTTCAAGAAGTTCGAGAAATAACAAGAATAGAACGAATTGGTGCTCATTCTCATATTAGAGGCTTAGGACTAGATGACAGTCTTGAACCACGTCATGTGAGTAATTAAATACCTTTGAAATTCTATTTTTTGTTTAGATGGAACTCTTATTAGCTTTAAATTCTAAAAGTATTTTTACGGTGAATCATAATGAAGAATAAATTCTTTTAGGTTTCTCAAGGAATGGTCGGCCAGTTTAAGGCTCGAAAAGGAATAGGATTTGTGCAGAAAATGATTGAAGAAGGCAAAATAGCGGGACGAGCAGTTCTTCTTGCCGGGCAACCAGGAACTGGTAAAACAGCAATAGCAATGGGTTTAGCTCAAACTCTTGGACAAGATACGCCTTTTACATCAATGGCTGGCTCCGAAATCTATTCCTTAGAAATGAGTAAAACTGAAGCATTAACTCAAGCAATCAGAAAATCTATCGGAGTAAGAATAAAAGAAGAAACTGAAATAATAGAAGGAGAAGTGGTTGAGGTGCAAGTAGATAGACCTGCTACTGGAGTTGGTGCGAAAGTTGGTAAATTAACTTTAAAAACCACAGAAATGGAAACAATTTATGATCTAGGAAATAAAATGATAGATAGTTTGATGAAAGAAAAAGTTCAAGCCGGCGATGTCATAACTATTGACAAAGCTACAGGAAAAATAAATCGTTTAGGACGCTCCTTTACTCGTGCTAGAGATTATGATGCTACAGGATCGCAAACTAGATTTGTTCAATGTCCAGAAGGCGAATTACAAAAGCGTAAAGAAGTTGTTCATACAGTTTCTCTCCATGAAATCGATGTTATTAATAGTAGAACTCATGGATTTTTAGCTTTATTTTCTGGAGACACCGGAGAAATAAAGTCTGAAGTTAGAGAACAAATAAATGCTAAAGTAGCAGAATGGAGAGAAGAGGGTAAAGCTGAAATTGTGCCTGGTGTTCTATTTATTGATGAGGTCCATATGCTTGACATTGAATGTTTTTCATTCTTAAATCGCGCCCTCGAAGATGAAATGACTCCTGTTGTGATTATGGCAACAAACAGAGGAATTACAAAAATTCGAGGTACAAATTATAAGAGCCCTCATGGAATACCAGTCGATTTACTTGATCGTATGATTATTATATCAACAACTCCGTATGAGGAGAAAGAATTGAAAGAAATCTTAAAGATAAGATGTGAGGAAGAAGATTGTGAAATGGCCGATGATGCTCTAACGGTTTTGACAAGAATTGCTCTGGAGACATCATTGCGATATGCTATTCAACTGATTACTATAGCATCATTGGCAAGTCGCAAGAGGAAAAGTACTATGGTATGTTTCGGTTTTTTAATAAACAAATATCTAATTGAAAAATTGATAAGAAATAGCTAATTTTAATTACAGGTGAGCATAGAAGATGTCAAACGAGTTTATTCTCTGTTTCTTGATGAAAAGAGATCAACGCAATATCTGAATGAATACCAGGATGACTATTTATACAATGAACCACGTAAGTGGAAAATGTTTTCACAAAATATGTTAATGAGAAAGCAAAGTAGAAACCGGTTAGGTTTCTAATAAATAGCCTTGATTTATTATTCAATTACATCATCATCTTTTACAGCTACTGACCAACCAATGGATACTGCTTAAAGTCATCGCACGTCACATTAGTTCTATTGATAAAACATATTTGTCGTTGTAAGTCGATTATTTTTTTTTACTAAATGAAATTATTTTTACAACGAATTCTGGTTTTTGTACTGTTTCATACTTGTCTAAATCATTCCATTTCATATGCTTGATTGACATTTCTCACAACAATAAAGATTTCTATTTATTTATATTTTTGGAGTTATACAATAAGTTAAACATATAATTATTACCTTAAGTTTTCCGTTAAGGATACAATAAAACAGAAAGCTAATTAAAGATACAAAAGTAGTTTTAACCTAAGAATAAATTTAACTAATTATGAACAAGTTAGATTGCGCAAATCAGGAGAAAAAATATTACAAGACGTAACTTATTTAGTAACAAACTTTATTACATATTAAAATAAAAACATTGTTATGAAAGTAGTAAAAAAAAAGTAGATCTTCCATTTTAATACTATAATTAACTCATTTTTTATAACTCCATTATTTTTAATACATCAACAAAAAAATAAGAACAATATTAATTTAAAATACATTTATGAGCTTTAATACACAGTGTACATAGAATTCAGATGTTCAATCGGTTTTTATTTTTCTTTAACAGTAATTAGAAAGTCATGAAAATTTTTTTTATACTAGACAATATCGCAATTTTTGCTTTTATATTAATGACAACTTACAATATGCCCACGAAAATAGTTTTGGAGATAATGTTGAAGAAAACCCGTATTTTTGAGCTTGATATTTTGATTATATTACTCTTCAATGATTACATTATTAAATAGTAAGTGGATAGTGGTAAGAAGTACAAGATAAATTATTTTTGGTGTGAAGCTCTTTGTTTATAGTTATTTTAAAATTATTGAAATAACTTGTAATTCATAGTTTGGTCCTTTTGTCTGAAGGTTCATTGGAAAGCTTAAATTTTTTCAATACGTTTTTTTGCTGGAATAAAATTAATTATTAGCAGCAATATTTCCAATAAATAGTTTTGTTTTATTTGAGATAAATATAAGTTAGCGATAAACTACCTGTTATTAATTTCACTTGTCCATCAGGGTTGTAGGTAGCTTGGGCTTTTTTGTCCTTCGAAACAAAGCCATATCCATAACCGACCTTGTAAACTGGTAGTGGAATAACCGTCGATGAAACGGGTATCATAACTATTAATTTAAAATTATTATTAATAATTACATGTAATATTTACTTCCATAAACTGGTTTACTTTCTAAGTACAACATTTAAGCCGATCTCAAATATTTCAATTTATTTTACATTCATTTTGTTCTTCATTTACTTGATTTAATAAGAAACTGATAAGAAAGGCCTAAAAAGGTTTGATCAACAAAACGAGATCGTGTCTTGCTATATTTGAAACCCACGCGCCAGGTGACATCATCACCCCGTTATTCCATACCTGTCATCACTCGTTCACCAATTTATTTATTTTTTTTCTCCTTTTTTTTTATTCTTGTGGTTTATTAATTTAGCGAATCGATGACCTTTTTTCCACTAATTATTAGCTTCCTAATGCATTTAAAAGTCTTTAACTTATTCATATTGAAATTGTTTATAAGCCAAGCCTTCTCTCAAAGACATAGCAGTTATTAGTGCGCGTCCGAGACCTCGTTTGAATCAAAGAGAATGTACAAGTCTTTAGGATTCATTCAAATGCTGAATTATAAAAAATTATGATGAGCTTATCCAAGTTTTTTTCCCTTTTATATTTCTATAAAATTAATGACTATATAGTTTTCATTGATGATAACTTCATCAATGAATTTCCATTAAACGTTTTAATAATTTAAAATTATGTTTACTTTATATACCTCCAATTCATTGCTTTTATTTTAATTTTATTTTATAAAAGTAATAGTTTAATCTTCTAAGAAATAACTTTTGATTATTAACATCAAACTTAAATATTATTAAAAAAATGTCAAGAAAATTATTTGAAGAATTAACGAAATGTTAATTATTATTAAAAGATTATTAGATGAATTTACCAGGTTCAAATACATTATCTTCATTTCTTTTATAAATCATAGGTTTTCCTATGACTTCAGTAACACCAATCATCAAAACAATAATACAAAATACTTTCAGCATTATCAAAATTATCAATCAATCGAATGATACCAAATTTTCACACATAAGTCACAGCAAGAAATGATTGTTATTGAACGAATCACAATCCACACGCGACTTGTCTGAATGATACCAACTAAGCTAACATACTACGTTCATACGATGTTTCTCTCGTGGGAGCAGTGAAAACGTGAGTCGCGCGCGCCACAGGGAAAGTCTCTTTATTTTGCTATATCCTGGATACTGTGCGCCTGATCCAACAATAAGAGAAAGTAATGAAAAATAATGGAAGAAGATACTAGGAGTACAAGATAGATAACATTTAATTAGGACAGAAGATAGATACAGGTTGTCACCTAGTTTACAGTCTTCATTGTTTCATTCTCTTATCTACTAATTCTTTCATGTTTTCATATTTGTCTATCTGCTGTTTAACGCAACATAAACTATGAAATACTATCGAGTTGATTATTTAGTCAGCGTGAGTCTAACAATAAAACTGGGTTAAAAAGTGAAAGGATTTGAGTGCTAAGTGGCAGGTGAAAGGGTCACAAGAATTTTCATTATCATTTTAGGCTTGTGATTATTTCAAAAAGGAATATTTTGATCATTGATCAATGATAAACCTGTTTGTAAGCAATATCAAAGCTAAATAGTCTCATAATATTTAACAATGTTAAAGAACTGAATAATGAGTATTAATACAGAGAAATAAATGTTATGTTTTTTGTGAACAATGATAAATACTCCTATAAATACAGTGATTATGCTGGTAATAAGAAAGGAATCTTAAGGAAGATTCTTTACAAATCTTATTTTTATGCCCCTTATTCGTTTGTTCATTTGATCTAAAATCCATAGTGAATGTTGTCTCACCCTCTACACTATCGTCTCCTTCATTGAATGTGAAGTAAAGAAGGGTGCAACGATTCATCAAGGGAGATGACGTCATGCTCCATTGAAAAAGCCCCCCCCTGAAATTGAGAAGGTTCCACAAACATTCCGATCGACCACCACTTAAGATGTGTCATCAGTTGGATAGGACTTTTTTTCAACATCTATATTTTGTAAAAATATTCAATAATTTAAATAAATCATTTTTATTTTTTTATTAAAAAAAGTTATCTTCACTTTTGTCATTGATAAAGAATATACATTTTAATTACATTATGCTAAGAAATTTATGTTTAAAAATTGTTATTTAAGGTATTTTTTAATCAAGCTCATAATTAGTTACTTTTGTGCGCTCTATACTCATTCACATTTAATGGTGTTCGAGTTCAATCTCTTCATTTATTATTAATTGATAGTCAGGTTGAGCGTGACTATTTATTGTATATCATTTATTCCTGTTATCAATGTCCTACATATCATATGCACTTGAATTAACAGATAAATCGAAAATTAAATGACAACAATATTTTTATAAAATTTTCAGTTTGATATAAATACTTTGAAGTTATAAATAGAATTCATTATTTATCTCATTAAGTCTATTCTCATTTGTAGAAGCTGTGTTAAAGGGAAGTGATTGTAGTTGGAACTTTTTTTTTATTTTTTTATAAAAGGGCAAAAAAAGGGAACTTATTATTTATAACGAAAATATCAACTTTGATCTTTCATGTATTTTAAATGTCACTTGTCTGGAAACTTACTACAGACATCAGTCCAAGTCTGAAGATTAAAGTTATCACCTTTAAGGTGTGCTAATAAATTTTTTGAAGATGAATTGAAAAGATTAATTCAACATAGAACTTGACTATGAACAAGAGGTTTAGGATTATTAAGACCTTTAAAGCCTCATTAGTAAGTGATTTACTGGGAATTTATGATGATTTTATGGTGTGTTTGCTAATGTGATTGTTGATAATTTGAATGTACAACACAACACCTCGAATAAATCATTCAAAATGTCTATAACCCACCCTATAGTGACGAATCAACGGATGAGTGGACGTATATATCTTAACTGAGTCGTCAATTATTCCAGCCAAGTCTAGCAGCGATGCTTGCTCCCCTCATGAAGAGTATGACACTCGGGGAGAAATACGTTCATCCTGCACTAATTGCTACTACTTTCTCAGGGATGATGCATCCTGGGTTCCAACAAAGCATCTTAGAATTTAGATATACAATGACTCAACCATACTCTAATGTAACTTACATGTTATTCAAGTGTATATTACGGAACAATGTAAGTATACGGTCTGGAGGAATATGCTTTTCAAATACAATATATTATTCTTGACTGGAGATAGTAGCTTTTGATTATGTTTATGACTCTTTATATCTTGTCTCTTATCCAATTTAAAAATAATTCATAACATAAATGTCACTGTTGCTTTTTTAATTCTTATTTATTCATCAAAAATGTAATCAATATTTAAATCATTTTGAAATAAATGAAGCACAATTTTCATGACGTTTTAAGATAATAATCAGTTCAAACATCTAGCTTTTTTAAATTAAACAATTCTTATTGATTGAAGTTCTAATTAAATAATAATATGACTTTGCTTTTTTATTCAAAAGCAGATACAAGTCTTACTTCAATGAATAATAAAAGCTATAAAAAAGAAGAAGAATTCAAAAAATGCTTATATTATTTATTAGACTTGATTTTCAACCAAGCTTTCACTATTTTAATATTTTATTTCCTTTGAAATAATTTAAAAATTAATTAAATCATTTTAAAAGAAACAATTGTTGATAATTGATTCTTTGACTGATAACAAAAAGCACAGACTTGTTGAAAGCTTTAAAAACATTGATAAAAACTCTTTGTTATTATTTTTCTAATTATTCCAATTCTTTCTTACAGAGTTCAATGTATCAGTGAATCTTACAATCAATACTTTTATTCAATGGAATGAATAAAAAAACCGGAAAAAACGAACAAAGCTGATGCTCTGAAAATGATTCTTCTTTATTTCTCTACAAGTTCTGTAACATGAATCAGTACTGACTGCTAGTGGGTGCTAAAAATCCGAGTATTAAAATTGCACGCCTCGGGCCTCTTGGGTGACACAAATAAAAGATTAATGTATCGAAAAGTACGTAAGTCTGAAGAAGAAGTTTTTTAAATACGTCAGCTTTAAATCGTAAGAGATAAAATGATTTAAACTATTTTAAAATGTTATATATTTTTTGAGTCAACATCTATTTTATATTTTTGATATAACTTATTTAGATTAGATTTATCATCGTATTGGCCTTAGGTCTGATCATTTATTACTTCTCTACTTGTGCTATGTTTTATTTAAGCCTGACCATTATTTTTCTTTTATATTGTCCGTGACTATCCTTTTACTTCCCTCTTACTTCCTTTATCGTCGCCATCTCTCTGTTTTCCTACACCTTATTACGCATCTTCAAAGGATCGTCTGTGTAAATAAACTTGGAATCGATTCAGGAATTCTATTTTTGTGATCAAATTTAACGAAAATGCTTTCTTATTTGATTTATTTAGCATCGTTTTTCAAGAAACACACTGCTTACATCACATTATTTTGTTTTCTGTAGATAAATCATTGTTAAATAAATTTAATTGAATCATTTTATTGCTAATATTTAAATGATTTGGTTAAATAAAAATGAATATTTATTAAGATAAAAGAGAGATGAATTTTGTAAATATTGTTAATGGAAAAGAATTAAATTGGAGCATTGTTAGCTTTGATTTAATTAAAAGGTAATAATAGATGTTTGAAACAGTTGGAAAAAAATCAGAATATATTTGAGGATTATAAATGTTACGTAATTCAAATAAATAAAGATTTACAAGTTTTTTTCAGAACAGTTGCTCTTCTTTTTTTCTAGTTATTTTACGATTCTGGAATAATCACCTTTTATGATGGAAATTCAAAACTAGCTTCTGGTTAATAAAAAAAATAATATCTCGTTTTGTAAAAAGTATTTGTTTAAAGAAATATAAATCCAGAATTAAATAGAATATTTTATATTACATAAAGTATTCATAGTATATTATTTTGAATAAAATAAATGACTTTCATTTATTGCAAGAAATAAAAGAATATATTTTTCAGATAAAGTATGGATAATATTTATTGATGAGTATGTTGATGATAATTTGAAATGTGTAAAGAAAAAAAACCACAGCAATCAATATAGCAGAAGTTAATTAATTATGTCCCACTGTATCAGTGATCAAATATTTATTGATTTTAGTATTAATTATGTTTATATTTGACGTTGATAAAGATAAATATATGCACGATCATTAATATTGAATTTATTATTTCCATTCTAACACTTGACTGTTAATCTTTATTTTTGTAAGATATTTTTTATCAATTCTATTGACATTTTTTTTCATTAATCAGGGTTGGATACTATTAATTGATGGACGTTTGATCTTCATAAATAAATAAATAAATAGAATAAATAGAAAAGTAGATATCCATCAAAATGACTCAACGAAGTAGAAAAATTAATTTATTGATTTATCACCATTAGCAAATTATATTGGAACAAAACAACAGAAGAGTTGGATAAGTCAACAAATTAAATTCGATAAAAATATTCTTTTAAACCTTTTTCAATCTTTATTGCTCACTTATTTTAACAATTACTCAAATATTTTATTGAAAAGTAATTTAACAAAATATTTTTCATTCTAAAATAGAATCAATAAGTATTATTTTGTAATATTAAATTAGAATTTAAGTTTCAAAATTGGTATTTCCAATATCTGTATGAAAAAATGAAGAATACTTTTTTGTATGACGAATATTGGAATGATATATTCTTGGTCATTCGCTCGTAATAGCTGAAAAATGATTTTTTGTAAAAATAGAGAAGTAGCTAAACCAATATCAAAAATTATTGATGTCCAACATCAGTCTTACATTATCAAGTATTGACTCTAATAATTCAAACATTACTCTTTCCCTATTTTTTCTAATTCATTATCAATATTACCTAACATCTATTTCATCACTTCCATCATCATCATCATCATCATTTATTCATACCCTAATTCTTCCATTCATTCATTCAACCCAAAAAAATAATTGCATCCTGACAATTCCTGAAAAAATATGTCCAAAGCTTACAGTGATTGTTCCATTTTTATCAGAGGCATATAATTGAAGAATCTTTTGAGCATCACCACAAACTTCTGAAGTGATTTAAAGAAATATTTCCTCTGGAAATATCATAGCTTTTTTTTTTGGTAAAGTTTATAGAAATATCATTTTTTTTTTCCACCCTAATGTTTTTGTAGTCCAGACACAAACCTACCGCTCTTATCATTATCAAGCGCAAGTGTGGAAAGCCACGAGTAGCATAGCAGGCGCGTTGTATTGTATGATAGATCTAGCGGGCGCTTCGTATCAGGGGGTGACTTTGCAATACATGGAAAAAGGGTGCGCGCGCAATCGCCTCGAGCACATAATCGAACTGGGAGCGCCTTGCTTTTCACCCTCAGCTCCGTCCTCTACTCACAGTGGTTCGTGTTTCAAGTAGAACGGAAGGATTCTTCATTTTTCCGGCATTTAAAGAGTTCTATTCAACTATTTATTCCTCCATATTTGAAACATATTTTAAACAAAAAACTTATCAATAATAAATCTTGCTAATTAATGAATTCACGTGTGCATTTGATTACCTTGACATCAGGTTTATCATCGACAACGTTGACAGTGTAAGATAAAGTGGTAATGAAATCAAAGTGTATGTGTGTGTGTGTGTGTATGTGTAAAGGGGAAACAGTGTAAAAAAAATATAAACGTTGCATTTCTTGGAATAATTATTTTTACAATAACCTGTCAAGTTTTTAATATATGAAATGGAGTTTTTGGAGTCTCGAGGGATGATTATGAGTTTAAATTTCGACGTTTTAGCACGTCAGTAAGTGTCTCTTTGAAGATAAAGATGAAAACAAGTCGTCGTCCTTCAAAAAGTGTTACTGCATGACAAAGTATCATTGGATTATTTGGCTTCTTCATCCACCAAGAAAGCTAGTAAATATAATCAAAACTTTGTCTAATGATTTTGTCAGTATGAAAAGCCGAAAGAGACGTCTTGGTGATCAACGAAAAACCAATAAGCTGTGACAGACATTTATTTAGTTGCTTCAATCACTTGGACTGTCAGTATTATATTAAAATAATTTGATGAATAATTAAACCAATTATTGATGATTAGTTATTTGATAAATAAATAATAAAAAAAGGAGAATGAAAACGAGAACAAGACCTCGGCCTCTTTGGCCACACCGGCGTCTTGTTCGGGCTCGCGCGAAGAACGTGCATGGCATGCGGACGATCAGTGCAGATGGTTGTTGGTTTAGGCGAATTATTTCTACATATAAACCGTCAATGGAGAAATGAGCGTGGCTCTTGATCACTACCAAAAGTGGCTTTGAGAGTAATCACTGGCTCTTTGAATGAGCCACGCCACCCCAAACAACACAATCCTGGCGGAAACCAAGACAGAAATGACTGCAGTACAGGGCAAAGAGAGCCCAGTTGGGTCCAACAGTCAAGAGACAACTGTACATCAGTATGTTGGACCCTATAGACTGGAAAAAACTCTAGGGAAAGGTCAAACTGGTGCGTTTAGTTCATCTTAACAATCCTTTCATCCACCACTCACCCTTTCAATTATTCAGCAAAATTTTTTAATTAAAAAAAATTCTTTTTTGCTTTCTCGAGTTGTTTCCTTTTACTTCAAGAGTCTCTCGAGCGTATCGAAATACTAAAGAAACTTACCCCTGTGGCTCCACCCTTACAGAAAGTAGAAATTCATATTCGGTAAATGTTTATCGAATCGTTTGAGAAATTTTCATTTTCAGAGATTTTATTGATGAGAACAACTTCAACTCGGGGCGTGTCCATAAATTATTGGAGTTTTTCTTCATCTTTTTTTTTTTTTTATCTTTTCGTACTTCTTATTTATGCACTTTTGTCCATGGCACTAATTCCGTTCAGCATATTCTGTAAAGTACAAATCGATAAACGTTCATAGAAATAGTCGTCATTATTACGAAAGTACATTAAAGAAAATGGAGTAATAAAAGGAAAGTTTAAGTTTTATGTTTCATTGAACAGCAAAACATCGATGAAGCATTGCCGCAGAGAGTCGAGTATTTCCGGATAAATAGCGGAAACTCGTGCTGTATACGGTTTTGGATCAATCACATCGGCCTCATTCTCACGAAATTTTATTTCATTTTTGGATCAATTGGGTTGGAAAAATTCCATTATCATTACCTTGTGCTTGGTCATTTTTTTTTTTGATATCTTTGCTGATATGATACAAGCTCAAATTTTTGGTTATGGTGTGATAAAAATTATCACGATAAACCATGCGAAAAAAAATATATATAAATTGCGCAAGCGCGTATATATATAAACGAACAGCGACTAAACATATGTAGATATACACATTGTTTCTACACCTATTCTTTCACAATGTACCTCTACTACTACTCTGCACCAATACTATACCTTTATATTACTTAAGAGTTCACTTGACGCATGACACTCTCTTAGCCCGTTTAATTTCGAACGCCACCTGTCGAATTTATTATTTCTTTGAGTTATTTTTTTCCAATTTCCAATGAGGAAGACGGAAGTAAATGACATTTTGACATTCGATATATGGAACATTTTTAAAAATAGATGATTGATTTTTATCAGGTCTGGTTAAGCTTGGCGTTCACTGTGTACTTGGTAAAAAAGTGGCAATTAAAATCATCAACAGGGAAAAATTGTCGGAGTCCGTGTTGATGAAAGTGGAACGTGAGATTGCCATCATGAAGCTCATTGATCATCCCCACGTTCTTGGACTTTCGGACGTTTATGAAAATAAAAAATATCTGTAAGTAACCTGATTCTAATCTCATTTTTATCACTACAAATCAGTGAATGATATCGATTGCACTTTGATTTTAATCATTACACCTTAATAAAATAAATCAAAAGAAACCAGGATACATTTATCATTACTTATTACTATTATTAAATTGTATTTTTTTTTTTAAAAACTAATTATAATACAATTAATCAAATGTTGCGTGTATTATTGTAGATAAAAAATTTTAAATTATTCTGTTACTTTGATTTCAACTGTTAAACTAATTCTAGAGAACGTTTTTTTTTTAAAGCAATAATTTAAAAGTTGATATGAAAATGTATGGAGTTTAATGAACTAAAATTAGTTTGAGTAATAAAAGTTAAAAAAAAAAGTTCTTTATAAATAGTTATAACTGATCGTCTTTTTTAATAGATAATCAATACATAAAGTTATTTCTCACAAATTAGTTTTTGCATAAAATTGCCATTAATTTTTATCTGAAATTTATTCTTGCAGTTATCTCGTCCTAGAGCATGTGTCAGGGGGTGAACTCTTCGATTATTTAGTCAAAAAAGCTCGTCTAACGCCAAAAGAGGCAAGACGATTTTTCCGACAAATCATATCTGCATTAGATTTTTGTCATAGTCACAATATATGGTAAAGAATTTATTTATTTTTTATTTATTTATTATTTCAAACAAATTGATGAATTAATCCAAGATGCATTTAATGAGCTATTTAGCTTTAGCATTAATCAATTGAATTTTCAGTCATAGAGATTTGAAGCCTGAAAATTTGTTACTTGATGAAAAAAATAATATTAAAATAGCGGACTTTGGAATGGCATCATTACAACCAGCGGGTTCTATGTTAGAAACAAGTTGTGGATCTCCTCATTATGCGTGTCCTGAAGTTATCAGAGTAAATATCAATTTGCTAATTGCTTTATTAGATTAAAATTTAAGAAAGCTTGAAGAAAAATCATTTCTCAAAAAAAAAAAACAAAAAAATAAATGAACAATAGTGATACTAGAATCCATTCATCTAATTTTGTTTAATTATTTTAAACATATCAGAGCTTAACAAAAAAAATTACTAATAAAAATATCTAAAAAAAAAAAAGAAAGTCATTGATTATAATTAACAATTAAATGTTTGTGATCAGGGAGAAAAATATGATGGCAGAAAAGCAGACGTTTGGTCTTGTGGAGTAATACTATACGCCCTTCTTGTTGGTGCATTGCCTTTTGATGATGATAATCTCCGACAACTTTTGGAAAAAGTTAAAAGAGGCGTATTTCACATACCACATTTTGTCCCACCAGATTGTCAGAATCTACTTCGAGGAATGATTGAAGTTAATCCTGATAAACGACTTACGGTAACTATTGCCTTGTAACTAAATTATTATTATAAGGAACAGTCCAGATAAATCTCTTATGACATAAATGTAATTCATTACTATATCTGTTACAGTTGGCAGAGATAAATAGACATATCTGGGTAACCGCTGCTGGTAAAGGCGAGTTAGAATTGGAACTTTCGATGATGGAAGTTGTGCAAACACACGTTATTCCATCAGCAGATTTGATAGATCCGGACGTTCTTCAAGCTATTGCAAGCCTCGGTTGCTTTAAGGAAAGAGATAAATTAATTCAAGAACTGCTTAGCCCTAAGTAAGTTTATCGCTGACAACCTTTTTATATCAGAACAAAGGAAAAATGGATTTTTGAGAAAAAAATATAATTGGACTAGACAGACTTTTTTTTTACAATACTTAGTGACATTGTTAAAAGGAATTGTTTCCCAAACAATAGTAACTTCAAAATATTTTTTTATATTTTCAAAGAAAAGCTTTTAAAGGACATATCCACAAGTGAAAAAGTAAATGACAGCCAAAAATTAATAATTGAAAATATAAAGCTTTCATTCCTTTGCTCTTAATCTATCGTCGTATTGTACGTAGATAAAAGGTTTTTTTCTTTCACGCCAACAATTTACTATTTTTCAAAAGAAAAATACTTCTACGATAGCTTGAAAAATTACTAGCATAGTATACTTCTAAAAAGTCTGGTACATTATTATGTTACTTCAACTTTAATGATCGCTCTATTATTTAATTTTAATAAAAATTAAAATGACTTTAATAAATAAATAATTAATTATGTTTTTTTCTTCTAGCCATAATACTGAAAAAGTTATTTACTTTCTTTTACTGGAAAGAAAGAGAAGAAGACCAGCTTATGAAGATGAACTGGAAGCCGTAAAAGTAGGAATGAGAGGTTCAGCAGGAGCCTTAGAAGCAGACCCACCACGGAAACGAGTAGACACGTGTCGGGTTAACGGAAGCACGACGTTAAACCTTGGTCAAATCAGCCATGGGTCACCTTTGACTCCTCGAAGACAGTCTAGGTGAGACACCTAATTAATTTACATAGAAACCCTCAACCATTCGTTTTCATAGATCTATGATTGATCCCGACAGCACGAGACATCATACTCGACGACCTCCAAGCACTGGATCACATACCCATGCATCGCACTCGCATGCTTCCACTCCAGGAAGCTCTCCTCTTCATGGACCAAACGTTGGCGGTTTGCTGAGTCCACATCGAGTAATTCCTAGCTCTCATCATGGACAAAGTCCTACACCACATCGACTGTCTATATCTGGAACAGCTAGTGGAAATGGTACTACGCCAAGTACCACGACAACCACTACTACTTCAACAACTCCTAGTGGTGGTGGTCAACCGCTTTCTAACGTCAGCATTGAGTTGAACGAAATTCAGTCCAGTAAGAAATCAATTTCCCCACATGGGGTAGTTTTATTGTTCGTAGCTACTTTAAGAGGTCATTCTGCTCTACAATGTATGAGACAAGTCAATTTTTTCAAATTTTTTAAACCACAGTAATTTACTATTTTCTATTTGTACTGCGGTTTATTGGAAAACACTTTTTGTTCACAATAACATTTAAATTAGTTTTTTTAATTGAAAAAGTATTAAAATAAAATCAGTCAATTTAGTTATTGATATTAAATTTTTTAATTTAACTTGTCTTAATTAATTTGATTAAAGGTAACTTCATATTCTACTTTTTTAATCAATTGAGATATTCTAATATTAAATTGGTTAGTTTTAATCCAATATTAAACAGCTATTAATTATTAAAATATCCTCAGAGGAAGTTTGTATATTGATGAAATTTCGACATGAAGCATTTATTTAAGAATTTTTTATAACATCTGATTGATCCGCTGATATTAAATTTTGTTCACATTTTACATCAGTCATTGATTTTCGTCGTCAAGTCATAAACCAGAATGACCCTTTGAGTACTTCAATAGAGTGAACTCTGTGTAACTTATTGTCAGCTATACATTTTCAGAGTTTAAATAAAAAAGTGTATTAGAAAATAATAATTGTGCTTTTCACAAAATTATAGAGTCATTCAATATTTTAAAACATTCTTCAGAATCAAAGAATTCAGTAATTTTGAAAATTAATAAACTAAAAAATTCTTGCTTTCAATAAATTGAATGTGATGGAAAAATTGCACAGTAAAAATGAAATGAAATATTCTCCTTGTAAATAGAGAGAAAAATTTCACCCTGAAAAAGACGTGTAGCGGAAGTTGCCTTTACTTTTTCGATCACTGATTGGTTGTCTTGATATTCAAGTGACGTTTAATATAAACTTGAATATAACTTCATTATTTAAATTCAATTTTATCAATATTTGATGCAAATTTCTATGAAAATCTCTTTGATTAAAAATATCACACTTTATTTCAGTGAGAAATGTAATCATTTTCACTTTTTTTCTATTTCAAAAATAACTACTTAAAGTCTGTTAAAAAGATATTTATAAATTCGACATTTTTGAAACAAAGTTTAGACTAATTTTTCCGATAAACTAATTATAGAATATCAGTTAGATACTGCTATAAAGTTTCTATATGTGAGATTAATTATTCAGAACTGCACAGAGATAAAAATGATTCGATAAGCTGACCTTCCATATTATTAATCTGACTGAAGAGTCTGTCCACGATTGACATTCATTTCAATGAAATTGATTCATGTATTTTTGATGATTGGATAATATTTTTCATTCATCACTAATTCATTTATTTACCATTTAAAATAAATCATATATAATTAATTAAATATTCTCTTTCTAAATAATTTAATATAAGTCTTTATTTAATTATTAAAGTAATTATTTCTTTATTACAGTTGGATTAACACCCCCTGGATCACCACATACTGGAGCAGGAACTGGTGCTCATCATTGGAGATCTAGACTCACGACTATTAAAAATTCCTTTCTCGGAAGCCCTCGTTTCCATCGACGTAAATTACTTACTAGTACTGAGGAGGTAACTTGAAAAAATATTTTCTTTTAATAAATTTTTCTATGAAAATCATCATCTCCAACATCATTTTAAAAGAACATATACCTCAACTGTCATTCAATGTTGATGATGAAATATCTTTTTTAGGTTCATCTTACACCTGACTCTTCACCTGAGCTTACAAAAAAGTCTTGGTTTGGTAGTCTTATGGCAACTGAAAAAGATGAAACATTTACAGTCCTCGTAAAAGGAAAACCACTTGCAAGTGTAAAAGCAGATCTCATTCATGCATTTTTATCGGTTCGTAAACAATTTTATGAGTGTTTTTTATTTAAACTTATAATAGAGTAGCTCAGCAACATTTTAAACGACTAATTTACAATGAAACACAAGGAATAATAATTATTTAAAACTCGTTAGAAGAAAAAAAAGGTTACTTAATTAAACCATTCAGTTAATTGAGACTTAATAAATGACTTTTTCTACTTGATAGTAGTACCATTATGCTTAACTACCATGTAGAATAAAGAAATGAACTATTTCTTTGTTGATTTAAGTGGAATTACATTACAAAATATTATTTCCATTATTATTATTATTATTATACATGATATATTTCAATAATTTTTTATAGTTACTATGCTATTATTATCAGTATTGTTGTTGTTGATTTCCAGATAGCAGAATTGTCACACAGCGTAAGTTCTCCAATGTCCTTTAAAGTGGAATACAAACGAAGTAGTACTGCACCTGCAATGTTTCAACGTCAAGTTCGGTTTCAAGTGGATATCAGTGCTATTTCTATTAAACCAAATGAACCTTTATTCGCCATTACGTTTACCTTATCGAGCGGTAAGTGTGGAATTTGCAATTCGTACCAGTTATTCCAAACTTCTTACTTCTTCACTACAATTTTTTGTGATGTTTGGCAATTATCCAAGAGACTAAGCAAATCGATGTTACCTTGGCACGTTTGTAATACCGTTATTTCCTTATCTACACATATATCCACCAAGCTTTCATTCCAGATAATCACCTCAAGTATTGACACAATGACGTGCCATTTAATTGAACTAATTCCGTCTTGTTTAACTAATCAATTGAATATTCTCTAAACTGATGAAATATGGAATTGGTAGATTCACTACCGTCTTACTCGATGAAGATATTAAGGAAATGAAATGTTGTTGATGATTGAAATAAAAACATTTTTGTTTTAATTATTAAAAATGATTGAAATTTATTGAGTGATGTTAATAATGAAAGTAGAAAATGATGTAGAGGTTTGTTAATCATTTTTGACATTTAACAGGTAATATCCGACGATTTCGAAGGGTTTGCGAGCATATACAATCTCAAGTGTGCTCTAGAAACATTAAATTAGCACTCGGTGCTCAAAGCAGAGCAGCACCGCCCAGTCCACGAGCTTCTCGTAAATTTACTACAGAAATGAGTGAAAGCTCAAGTTGTGGAAGTGACACCAGTGAACGGCTCTTCCTCAGTCCACACCCTGCTACCAGACAGGTAGTTTGTTTTAACAAGGTATCATCAAATCATCTTCATCTAACTTTCATTTCTCACTTTCATTTTTAAATTAGTTTAATGCTGGCTATTAGCTTTTATGAAAGAAACTTTTAAAGCTCTTATATAGATGTCTTGTCACATTTTCTAGAAAATATTTGACATAAAAAATTTATTTGCTTGAATAACTTTTGATATTTTAGCAATGCTGATTATTTAAAATATAGATAAAGTTTGTAATAAATATGTTAACAAAGTAATATTTTTTTCTTATCAGATTGATTCTGATCTCGAGTCAGAAACTTCTGCGTTTGACGTGAAATCTCCGACTCACGAAAACGGAAGACGAAGTTCCACCTCTACAAATAACAATAATCCACCAGGAGATGGTACGTCTACACCCGGAAGTCCACCTAAAGCAGTACGAAGTAATTCAGAAAGTCAAAATACTCCAGAAAAAAAGTGTGTCACAACAATGAGTGGTAGCAACATAGCGTGATACTATGAGAACTTCCGGGTGGAGTTTTGTTCGAGTCTTGCAAATCTTTGGAACAGTACTCAACGACTTTGGTGAGTTATTAAAGCAAATAAGTGTTTAAACTTTCACAATATCTCTGTCCAATCAGTTGATTACTTGATGCCATCGTTATCGATTTAAAACGATTAACAGAGGCTAAAAAACAAAATTCATTTACGGATTAATATAAACGAATAAATTGGAACTCGTATGCAATGGCTCGAAAGCGGATAAATATCTTAAAGAATTGCGCAAATAATTGATAATTAATTAAAATGATGATAATGAAGAGAGAGTCTGAAAACATTATGTAGGTATTAAGATATATTTTCTCAACAAACATATCCCACGGCTGACTAAGAATATGATTATATTTCATAAATAAACAATTAAAAGAAATAAAATAAATGTGCAATGAAACACTTTTATTTATTAAAGTGTTTTTAATTAAAGTGGCAATCTATCCTGATGAAATATTGATAGTCGAATAAGTTGCTCCAATAAATTTATACCCAACTAAAATAGAAAATAAAAAATGGTTACTAATACGAAAGTAAAAATTGATGATTAACTGATTAAAAATAAATTCAAAAAAACCGATGATAAACGACAGTTAAAATGTCTGTTGATTGATCCAATTATTTCATTAAAAAATGATTGACTATTTAAGGTACACATCTTGAGTAATTAATTAACATCTACTGTCAACGTGCATTATTGGATTTACGTATCGAATTATGCATTTTAAGTAATAAATTAGCGCACATTATGAAAATTCTATAGTTTGCGCATTTAATTAGATAAAAAATAAAATACAGCTTGAATTAAAAATAAAAAATAATGCAGACTTTACATTATATTATTTCTGATAATTATTGCTAACAGATCGGGCTATAAGCATATTAAAAATTTATTTATTATTTATTTATATATTTAAGTAAATGTAAATTAACTGAAAATAATAATGAAGTAGTAGTAAAAATTTCCAGTTGATATTATATGATAATTCTTCATTTTTGAATTTATAATTTGAATACCTTGCGATTTTTAATAAGGGTTAAAAACAAAGTTATTTAATGGTTAATTGCGAATTTATATATATATAAATATTAAACTATATGATAGGTATGTTTATTAAAAATAAATGATAAATGATATTACCGGCCATATTTAAACTATAGCGTTTTGTATTGATGAAGACCATAAATAAACAAAATAAAGTATTAAGACAAGAATATTTCGATAATATATTGTGTCGGGTGAACTTAAATAAAAAAAAACCTGATATATAAGCCGAAAATTGAAATAGTCTCTAATTTTTAGATAATTCATATTGTTAACATTGATAATATATCAGATGATAGTCATTTTTCTAGTGTTTCGAATGTGTATTTAATGAAAAATTGGGCGATTTTGTAATGTCGAATGAATTTTTAAGTTTTGTTATTTATTATTAACTTTAGATAAATAGAAAAAAATTCAAAAAATAACGACAAGATCTATTTTTTATTTTTAATTTTTGATGTAATAAAAATAAAAATCACAAAAATATTAGTTCCATAAGCTGGATTTTTTTCTATGCAATAATGGATATTATTTTTATAATAAAAAATACGAGCATGAATTAAAACGTTTGTTTATTTATTACAATTGTTAGCAAATCTGTTGATTGGTTGGCATATATTTTTGTTAGCTTGATAATTCAATTGTTAAACATTGTAAATGATGAATTCTTATTAATGATCATGATAAGAAATTTGGCAATCACTTTATTCTGGGTATTTAAAAAATTTTAAGCCAATACTGTAAAATATATTCTTACTTAATATTTGGAACATAAATTAGCATAAATTAATGTTAATATCATACGAATTTCAAGCGATTAAATGCGAAAATATATAATAGGTAATTACTAATTTAATGAATTTCAATTTAACTGAATACATAGTACATAAATTGTCAAAGAAAAATTACTGATTGTCTAACTTACTACTTAAACGTGATCTTATTTATTATATTATTTAATTAAATACTAAGTTGCTAGTCAAGAATTCTAATGTCGATGTAATCTAAAATTTATTACATTTCTTGTAATTAAACTGACATCGCCTATGAGTGGATTCATAGATCATGGTCGTATTTAGCTCATATTTTTGCCAAAGCGAATAAGTAAATTAATTAAAAAAAAAAAATTATGGCAAATCGTAAGCCAACGAATAATTGTGGTCATTGATGTATTTTTTTTAATTTTATTTGTAAATAATGACTGATTGTTATAGAGATTTGTAGCTCATATTAACAAATGAGAATGATTAATTCAAAAAAATTTTATGACAGTCAAATTTAAATATTTTTTTGTGATTATGTCATTTAGCTTGAAATTTTCATAATATTTTTGGAATCACTCGTATATTTATGATTAAATATATGAAATATTCATTAGAAATCATCGAAAAATTCGACTTTATGGAAGGTATGAAAATGAAAAATGCTGAGAAAATGTGCGAGTAAAAATGAGATAAAAAAAACGAGAAAACATGAATCATGGGCAATTATATTGTTAAAAAAAAAAAATTCATTGTAATTCTTGGTACGATCTATAAAATGCACGTCACAAATAAAATTCATGAATTTGGTGACACGTCCAACTGACAATAAAGAATGCGGTTGCAGCTGACTTGAACCAAAGATAAAAACCATCGATTGATTTATTTTGGTTCAACATTTTCATTCATCATTTAAAACAAATATCAAAAATCAGTAACAATAATGAGTATTATATTATTTAAAGTAACTTTAGAAAAGCAAACCATGACTTGTTTTTATTTAAAGAAATCAAATTTTTAATTAATTTTTAAGTATCACTCATAAATTTTTTTAAATAAATTTTCTCAAGTGACGGTTCCTCGAAAAAAATAACCGTCCCCGTCCCTTAAATGATCTAAAACTAGTCACTTAGTATTAAAAAAGAAGAAGAAAAAATGAAAATGAAATGTAAACAAAAATTTAAAAAATCAATTATTTTCAAAGTGAATTTAAAAATAATACAAAATATTGTATACTTAAGGATGCGTGAATCCATAATGATAATGTACGTTATATATATGCGCAATGTGATTCAGTAAGCATCGTGTAATAACTAAAAAATCTAAATAAATTAATTATGAAGAAGCTTAGGTCGATTAGATAAATTAATTTTAAGCATTTTATCGTTTTAGCTAGGCTTAAATAGACATATATCAATCCTGAAATAAATGAAATAAAAACCAAACGCTTTGTATTGATAATTTTTGTAAGTAAAATATAAATATATGTATATCACGAGTATAGTAATTCAAGAACTACTAATTACAATAATAAATACCCTTTGGCGTATAACGATTGACGTGTTGCTAGATTCATTTTTTGATAAAAATTCAATAAAAAATCACTAATTTGGATCGAAACCATCTAAACTTATATATCTGATGAATTAAATCATTAATTAATTATTAAATTATGTATTCCTCCATTTATTTATGCTTCGTATTATATTGTTAAGTAATGAACAATTAGTTATCGGATAAAGAAACATAAAAGTTATAAGTGCAATGGCCAATGGCTCATTCCTGTACAGTTAATGATACATCGTAATTAATTAATTAACTAATCTTAATTATTAATTATCAATATCGATTATCAGGTATCACTTAATTAATAAATTATAATTATTATGCATTTATTATTATATCAAATGTATTGGCAATTTTCTTGCTAACAAATAAAAACCTAACATAGGAAATGAACAAAAATTGTAACATAAATTGTTGATGGCCAATATCAAATATGTATAAAAAAAATAATAATAATGCAGCATTAATTATATTATTCAGTTATTATGCTCTTTTATTTACCTTCAACATAATATTTGTTTTCAATTATTCTAATTTCTGTTCTATTATTTCTAGAAATATATTTATTTGATATAATATTTTATTCATTTGATTTATTAATAATTATTGCAATTTTTATCAGTGTCAATATTGCTTTACTGATTTTCAAATGCAAACTTTATATTGATTGATATGAAAAGTAACGACTTTACCCATATGGTAAAGGGTTTTTATTCTATTCAACAGTTTGAGTTCTCTTCACATCACATATATTACCTGTAAAGTCCAGTTCTAATTTGTTTTGGTTGCCAGTATATTCACAGTGTTGATCACCAAGTGTATCATCTTTCAAAACATAAAATGTCTTCCGACAAATCAAATACCAGCTCTGAAGAAGTAATGCACAAACGTTGTTGTCCATTCGAAGAAAATCTTACTCCACTAATGAAGATTCACGTTGGTCCAAGAGAAGCCGCTGACGGAGATGAGAAAGAGGAAGAGATGAGAAAAATTTATGGTACTTAGGTTATGGTCCAAACCAAACAATTTATTGTATATTTTTTTATTACTAGATTTTCAATTGTATTCTGCTGATTTTATATTGTTTTATGTAGATCGTACTCTACAGATGCTAAAAAATGGTCCTAAATTAACAGAAAGTCATCCAAGTGAAAATCAAGAAACCAAAACGACTGGATATCATTTTGAAGCTCCACGATTCAAACAGATGGTTTTGAATGATAAATTACAACTAGAAGTTAGCAAGAAAATTATTTTGGTAATGTTTACATAATTCTTTATCATAACATTTAACAATTAGAAATAATTGAAGGAAGTTAATTGTTTAATATCATAATATTCATGTAATTTTAATCTTATTTGTTTGTTTCTTAGCCACTAGATACACATACTTGTACTAACTGCAAACAACTCAAAGTTGTTGATCGAACCCGCTGCTTTCTTTGCGTTGAATATCACTGCCCGAATTGCCTTAGTGAATGTAAAAAATGTTTAGAACAATTTTGTAAAAAATGTAGCCTTACAATGTAAGTTTATTTATTTTATTATTTTTTTTATACATTAGGAATTTATTTTATATTTTTTATTTTAGTTATGATGATGGAGAACATGTAGAGTGTCTAGCATGTTATCGTTAAATACATTATCATTATTTCATCATCAATATCTGCACGTTTTGTGATAACATTTTCTTTACCATCACATGAAGTGAAGGATGATAATGGCTTATTCATTAAAAAAAAAAATGCAAAATTGCATGAAACCTACATGTATTACTTTTTTTTATTAATTCAATTAAAAAAATAATTTTTTGCAGAATTTTTAAAATTCATGCACATTATATTATGATTTATAAATTGTTATCAAAAAATCATCTTCATTCAATAAAGTATCCTTTTATTTATACAAGTCTTTCTATTCATTGCTTGTATTTATTTTGCAATATCAAGGTCTTTTGTTAGGCGAAGAGAAAAGGGCAAACAAAAACATTGCTTTCAAAATGTTTCATTTTGAACTGAATCTATTGTATTTACTGTGTTTATAATTTTATTCACGAGATTTAGTTTGTGTGTATATTTTTCTGCGAATAAACTCTGTTTTTATGTCTCGTGCTACAGTAATTCACACATCGTTGTTGGAAAAAGTATGTTTCAGTAGTAGATTGAACGTTTCAATGGCAATGTCGTCTGACCCCAGCAATAATTCATATTTTATTAAAATTGCGAGCATTCTAAGAGTACGTAAAGGAAGTCTAATTAAATATTTTTAATACTACTGTCAACATTTTTTTATGAGTTTTATATTAATTAAAAACTGAATTAAAACAGTGCAGTGGAAATAAATCGTAAATCAACACCATTCTCTCAAGACGACAATGAGTTGCCGTAAAATTAAAAATAATACCAGGAAACCTTTGTGTTCGTTGGAAACAAATATTTTGAAACATAAGCAAACCTTAAAATGTCAAAATCGTGTCACGAAAGCAAACTGGATGAGTCCACCAAGTGGATCTCCACTTACAAAAGAAGAATTAACTCAATTATGGATAAAGTATTACACACATGGACACTTTAGAGATGAAAGTAGTGAGCTGATAGAAAATAAATCAAAGAACAAATCAAAAAATGAAGATAAAATGGATAACAATTTTACTACGACTGAAAACACTCAATCAATTCGCATCGTGTCAACTAACACTTGGAATTGGGCACAAGTGACAGAAGTAAATCAATCTAACAAGAGTTTGAATGAAATAAATTCAGTAAATTTTAGAAACGATATTGGTAATATGAACGAATTTGCTGAAGTGTTTATCAATCAAAAGTGGTTGAATGAAAAAAATACATCTAACTTTTCAAATATTGAATCAAATGGGTGTGAATTTTACAATAATAATGATTTTATATTTAATAGTGACTCAGAAATAATAGAGCCTAATCAACATAAATCAACCAACACTCAATTTAATCAAGATTGCTACAAAGAAAACATTGATCCGAATATTTTCAGTGATTTTAAATATAATAATAATTATTATGATCAATATAATTACGGTATGAATAATAATCATAATATATCAAACGAGATAAATATTGATCAAACAATTAATAATAATTATTGGTATAATGATACCAAAAACAACTCAGCTCTATCTTTGGAAGAAGAATGTAATAATTTTGATAAATTAAATTATACAATTAATGATTATCAAAATGAATTAGCTTCAAATGATGATTCTCTTTTAGAATACTTTGTCGTTATAAAAAATAATGATTAATCTGAAAAATAATTAAAATAATTTCATTCATTAGCCTTTAAAAAAATTCATTGATTCTCAGGTTTATAATATCACGTTTAATGATTTTCAATATTTATTGTGTGATTTTTTTATTTCTTGCAAAATAGCTTTATTTTTTTTTGATATTTACATATATAATATTTATACTTATATCTATATCAATTAAATAATTATTGTTTCACATAAAAGTCATTCATTTAAATATACAAAAATTTGTTTGGTATTCAGTTAACTTAATTTAAATAAATATAAAAACACAATTTAAAAAAGTATACAAATACTTTTCTAGAGTATTATATAATATTAATAGAAAAGGTATTTATTTTCATCATACAAATAATGTATCTGTTTACTTGAAAAACTATTGTCACTTAGCTTTTTCAACTCCAATTATAATAATTACAAAGTCTTGATTATTTTTGTAATATGAATATGTAAATGTTAAGTACAAAAAGTTTCTGATTATAGTTTAAGGATCAAACTCTGAAATTGATTAATCTCAAAAAGCTATTGAATTATGTTGTGTCAATGATTGATTAATATTAATTACTGGTAACTTTCAATGTTATATTTCACATATTACATTGAAAAAAAAAAAAAAATGTAAATAAAAAATACAAAAAATTAAATTGCGTCTGAAATAAAGTCTCGGTTGCTATCATTGGTTGATTTTTGTTGGGAAAAATTCATTACTGTATATCCGACATTATCTTCATTACCAAGAAGACCTTCAGCTTCTTCTTTTGTTGTTCCAAATAATCTGTAGTAAATAAAATAATTTAGTTAACGAATTTTTAATTGTCATGAAATAATTAAAATACAAACACATTACTACAGCTTAAAAAAAAACACTCACACGTTTATATTCTAATAATGGTAGATTTTTGTTGTGTAAGAAACTCACAAATAATACAAAAAGATACATTTGTTAGTAAAAGACAAAGTTAATGATTATTAAAAAATTAATACCATGTAAAATTCCCACTATCTTCTAAAGCACTAGAAGCATTAGTTACACAGGATCTACGATTAATTTGTTCATGTAATGTTAAATTAAATGATAAAATTAATTGTTAAATTCATAAGCCAACAGATAGAATATATAAATACTTACAATCAACTAACTATGAATATTTCATTTCCCTGTTCTCCTGAATCAAGGCGTCTAATAAACAATAAATATAAATTTGCAGCAATGTATACATGCAATTAAAATAAAATAAGTGAGATGAAATCAATAAATTAATTATACTGTAGAAAATTATAATATTAAAGTATAGTTAAAGAATATGTGCGTTGCTGACGGTGTTTTTCAAGCTAGCGTGCTGATTGAAACTGAATATCGAATTCATTCATCAAAGTGATAAAATATCTATATAGATTTCCCATTTAAAAGTAATAGTATTAATAAATTTCCAAAGAATCTTAGTTAATTTATGTATACCTGGATAATGTTGAAGATGAACGTATAGCTCCTACTGAAGAATCTTCTCTTCCTACATCATTCAATGTTATCACATTATCCAATGACATTGAATGATTTTTTAAACTTGCTAAATACTCTGGAGTTTCTAAAGATAATTTCGTTGGTTTTTTATATCTGTAATAAAAAGCATTAATGATCAAATTCCTCATTAATTTTAATAATTAAAATCTTTGATAAATAATCAGTAATTAGTTACTTACAATTTGAGCATAAGTGAACTGGCAACAACAGAAACAGAACTTAATGCCATTGCAGCAGAAGCCATCCACGGCTCTAGGAAGAAACCAAAAGGACTGAAGAGCCCGGCGGCTATTGGAATGCCTAATAAATTATATATACTAGCAAATAAGAAATTTAGTCTTATTCTTAATACAGTTTTTCTCGACAGATGTAAACAACCCACAACATCTAACAGATCATTCTGAAATTAAACAAATATGTATCATACCTTATTGATATTTTTAATTGCATCAATGATCAATAAGAATAATACCTTCATTAAAACAACATCTGCAGCTTCTACAGCAACATCAGTTCCCGATGCGATGGCTATACCAACGTCAGCTTGAGCAAGTGCTGGACTATCATTAACTCCATCACCGACCATAGCAACTCTCAATCCTTGTTCTTGAAGTCTTCTTATTTTTGCCACTTTATGAGAAGGTAAAACTTCTGCAAATACTTTCGTGATACCAATCTGATAAATTTAATTATCATCATCAGTTGATTACTCATTGAAAAAATTTTAAATTATATAAATTAATAAATAGTACCTGTTTAGCAACTGATGCAGCAGTTTTTCGATTATCTCCTGTTAATAAAATCACTTCTAAGCCCATTTTCTTTAAAGTATAAACAGCTAAGTGTGCTTCTGGTTTCACTGTATCAGCAACATTTATTGTTGCAACTAAAGTACCATTTATTCCTATTAAAATAACTGTACTTCCTAAACTCTCTTGCTCCATCATTTGTGTATCAATATTTTGAGGTATAATAATTCCATTTCTCTTCATCCATTCTCTATTTCCAATGCAAACCTCATAATAATCTTGAGAATTACTTTGTTCATTGGTCATATTAGGATCTAATAATAATTGAAATTGAAGACTTTGCTTGTCATGATTTACAGTTGGAAGGGGAATTAAATCAACTGGAACTTGGTTTAAACTAAAAAGACCGGAAGACTCTTGTCGTACTTGATTTTTATAATTAAGTATCGCTTCAGATTTGCTTGCATGTGTCATCATGGTCTCTAAATGCATAACTCGACATCTTAAACCACAGCCTGCTACTGCTTGGAAATTTGTACATTGGCCATTTACTTCTGTACCAAGAGTTTCTTTTACAAAACGCACAATCGCTGAAAAAGAAATTTCATTTGAATAACAATATATTTTTATTTTTAATAATAACGAAGGACTTTTCAAATACCTGATGCTATAGGATGTTCGCTATTTACCTCGGCAGTACCAACAATAGCCAAGAGCTTAGCAATGGAAAACACTTTTTCATTAACAAACAATCCAACTCTACAAACCACAGGAGTTCCATGAGTCAAGGTACCTGTTTTGTCAAATACAATGCATTTAACTTTATGAGCATTCTCTAAAGATTCCGCTCCTTTAATTAAAATTCCATTAAGTGCTCCTACACCCGTACCAACCATTACAGCCGTGGGTGTAGCAAGTCCTAAGGCACACGGACAAGCAATAGCAAGTACTGAAAGAGCACATCTAAATGCATATTGGAAAATTATTTCTTCTCTATTTCTTTGATACCCATGAGTTGAATTATTCACTGACGTTTCCATGGGCAAATTTTCAGTATTTACATATCCAACTATCGTCCAGACAATTAAAGTGACTACAGAAACAGCTATAACCAAAGGAATGAAGTATCCAGCAACTTTATCAGCCAACTGCTGGATCGGTGCTTTACTTGTTTGTGCTTCTTCTACTAAACGAACTATTTGAGCAAGAGTTGTATGTTCTCCAGTATGTGTTGCTATAATTAACAAAGGACCATTTTGATTAATAGATCCACCAATTACGATTGATCCTGGTTTCTTTGGCACAGGCATGCTTTCTCCAGTTATTAAACTTTCATCACAAGCAGACTGTCCTGTTAATACTCGACCATCAACTGGAACTTTAGAGCCTTGGACGACTTTAAGTACGTCTCCTCTTTGCACTAAATCGATGCTTATTAGTCTTTCTGATAAAATTTCATTATTAGCTCCAAGAGTCACTAAAACAGCATCTGTAGCTTTTAGTGACAAAAGTTTAGAGAGAGCTTCTGATGTCTTTCCTTTAGCTACATGTTCTAACCATCGACCTAAACTAATGAAAACGAGTAACATTGGTGGAGTATCAAAAAAGGTTTGAGGGCTAGTGTGTTCCTGCATTGCAATTGCTGCGATCAAGACACATAACGAATAAATATATGAGATCGTTGTTGTCATTGATATGAGAACATCCATGTTAGTTGTACCATGTTTTAAAGCTTTATACGCTTGAACATAAAAATTCCATCCACCAAAAAATTGAACTGGGGTGGAGAATACAAATAGCAATAAGTTTTCCCATGACACTCCTGGGATTACACAACACATATCTTCATGACTCTTGTGTCCTATTGACATTTCTAACATAAAGTATGTCATTATTATCATACTTGGTAGTCCAAAAATTAATGATATCACAAATGAAGTTTTCCATTTCTTAATTTCTTCCCTAAAAAAAAAAAAAAATTGATATTTGAAAAAGATATTATCACATGTTTCATTGATTTCATTTAATCTCTGAATGTTCAAAGGTTAGTAAATAATAAAAATACAGGAAAAAATCACCTGTGATTAAGATAATCACGACCCTCCTTATCACCATTATTAAATAAACTTGCAGTGAAACCAAGTTTATTGATTCTCTCAATAATATCTCTAACACCCGTTTCAGACGCATCGAATTTAAATTTTCCTCGTTGCGTTGCTAAAGCTACTGCTGCAGAATGAACACCGGGTAATTTACTAACAGTTGATTCAATTTTGTTCACACATGATGCACATGTCATGCCTGATATCTAAAAATTCATAATAAGAATTGCAAATATGTACTTAAGAATATTGACTCAGTCAAATTGATGATTCAATCATTTTTTATGCGTTGAATCAATCATTGATTATTTAATAAAATATTTCACTTACTTGTATTTCTACTTCAGAAATACCGGTTCCTGGTTCATCAACTATTGAAGTAGGAAAACCTAAATCCGTTATACTAGAAGCTATATCTACTGGCCGAATTTTATCAGATGCATAAGTGACTTCTGCTTTCCCAGCCATTAATGCTACTAAAATACTTCTTACTCCATATAATTTTTTACAATGTTTTTCTATAGCTGCAACGCATGATGCACACGTCATACCCTAAAATATTGAGTAACATTTAACTAAACTAAAATCTTTCAAAATTGATTACAAGATAAAAAAATAAGGTCAAACTTTCAAATGATATTACTTTTATATGTAGAAAGCATTTGGCCAGATTTTCAGACTTTTTATAATCTCCAACAGTACCATTGGTTAGCGGTAATGAAATACTCTTTTCTTCTTTCTCTACTGGTTTGGTTTCTGATGTGACAGCATGACCATTGACCTCCTTAACAAATGCGTCGAATCCCATATCTTCTATGTAGGCGGCGATTTCATTTGGCTTAACATCAGTACTGCGGTATGATACTTTTGCTTCTTTATTATTTAGAGAGACATTTATTTCTATGATTCCTGGTTTTCCTGATATTACATCTAGAAGGAGATGCGTTGAATAAATAAATCAACAGATTTTTATAATATTCAAGAATATTTCTAAAATAAATTATAATTATAAGTTCTTAAATACCAATTATAAGTATTTGTTACTCACCTGTAATATTTTTAACACAAGATTGGCAAGTCATTCCATCAATATGAATACTACAAGTACTTAATCTAACAACTGATTCTTCAACATCATCTTCTCGATTTTCAGAATCAAAAAAACTTGCTTCAAAACCCATGTCATTTATAGCTTCTACCAATTCATTTGCAGATGTTTCTTCACTATTGTAATTTATATACCCCGCATTTTCTTCCAGCACAACTCGTATATTTATCACACCTTTCCGTTTCTTTATAGTATCTTGAATACTATTAACACAACTCTGACATGTCATTCCTTCAATTTTAATCTTCACCGTTTCTGCAGAAGGTTCATTTGTGGTTGGTATAAATCGTGGTACTTGTACCATGTCATCAGTTCTCTCGAACTCTGCATCATCATCAGCATCCCTGGAACATTTTAAAAACAATCATCATTTTTCAGAACAAATTTTATTAAAGGAAATTTAATTAGGAATTTAATTAATTGTCTAGGATAAATGAAGAATGATTTAGATCAATTAACGATTGAGGAAAACAGACAAATACATGATGGTATAAATAATAGAGATGATAGTAATAAAATAGTTCAGTATTGTTAAAAAGATATTACAGAAATATTCTCACCACAATGAATTATTAGATGAGGAATTTTTATTAATGAGAGGCGTTTTATCTGATTGTTTACGTCTTGCCATGACTAGTAATTTTCTCAAATCTAATCTAACAATTTGCCTTCTAACTGAGAAATTGATATTTTAATACAATACAATTTCTTTAAACCGCGACTAATTTTATAGAATAATAACTGACAATTATAATATCTAGAATTGTAGAAAAAAAAAATGGAATTTATTTCTAATTTATAACATAAAGATTATTAATCCATTGTCCATAATTATTTTGTTAGTATTAATAATACACCAATACTTCTTGACAAAGATTAAAATAGTTTTTTTCAACTTATAGGTAACACCACAGCACAAATAACCAACTGATAATTATCTATCTTACAATACTTTGAAGTAAATGCGTGATAACTGAATTTAATTTTGCTCACGGCACTCTTAAGAAATAAACACTAGAATTAGAAATGATAACTATAATGCACTCTGCACTTCTATTGACACAAGTATTAAAATGTATATCAATATCTAATTATTCATACTAATATTTTGTGACTGAAACGTAGAGCTTTGGAAGAAGAATGATAAATAAAAGAAGCCAAAGAATATTTAAACATGCAAATATTTTTTTATCAAAACTTCTTAAAGTTGTAAAATAAGTCGTAATAAAGATTGGTATGTGAATAATTTTTTTCAACAATGTAGCTTTGTCTACTATCTATGTTAAACGTTCTCATACCTTTCTAATCATTGAAAGTGATGATTAAAATTTATTTAAACTATTCGTAATTTGATACAAGTATTTTCTGAACTCGTGCTAATATTCCATATGATTTCTCGCCATATTATATTATCTTTTGATCTCTTTTTACATCATAATATAATCTATTATCATTACAATGAAATGGAGCCAGTGTCGTATTAATGTAGAGTGAAAATGAGACAGAAACCGGATGCCATATCCTTTACTTGTTTTTTGAGCATGTTTTACCATTCTCATCTGTGTTATTACCTTACATCCATTCATGTGTAATTAATCATTACATTTATATAATTTAAAATTATTGAAATGATAAAAAATATCAACTAAACATTTTTATCAAGATGTTATCTTTTCATTGATATTATTTAAAATTTTTTTAATATAAATTGATTAATTATAAATTTGATAAAAATTAAATAAATAATTATTTTTATTATTATTTATTATTTCGTAAATATTTTATCCAAGCCAATGTTACTGAACCCTTCAAATATTTATGAATGATGTGGGTTGATACATAATTTATGAGAAAATGAAAGCAAATTCTAAAATAAAAAATCAATAAAAACTTGAAAATAATTTATTCAAGTTAAAAATGAAAGAGAGTGTATTTTGATAAAATTTGATTATAAACATGTTAGAACACGTGGTGAGTGACTTTTAATCGTTACGCTCAGTTGACTGCATACTTTCTTCGTATGAGTTCAGCCTTCATTTAGAAAGGCAAGTAGTGATAGAAATAAAGAATAAATACTACAATAGATGCATTGACGTTTAAAAAAATGAATGAAAAAATGATAGAATAGAAATTATATTAAAAAAAAAAAAAACAAACCCAAGTAAATGCTCTTTTTCATCACAATTAAAATTTTTACTTCCTGAACCTACACCTGATTTTCCAAATTTTGTGGTAAAATAATTATTATTGTTATTACTATTTAAGAAGAAATTATTTGAAAGCATTGAAAATCTATCATTGTTATACATTGTAAACAACAAGATGTCAATAGCTTTCAAAAATTAAACTTCATCACTAAAATGAAATTTAAAACACCAATTATTTCACATAGTTAATCACAAATTGGATAAATGTCAAACAACTTGAAGAAACTATTCAAACAGCTTCACGAAGCTCAATCATTGAGAGACTTATACTGAATGTACGACAAAACTTAAAGGACTAAATTCAAGCCTCGGTTTCAAGAGAAAGGCACGCGCGTGATCCAATTTGCGGACTCTCTACTCACACTTGTTGGCTTTTACTACCATGAAAAACCAATACCATGAGAATATTCTTTATTATATCAAGGTAAAAAGGGAGAGCATAAGAATGTTCTTATAGTCTTATTAAATTTTCATCAGAGATGCAAAGAATTGCAAATAAGACATTTGAAATGATTATTTGAAATGCATAAAATACTCTAGAGGTAGTTAATGAGTTTAGAAGCTGATTTATGAGTTTGTAATTGATATCACGTCATGAACTGCATTGTTGTTCGGTACATTTATAGTTCTTTTGATTGTCAATTTTATAACTACTCCGATAAAATTCGTAGTAATATTTATTGCTATTACTTCGTATTGATATAATTGTCATTACTACTATTTAATAGCACATTATGAATAAGGGTATTGATAAAAAGTGTTAAAAAATATATATCATCAAACTCACCCATAATTTTTATTTATTAATGATTTATAACGCCAGGTGTATCTAAAGTTTTTCATCTTTAAGATATTGAACCAAAAATTACACAATGTGTGTTCATAAAAATAATTTATATCTAGTTTTATTTAAATTTTAGAGGATTGCCATTTGTAAATAAACGATTGAATTCACCTTCGATTTATTGATGGGTAGAATAACTTTTAAAAAGACATGTTTAAACTATTAATCAAGTCACTTAGCTGTATGCCATTGTAGATAATAGAAAACAAACAAGTTTCCAATTGTTCGTCAACTGTTGTAATTTTGTTTAATTATTTATTAAATCACAATTCTATTATTATCATTAAATAAGAATGAAAATTATTGATCAAACTTAAATCTGAAATTTTTATTTTTATTCATATAGAATATTTAAATTATATAAAAAAAACTGATATATTTACGTACTGTCACATGTAATATGGATTGGTATAATGATAGAAAGCACAATGATAAGAACGTGTAACTGGTTTCAAGGTAAATAAAATAATCACATGAATGATAACACTTCCTAATTGAGTAAAGTGTATTCTTTAAACATAGCCAAATAATTTTAAGTACAAATAAGCATATCATTATTCACATTTATATCTAGTTAAAAAGCAAATTACTACTATAGATAATACATTTTTTATGACCTACATAATCAATGACGAAAAATTAAATTTTTTGTGTTAATAATTCCAAGGATACTTTGTAACAGAAATATAGAATTATATTATTCAATGTATTCCAGTATTTTCCTTATAAAGAATTAATTATTATCGTAAATTATCTAAATAGAAACAAGACAAATTTTTCGTCGAAAAATTAGATGAGATAATTGAGTAATTAAAAAGATAATTTATTTTATCAAAGAAATTATGTATAAATTATTTTGACTATCTTTTTGAAAAATATAAGTTTTATCATGTTATTATGATTTTTATTATTTGGCTATGATTCGAAATTACCTATGAAATGAAAGTTATACGACAGAATTATTGATTATCAAAAATTCAGTGAACTATTACGTATATGTCTAAGAATAAATTACCTTTTTTTGTTGGACTTGTCCGCAAACGATACAATTGTTTCTGCAATAAAAATTAAATATTTTAAATAAATGAATTAGTAGTTATATTTTAAGGATAATAAATAATACTTTTTTATTTTACAAACCTGTTTTCCCACCAAAATTTCTGTTTATTATAATATTCTCTACTGAATCTCTTATGGAATCAGGAACATACCGAATTTCCATTGTTCTATTATAAAGCTAATCACCCACTAATAATGTTATCTTTGTTTTTTTATTTTTCTATTGTAGAAAAAAATTGACAGCTGGTCTTTTTGCATTGATAAAAAACTAGTTGCTCTATTTTAAACTAAAACATACCATGAAATAACCTCACTTAACCCAAAATTCCAAATGCTTGTATTTATTTATTAAAAATTGTTCAAATTCACTAACATAAATATTCATTAATAAATACTTGTGATAATTTCGCAAGCATAAATAGGAGAGTTCATGTACACTAAACATTTAGAAACTGAGCACAATTATTTTAAGGTTATTTTCTATTCGAATGATTCATTAACTTTAACTTTAAGAATTATATTAAAATTCTAATGATTCACATGTTTATATTATGTTCTAAATTGTAATATATTTTAAATATAAAAATACTAAATCATGCTATTTGTTGATCACTCACTTTACTTGAACAATTGACCTATTCATGGGTTGATATCGCAGTTTTTGCTTTTAGATATGGCGTCATCTCGTGCAATAAATTCCAACTATCGTGAGAATTGTACCGATTGTAAACAAATGTTTTTATCAATGTTAATTTTTTTGATAAACTCCAAGCCGAATCCACGTTGACCAAGTCAGCAAACCTCCCAAATGAGGAGTAAACTGTTTTCATTTCTAATGTAATAATTTAAAATGAAATTACAAAATGTTAGATAATAGTTTAATCGAGAATATTACTGTAACATTGCATTAAATTACTCAATCTAAACGAATGAAAATATCTACTGGGTAAGTATAATCTTATGTTGATGACCTGTTACAACTTCGTACACATAACGATAAAAATTGATTGTCAACTGTTTATTTACTCCAGAATTACAATGATAGCAACAATCAAGACTTTATTCCTGTTGAGTTTCTGTATGACTGTGGTCATTACTTCTATTTTTTTTTTAATTGGAGTATACTGGCGATGGAGATGTTCTAGGAAACGTGGAGGAAAAAATTCTTCTAAAACAGTTATTGGAATTTTCCATCCCTATTGCAATGCTGGAGGTGGCGGGGAAAGAGTATTATGGGCAGCTATCCAAGCTCTTCAAAAAGAGTAATTTCCCTTAAATTATTTATTGATCGTACTTAAAATAACAAAGGGAGTCCATTCTCATAAAATTTCCAAATAATCAATTCATAAAATATTTTTAGATATTCTGATGCACACATAGTCGTATATACTGGAGATCTTGAAGTAGATCCTGGAGAAATCCTTAACAGAGTGAGAAGAATATTTCACATAGAACTTAATCCTATCGAATTTATCTATCTGCATAAACGTAAATGGGTTGAAGCTGAATGTTATCCAGTATTTACTCTATTAGGCCAAAGTATGGGTTCTATAAGACTTGGATTCGAAGCTCTCCAAGCTTTAGTACCTGGTAAACATCAGATTAATTATTGAAATATTCAATTAAATTATCTATCAACAAAAAACAATTAGTTGAATTGATTAAAAAAATTTTTAGATATTTTTATCGATACAATGGGTTATGCCTTTACGTATCCATTATTTAAATACATTGGTGGCTGTAGAATTGGTTCATATACTCATTATCCAACAATTTCTACTGATATGTTAAGACATGTTTATCATCGAGTCATTTCGCATAATAATCATCGAGTTATTGCAAGAAATCCTATTTTAACAGGTGCAAAGATAATCTACTACCACATTTTTGCATATGTAAGTTGTGTTTCGAATTATTGATACGACTAAACATTTTTATTTATTATTAATACACTGATAAATTGATGTTATTACTTGCAGATGTATGGCTGGGCAGGAAGACGAGCAGATATAATAATGGTAAATTCATCGTGGACAGAGGATCACATTAATGCTATCTGGAAATGCCCGCTAAAAACATTCAGAGTTTATCCTCCATGTGATATTGAGAGATTAGTAGCTCTACCACTGCTAAAGAGTGATGAAAAAGATGATTACATTAGAATAGTATCTGTAGCACAATTTAGGCCTGAGAAAAATCATCCTTTGATGCTTCGAATTTTATACGAACTTAGATCTATTATTAAAGAAGAAGTTTGGGAAAAGGTAGGGTTTTTTTCTTTTGAATATTTTTATCACAATAATAATTCTGCAGATCAATAGGTAACTGATCAAAAATTCATTATTGTTTTAATTTATTTGAAGTGGCTGTTGAGTAATCATAAATAAGTTATTTGATCATTAGATTAATGTTTATTTTTTTACTAGGTTCGTCTAATTTTAATTGGATCATGTCGCAATGAAGAAGATCGTAAACGTGTAAAAGATATGCAAGATTTGTCTAAACATTTAGCTGTAGATGAGAATGTAGAATTCAGGATAAATATTCCTTATTTGGAAATGGTAAGAGAATTACAGTTAGGAACTATTGGACTCCATACAATGTGGAATGAACACTTTGGTATAAGTGTTGTCGAAGGAATGGCTGCTGGACTTATTATGATTGCACATGATTCTGGTGGTCCGCGGTAAGTCTTTGATTAAATTAAATCAACTTAATTTTAACATAAACAATTATTTATGAATTTTTATTTATTTTACACAGAGCTGATATTATTGAAACACAGCCTGGCAGTCAAACAGGCTTTCTAGCTGTTGAAGCTGAAGAATACGCGGCAATAATGGCATTAATTTTCAAAATGACTCCGGACGAAAAAGATGAAATAAGAAATGCTGCCAGGGCATCAGTTAGAAGGTTTTCATCCCAACAATTCGAAGATGAATTTCTTCGCACTGTGAAGCCTCTCTTTAGAGCCAAACAAGAGTAATTATATCACTAAATTCTAAACATTATGAGCTCCAATAAAAAAATGTACTAATGAATTTATTAAGTCAGTAATCATTTCTTTTTAATGTAGAAAATGATGAAAAATTTTTTGGTACCATGGAATTTAACAATACATATATAACTCAAACATGATATATCATTCGAATTTACCATTTAATGGAAGTATTTATTAATAATACGACACTCATTTACATTTCATCCTGTATTTATGAGACTGCAACCCTTGCATTCGAGGATAAACGATCTAGGATCGCCTGCATAATCATTTGATATAACTTGACAAAGAAATCCACGATTTCCCAGCATCATTTTTATTACCTCTATTGCTGTTTCTGTATGTTGTGTGAGTTGTTGTTGTTTACCTAGTAATACTTTTGACTGACCTGTCGCCAATGCCATAAGGAGGATCAACTGAAAAACATTTTATTTTTTGTAAAGAATGAACGCCAAAGAGTAGAAAATTTTAATATTGGACATATATGTACTATATATATATAATATTTATTTTAAATAAATAAATAATAATCTTACTTGATCCTGCATGTGTTCGTCAACGCAAGCTCCATCAAGAAGAGGATTGAGAATCTGATTAGCTGCTTCAATAGCAGGATCAGCTTTACTTTCTCCACGATTTGACCCTAATCCAGAACCTCCCAAAACACATCCTGTATTTGTTTGACACACTACACTATAAATTTCACCAACATTAGAAAGATTACCTTTTATTATTTTTTTTTTGTAAATTTAGTTGACTATATTTTAAAACAAATCTATGTTTCAATGTCTTACTTTATGCCAGATCCATTGCCAACAGCCATCCCTCTATCTTCTCGGTATGCTTCAATGTTAATTGGTGGTATTGAAATATTCTGAGCTGCCAATTTTTTCGTCAATTCATTTTTAGTGACGTCAGCCATTTGGTATGCTTCCTGTTGATGAGTAACAATAAAAGTATTAATAGAAAATATTTTGAATGAATCTATTTATAAATAATTACATTTAAGTGAATAGATCCTGCAACATAAGCCCATCCTGAAATACTCGTAACATCACCTTGATTAAGAACTTCTATTGGATTCAAGCTCTTTATTGGTGGCACTCTCAGATGTACCTCTCCTCCTCCTTTAGGATAATATCCTCTAGAATTTATTTATTTTTATGATTGATTGATTTGTTTCAATAATTGAAGGAAAAATGTTCGATTGAATCATTAATTACCTTCTAAGAACAGTAAAATCAAAATCTGCTCCAAATTTATTCAACCATGGGCGAAATACCTCAGTAAGATACTCGATGTGAGGTCCCATAGGAACATTAGTTCCTCCTTTCAGAATTAACGTAATTGGGTCACCTTGAGGCAAGAATAAGGCAATAGGAATTGCTATTTGAGCTAATAAACAAATTGATCCAGCGGTCTTAATATCAGCTACAAACGTTCGTTTTGCTACTGCAGCACCAGGATAGAATTCTAAACGTGTTGATCCAATATATGCTCCATGTACTTTAGCATTACACATATCTCTAGCAATTTCAACTCCTAAAAAGCGTCAATCAACAATAATTTTAATAAAAAATATTCCATTGAATAATTTTTTTATCAATCATGAACCTTTTAGATGTTGAGCTGCTAAACCTGGCTTTGGGCGACCTGCTCTGATTTTGTCAATTTCAATGGGTATTTTGTAAAGTGCACTTAATGTAAGAGCTATCCTAAGTACTTGACCACCCTATTTATCAATAAATATTCATCATTAATATTAATTAAAGCTTTGTAAGGTATTATGTATTTTTGTATAATTATGAACTTACGCCTTCTCCAAAACTTCCATCTATTCTAATGGCTGGCATGATTATTTTCCTAATTATCTACTTAATAATAATATAGAGATATTTTTAATTAATATATAAACAATTTTTATTGATTTATAAAAAAAATATTAGAAATAACCAAAGTTTAAGCTACATTTAAGAGACACACGTTTACTAGGGACCATGCTCGCTATTTTAATAATAGAATAAAAACAAATCGAAAATCTAAACATGCGCATGAAGTGAGCTCTAAAATACACTTGACGCCGGAGAGGGGAATATGAAACGACAGTTGAAGAGTTGTACAGATTTGGAATTTTATGAGTATTATATTAATGAATTGATGCAATGAATTTATATACAGTAACAAAAATTTATTTATTTATTTTACATTTATATACATAATAATAGTTCGGTAAAGGTAAAAAATATTGTTAATGTCCATAACATTTTATAAATCATCAAGTTTTCTGTATACAAAATCCATTTCTGGTCGTTTTTCAACTAATCTATCTGAACACCATTTTCCTAGCACCATCAGATTATGAAAAACTTCACTATTCTCTAGACCAGCTTTTCTATCAATTAATACAATGTAATTACGCTCATCCCAAGTATCCATATACTCTTTTAAAAATTTATTTACTGGACGTGAGTCATCATACGCTGGAAGTCCAGTACCTAATTCAAATAAAACGATTCCGTAGCTATATGTATCAGTTTTCGTAGATAAATTTTTCTCTCTTAGTAATTCATCAGGTAGATATGGCCTTGTTCCATGGACCTTGCTTACCTGTACATTGAAAACATTGAATGAATGCAATGAAAATAAATAATGTAATTAAATAACATTTTGTAAATAAGCAAAATCATACATACCTTCATTGCATCTTTCTCAAGACCTTCCCTGGCTAATCCGAAGTCTCCGATCTTCGGTTCCATATTTTTATCCAATAAAATATTAGCACTTTTAATGTCACCATGAATAAGAGGTTTTTCTCCGATTGTATGTAAATATTGCAAGCCTCGAGCAGTTCCCTTTGCAATTTCATGACGTTGGATCCAGGTTAGAGGTCGAGTATTATGACGAATTTGTAATCTATCTTCGAGGGAGCCATTTCTCATAAATTGGTAAACAAGACATGGTGCTCCACCACCAATACTAAATGCGTATAGTGATAAAATATTTTCATGAGGTCGAGAATTGAGAATAGTAATTTCCCTGAGTGACTGCTGCAGTTGCATCATGTATTTCTCGTCAGACTCTGGACCCCTGCGTTCTATTTTTTTGATGGCAACATCTGTATTCTTCCAGGTTCCTGTAATTAATAATTAATATTATAAAATTGCATAAAAACCTTAAATTCGAAATTAAATAAATTTCTTTTCCTTTATTTTGCATACCTTTGTATACAATTCCAAAGCCTCCTCTCCCAAGAATGTAACGTTTATTCCAACCATCTGTGGCTCTCATCAACTCATCATAAGATATTTGTGGCAAAACTGAATGTGTTTTGCTCATTGATAATTTATTTAATTTATCAGATAATTTAACATGAACCAAACCCGGTGAAATTAATGGGCTCGCGACTGCTGAATTATTGGAATTACTGGGATCATCTGATTTAAGATTATTCACTATTTTCACATTTGGTTGATTTGGCGTAACATTTGTTGAAATGTCTATGAGACATGAAGTTTTTTTATTAAGTTTTGGGGTACCTTCTGGGATATCCTCTTTTACAGTTTGAAAGTTTTGGTTATTCAAGAGATTCATCACTCTCTTTTCACAATTATCTATTAAAACGTGATATTTGTTATTTACAAAAGATTTTAAAATAATCATGGCACGATAATGTTTCATTTTAGAAAGCAGAATGAATAATTCTAATATTGTATGATTGTGGATTGACCACATTGATAGTAGCTCATCAGTTGGATTTCTTTCTTTCCTGAGATTGTAAATAGTTGATACATCATACTTCATCCAAATGCCTATAATGATTTTTAATTCACAAATGTTATTACTTATTAGAAATAATATTTATTTTTTAATAATATTGTTAATTAAAAATAGATAAAAATATTTACCTGCAAGTTGTTCCCATGTACTGTTTTGATTTAAAATATTACATAGTTCCGTTCGTTCACGAAACGGTAAATCATAAATGTATTTTATTTTTTCGTGTGCTAGTAATTTTGACATTGTGTACAAATAATGCAACTACTACAAATTGACAAAAATTTCAACTCTGCACCGATTTCATCAGCCAATAAATGTTAAAGACAGAATTTTAATTATACTTAATCAATAATATATTTATTGATACAACACATCACAGAAATATAATGAATTATATACTGACTGGTCCGAATTTCTTATTTTGATAATTGAATATTTGTAAAATTTACTTTAAAACTGTAATGAGACCGATGTACTCGGTTTGAAAGACAGCGTCCAACTGAGGTCAGTGGGGTGAGTCTTTTCTACCGTTTCGCCCCTTGAAAGGTAGTGAGAATAATGCAACAAATAAAATAAGAAATATCCTAATAGTTTGTATCCGTGACGTCAGTGCGAATGTTTATGATCAATTGTTGAAAGACCATTTATTTACAAGGTTAAAGTCTAACAACCAAGCAATTGACCTGCAGTCAAGTGACCCTTTTTGACGGTTCCTCAGGTAGATTTTAAAGTGAGACAAACTCGGTTTTATTGGCAATTGAGTTTCAAAATATGACCTTGTATTATCTCCGTTTAATAAATAGTAAACTGTACTTTGTTAAATATTTTAAAATAGTTAATATTCTTAATATAAAATTGATAACAATGTAATATTTTAAAATAGAAATTTGTAGAAATGAGCATTTTTCTGAATTAAAGTCACAATGATACAGAAAATAATTTTTGGAGATAGTGATGAAATATAATTTATACATGGCACATTTTCTGTAATTCATAAGTCATTCAACTTTCTGTACACAAATTCCATTTCTGGTCGATCTTTAGCTAGTCTGTTGGAGCACCATTTGCCTAGTACAATTAAGTTATAAAACACTTCGTTATGTTCGTCACCAGCCTTCTTGTCCGCTAACAACGGAAAATCATTTTCATTCCAATTATCCATGAAATCTTTTAAAAATTTATTTTCTGGACGTGAGTCATCATACGCTGGAAGTCCAGTAGCTAATTCAAATAAAACGATTCCGTAGCTATATGTATCAATTTTTGTAGATAAATGCTTTCCTCGAAGAAATTCATCAGGTAAATATGGTCTGGTTCCATGGATTTTACTCACCTTAATAAGTGAAAAAATTAATAAATAACAGAGTATTTATAATTCAATAAATTAATCATACATACTTTCATGGAATCTTTCTCTGAACCTTCTCTTGCCAAACCAAAATCACCAATCCTCGGTTCCATATTTTTATCCAATAAAATATTAGCACTTTTAATGTCTCCATGAATAAGAGGTTTTTCTCCGATTGTATGTAAATATTGCAAGCCTCGAGCAGTTCCCTTTGCAATTTCATGACGTTGGAGCCATGTTAAAGGAGAAGTTCTGTGTTTAAGCAATAATCTATCTTCGAGGGAGCCATTTCTCATAAATTGGTAAACAAGACATGGAGCATGACCACCGATGCTAAATGCGTATAGTGATAGAATATTTTCATGAGGTCGAGAATTGAGAATAGTAATTTCCCTGAGTGATTGCTGCAGTTGAATTATGTAATTCTCATCAGATTCTGGTCCTCTACGTTCTATTTTTTTGATGGCAACATCTGTATTCTTCCAGGTTCCTGTTGATAGAAATTTGACGTTAAAAAGGATTCTTAATTAATCATTGTTTCAAACATTATCCCTTTTACCTCGATATACAATCCCAAAACCACCTTTTCCAAGTACTTTATGTTCGTTCCACCCATCTGTAGCTCTTGTTAATTCATCGTAGGGTATTTGAGGTAAAGTAGATTCGGCTTTACTTAAAGTTAAACCATTTAACTTGTAGGATAATCCTCCTCGATCCGGTACAGGTGAAATACGTGGTGGTACAGGACTTGCGGCTAACATATTATTAGAATCACTAGGAGACATATGCAATAAATCAATCGGTTCTGCCTGATTAAGAATTTTTGTATTAGGTTCTTTTATTACTACTTTAGGAGGTTCTGTGTTGGTAGAAGAAGCATTATTGAAATTTTGAACACCTATTTTAGGATCTACTTCAACTTTTAAAGATCGTTGACGACCTAACAAACTTATTAAATTTCCTTCTCCTTTATGTATTAAGATGTGAAATTTTTCATCAACAAATGGTTTTAAGACAATCATTGCTCGATAATGTTGCATTCTGGAGAGCAGAATAAATAATTCTAATATTGTATGATTATGAATGGACCATAGTGTTAATAACTCTTCTGTTGGATTTTTTTCTTTTCTTAAATTTTGAACAGTTAATACATCATATTTCATCCAAACTCCTGGAAAATGTATAATTTATGAATAGCAATATTTTATCAAAGTATTCCATAGTGAAACTAATAAATATTATATTCTTACCAGCAAGTTCTTCCCATTTATCATTTTGATTTAATATTTTACATAAATCTGATCGTTCAAGAAAAGGTAAATCATAAATGTATTTTTTTTTTTCGTTTGCTGACGTTGATGACATGTTGTATGGAAACTGTATGCTCACGTGGATAACAAAACTATGAAACAACAATACACTTTCAGACAGTTCATACGATGTTAGTTTCTTTAGAATGGATAAAAAGTCTTCAGTATTTATTCTTATTATATATCCGTTGGTGTCTTCTCATATGTTACAAATATAATTAATTCAAAATGTGATTGTCCATTATACAAAACATGATTTAATTGAAGTTGACGACGTTAAGGATATCACTTCTATGTATATTTGGTATCATACCTTGTCAAAAACACTTATCATTTTATCATAGAGCACCTGTTTCGACACTTTTTATCGTCTCTTTTTTAAAACATCAAGGAAAGTAGAAAAAATAGAAATTTTCTGTAGAAGAAATAGTTTTAGGTTACAGCCTAAAACTATTTAACTGAGCATATCTTATCATGATAATTATAAAGTGGGAGCTCACAGGGGACTTTCCCAGTGGTTGTCTATCGTAGCTGTGATTGTATTTAATATCAATTAGTCATATCATAAAGTTTATGCAAAATAAATATAAGTAAATATGAAAAATCATCATTTGAATTTCTTTTATCTGCAAAAGCAATGATTTCTCTTCAAATGTTGCTTTAAAGAATGTTTTATTTTTATTGGATCAAATTCCATTATAGGATAAATAAATGGAAAAAATTTAAAAAAATAATCTAAACAAAATTCTGATAATCTTCAGTGACCTTGACCACTTTTGGAATAAGAAGCTTGCTACATCTATAGACTTTCTAATGAAGTACCATTACTCTTTACTTTTACCGATTGTTGGTATAATTTTAAGAAAAATTTAAAATTCGCACGTCGTAAAACTGATTGTGATTTGCTGAAAACAGTCTTGATAAACATCTCAGACCAATCAAAACAGGAATATGATCCACCAGCTTTTGTAATTGGCTACTCACAAATGTACAAGCATCTGTTTTATCATCCCTTTGTCAGATAAAAATGCGCGGTCAAAAACTTCATTTATCTTTTGTTTCAATAAATATTCGTTATATAAAAAAATTTATGACTTAATATTGATGTATTTTTACAATTTTTACTATTCCTATGCTTTTGCGAACATTCATTCATTCAATAAAGCGTTGCCTAGGAATTTGGCGCGAAAAAGGCCTTCATTATCATGAACAACAACAAAACCGACCAATCAGCATTAAGAACTAAGCGTCATTACCCAAAAATAAGGGGAATTTGGCGCGAGAAATCGTCACGTAGTCTGGAAAGTTTAACGAACAGGTCAATGCGAGTTTATTCGTTTGTTTAACGAGCTTCGAAGCAGACCTTTGTGCATAATTTTCAAAGATAACCATGGCTCTTGTTGAATCTACTAAGGAAAATGTCTTCTGGCGTATTGAAAATATGAAACTGAAGGAGAATGTAAGTAATTTTTAACATTTTTTAATCATTTTTCCACTTTAGTTTATTAATAGATTTATGAAAGACCGTTGCATACTACTTCAACGCCCAAGCTGATAAGAAATTTTTGAACACGATTATTAGAGCAAATATTGGATCAAGATCGATTTCGATGAATTTTATTTCAATAATTCAATTTTCTTTTTTTATTTCTTGTGTACCTAGTCAGATGGCTTTTATTTTATTACGAAAATTTGTATGTGCATCACTCTTATTTTAGTCATTTTTATTATAGTTCAAAAATTAATTAACTGAAATTTTAAACAAACAATTGTATCAATTTTATAACTTATTAATATTAAGTACATCATTTAAGGATTTATTAGTAAAAGATTTTTAATGATTATTTTATTTTTTACTATAATTGTTATATATTAATTATCATAGATGTTTTCAAAGCAAAACGGAGTTACAGCTTAGAATAGAACAAAAAAGTTCTCATGTAGTTCATTAACAGAATTAATTATTTTTTAATTGAATAAAAATCCATTTGGCATCTAACATCTACGTGTAGCCATAAATAAAATTTATTTTATTGATTAACCAATTTAATTGTTGAAGTTTCAATGAATAATAATCATAAATTGATAATTTTTCAAACAATACAATGAATTTATTAATATTTTTACGATAATTTTTGTTAACAATTTCGTCACATTCCGTAACAGATTATCGATTCTGTGATAGCTATATATGTCTACAATGTAGTCTTTCGTTCAACTTAAAGATGAATAGCTTACCTATTCAACACAAATAATAAAAATAATATCAGAGTAACATTATTTTTCTGGTTTCTTGATCAGCTAGAAATATCTAGAATGATGATTCAAGTATTATAATGTGTGTTGTTATAATGTAATTGTAGATGATAATGCAAAAAAGCATGTGATATCTTTTAACTTGTGAAAAAACGCTTCTATAATTCTCAATTATTTTTAGATTTCTCCTAAAAAGCCAGCTGATTCACCACCAAGAGGTTCATCACCTAAAAAACGCATGTCATCCGAAACATCTCGTGAACAGATGGTGAAAAATCAAGTGAGTTTGAACTTGAAAAATTTATACACAAGTATTACACTTCTGTTGAGCCGCTAATTCAAATAACTAACCTCACCGACTTTTCCACGTTTCAGGTGGAGCATCCTGAAGTTAAGAAATTGGAATTTCAAGAGAATGGTTTTGATCCTCAGGTAGAACCTTTACTCAAAGAAAATCCTAGAAGATTCGTGCTCTTCCCTATTCAATGGCCAGACATTTGGAAAATGTACAAGAAAGCCGAAGCTTCTTTTTGGACAGTTGAAGAAGTTGATTTATCCAAAGTACTACCTTTTTACAATAATATAGAAAATAGTTTTCTATAATTCTCATATTAAAGATAATAAATATTAACTTATAAAAAAATTTTTATTAAATTTCGTAGGACATGGACGATTGGGCCAAATTGACAAAAGATGAAAAACATTTCATCTCGCATGTACTGGCATTTTTTGCTGCTTCTGACGGTATTGTTAATGAAAACTTAGTAGAAAGATTCAGTCAAGAAGTTCAAGTAACTGAAGCTCGATGTTTCTATGGCTTTCAAATTGCAATGGAAAATGTTCACTCTGAGATGTATTCATTACTTATTGATACATACATAAGAGATCCGAAACAAAGAGATTATTTGTTTAACGCTATTGAGAATTTACCATGCGTTGCAAAGAAAGCTAAGTGGGCATTGAATTGGATATCTCATAAATCTGCAACATTTGCTGAAAGAGTAGTGGCGTTTGCTGCTGTTGAAGGAATTTTCTTCAGTGGTAGCTTTGCTGCTATCTTTTGGTTGAAAAAGAGAGGTCTTATGCCTGGTCTCACTTTCAGTAATGAATTGATCTCCAGAGATGAAGTAAGTTTTAATACATTATTTGCAATGATTATTGATCAAATTTTGTTGATCTTTAATTTATTTATATTTTTTTTATTACAGGGATTACATTGTGACTTTGCATGTTTACTATTCAGTCATCTAGTTCAAAAGCCATCAAAAGAACGTGTAATAAGTATTATTAGAGACGCTGTTCAAATTGAACAAGAATTTTTAACAGACGCTTTGCCAGTTCAGCTAATTGGCATGAATTGTACATTGATGTGCCGATACATTGAATTTGTTGCAGACAGACTTTTATTTGAACTTGGATGTCCAAAGGTAATACTTTAATGCTTTTTCTAGATATTTCTTTTACATAATTGGCTCAATTGAAACCAAAGAAATGGCCAATTATATGCTAATATTAATAGTATATAATAAACTAATTATTTGAAAAAACATTTCAGATTTATCACTCCGAGAATCCATTTGAATTTATGGAACACATTTCCTTAGAAGGAAAGACGAATTTCTTTGAGAAAAAAGTTGGTGAATATCAAAAGTTTGGAGTAATGCATTCAGTGGATTCTCAGGCATTTGAACTTGATTGTCCTTTTTAAATATTTTTTATAAGTCTGATCTTATTAATGTACATAACTAAGAATAATTTAGCCAATAGATGCCGTAAAAACGGCAAATACAAATTTTGACAGTTATAATAACGATATTGTTAAGATTGAAAATTCTTATTTAGTATTGACATATTTTGTATTAAAAATTTTATTAATAGCAAGAATGAATTTTTACACATAAAACAATTAAATTGTTAATTTACTTCAATACTAAAGTTATTATTAAAACGTTGCAAATATTTTTTACGACAATCCATATCATCCACTGGTCTATTATAAGGAAGCCAAACTGGTTCACCAACAAAGTAACGTTTTGCTTTAATAAAATTCTGTAATTAAATTTTTTAATAATTAATACAAAAGAGTATTTTTAAACAAGTTTTTTGATATTTTTTACCTTAGTATCAAGTGTGAATCGATGATAAATTCCGCTTGGAAGAATAATTAAATCTCCAGCTTGCACTTCAATTCTAATCCACTCATCATTTTTGTCTCTTGCATCAAAGTAGCCTGATCCATCCAAAACTAAGCGAATTTCTTCATCAGTATGTAGGTGTTCAGTGAAAAAATCTTTCAGCTATAAATAAAATCATTTGAATAAAATGTTGATGTTAAGAAAGAAAAAAAAAGAAACTTCAACCAACTTTCTCTTCATAATTCTGCAAACATTCTTTGGAGCACACAATCTCATCTTCATATGAATATCCACGTTCTTTTCTCAAATTTTGTAAAGTTTTATCTGTCGCGTAGTTTTTATGATCAATCTAAAATGGATTACAATAAATAATAATAGAATATTAAAAACAGTGATTATTAATAGTTATTAGTTTTATCTTACTTTGTAGTATTCTACACCAGTGAGTTTAAATAACTCATCCAAAGTGATAAATTTTGGTAGATCTCTATGATGCTCCAAACGTTGATCAACAGGTTTATCATCCATATACCAACAACGAACCATTTTTGACTTATTTAAAAATTATTTGAATGTGCAAAAATAAAATGAAACCTGGAGTGAATGCGGAAAAATATTGGTTAGGATTAAAACCAGAATAAGATCAAGAGATTAAACACTGTTCTCCAATTGAAACTACTGGTAAGAAATTTCTGCTATGTTCATTGTATTTAGTTAATGCGTAGATAGAGATAAATTGAACTTACATGTATGTATATGGGTGATCATTAAGTGCAATATATGACATAATGAACGCGTAATATGACATGTTTATGTTAGATAAACTGTTCTCTCTAATAAGGAATAAAAGAGATCGATACTTGCAAGCTTTATGTAATACAAATGATCTTTTTGTCGTGGTTAAGTAATTTTTCGGATCATAACCATAAATAATTTCCTGTATTAACATAATACATAACCAAGATTAGACATTCAAAATTGTGTGGCATGGAGTACTTGTAAATAAGAGATAATAATCGATTTCTATGCATTCCAAATACAAAAATAGCTCTTTTATTTACTATCTTGAAATGAAAAGTATGACAAATAATTAGATATTTTATATAGAAGAATAAGTACCAATTAAAGAAGTTACAACTCGTCTTTAGAGTTGGATTTTCAGGTTCATAAAAGAGCTAATTTATTGAACGAACTTAAATATAATCGTTAAACATAATTTAAAGGTAATATCCATGATTGAGTATTGCTAAAACTATAAAATTAATGACTATGAGATTTTAAAAGTCAAATAATATTTATCTTACACGATAAGCTATGAAAAAAGTTGAAAATATTGGTGAATCGTGTTTTAGAGCTATCATAAGAATGAGTAATGAAATTTATTAAAAATTCGTTGCCTTATTTTATAAATAAATGTCAACAAGTGACTTTAATTTATCATACATTTTTTATTGAATCCAAATGTCTGTTCCGTAAGTATTCATACATATGATCTGTCAGTACATGCATGAGACATAATCATCAATAAATAATGTATATATTTATAAAATTCCACCCTTTAATATTGTATGCATATTAAATAACTTCAGGTTTGGTTTTTTTTGTTTTTTTGTTTTTTTTTCTATAAAAGCATGCAGAAATTAAAAATATATATATACATTTATTATTTATGTAAATAATAATTGATGCTTATTACAACATTACACGCGGAATTTTCAATTCATATCATTATTATTGAATCTTTTAATAACTAAGTTTTAATCCAATCAACATTTTTGCATATTTTCTTATATAAATGCGATTATTTATTACTTTATTAAGGAGGTATTCTAGTTGAAAAAGCAAAAAATGAACATCTTTTTTTGAGCAAGATAATAATCAGTTTTCTCTTTTTCATCCGTTTTTTTTTTCTTTGCATTTTCTCACTTTAAATTTAAAATTCAGTAAATTTAATTAAGTTATTAATTGAGCAGGTAATTAATTCTGATCATTCATAATAATTATCATCTACTTAGGAAATGAATATAATTTTTTGTATAGTTGAATTTCATTTCAATTAGATTTTATGCATCTTCAATGGATTCACTAGCTGATAAAATTTTTTCTAAATATCTAATTATTGATCTTAATTCTAAATTATTGATAATATATCATCAAATATGATCATAAAACAATATTTCCTTTTGTGACATGGATCTCTTATTGATAGACAATAATAATATTCATTCATTGATTTCATATGTTTATTTTTTAATTAATCAATTGATTTACTCAATGAATTAATTAAAACACAAAATCCCAATCAGTCTTATAATTTTTTAATCCTATATATTATTTACTATGTTGCTTCGAAGCATTATTATTCCATTAATAATAATTACCTAACATAATTCATTCAAACATTCAATCGATGCATAAAAATGTTAAAAGATTTGCCGTTTTTCTAGCTTAATGCTTAATTTGATTAAGTACATTTTGAGCAGCACAGCTTACACTTTCATTCTCGTCAAACTCTCAAGTATTTGTAAAACTTCTTCTATTTCTTTTTAATTACAGAATTTTTCAATTCTCGAACCAATTAATTAGCCAAAGAGATCCGTTTTTGAGGTAATTTTCTTGATTGCTGGTAATATTCTTATTGCTGTATATTGACCATATCCTAGTGGTATTTTCAGATCTGTGCTATCCCTTCTTTCATTGTTCATTTCTTCATTTTGTTGGTTTAATACCCAAAGTACTCCAAATAGTGATACCAAGAATGTTGTTACGCCTACTATAGCCAGGATAGTTATTGTACATGTTTGAACTACAGGTCCAGAATGAAGTAGTAATTTCATCACAAATGTAAGATGATTCTCAAACGGAGGAATAGACTAAAGCATAAACAAAATTAATCATGTCATTCTTATCAATGAATTCGATTTAAAAATGATTTTTTTTTAATTTACCAAATCGGTCCAAAAAAGTGGAATGACAAGATTGTTGAATGGCTCTATTCTGCTATTATATCTGGTACTGTGCATAACAAGGTTTGTTTGCAACCTTGAGTTTACCTCCAGGGGCATCCCAACTTGCTGAAGAGGAAAAATAGGTTATTTATAGATTCCAATAGAGTCACTCTATTAACATTTATTCTTTGAGAATTTTTTTTAAAGATGAACAAGAAATGTTATTTATTAAAAAATTTTTTTACCGGTTGGATGACAGCTCTTGTTCGATGTTTCTCAGGATCGGGCTTAAGACCATCAATATCTTCCAAAAGACTTGGGTCAGCATCCAGGAAATGTGGCAATGAAATAGCGGCAGGAATATCTGTTGAAATAATTTTTTTAACATCTTTTTTAATAAGGAAACCAAAGGAAAGGAGAGAAAAAATATTAGAATCCTCTAAAATTCAAACCAGTTTGAGTGAGTGAATAACAGTGTGAATGTAATGAGTTGAAATATTAATTAGCAGTTAATAATAGCATTGCTGCTCTTAAGAAACTGGAATATTCATGAATGAGGAAGAAACAGAAGAAATGATAAAAAAATAGATTTTCAAGGATGAACTGTGTTTGATGTTTACGTACTGTAGTAACATGGAGTTAAATCGGAGAGTCCTTTCTTTAGACACTTTTTCATTTTACGACAGTAACACTCATTCTCCGGATTCATTTCAGGTGGATCTAGAAAGTTTTCTGATAAAGTGTAGGAATATCCAAGAAGTCCAGCTTTAGTAATCACCTCTTCTTTAAAGACTATTGGCAAAGCTCGGCAAAATGATTTTCTAAAAACTCTGAATACTGCACTTTTGTCAAGATGAGTTGGAAAAATTGCACCTTCAGTTGCTCCTTGAATCCGATTGCAGATTGTATTCCTGAAAATTTATCAGTATTCAACGTTAATTATCATTTCAGCTTTATTTGTTGAATCATCAAAAATTGAGATCCTTTTAAAATGAATATGAAATAATATTCTTGAGAAACTATTTTTCAGTTTTCAACTATTTTTTTTCTTTTCCAACAGAATATTTATAAACTTGATTTTTCTTAAAATACTTTGTTTATTTAAGATTTCGTTTATGAATCACTCAAAATTTTTATGACTACATTCAACTATGCTAAATTTATATTATCATTCATGATCTTATTTTCATTTCATTTTTAAGGTAATTTTTTTATTATCATTGGGTAAAGTCAAGTATATAATAGATATGTTGATGACGTAATTCAGGATATTATTCTTAAATTTAACTGTCAATTTTTTTGAGCTTGTCACAATTTAGTATTCACATATGAGATAAATATTTTTAGCAAGATATTTTTTGTAAATGAAGAGTGTTTATCTTACCCAGGATTAGTTTCATTGCCTTCTTCTTCTTGATATCCCCAATTTGACAGTCCAGGACTTCCATTATATTTATCAATGCTTAAATAACGACCATTTTCATCTGACATATTTTTATTTTTCTGGAGGTTCATAGTCACCACGTTATCTCCTTCATCGTACATCTACAAATAAGATTATGTTTATATAAAGTCTGATAAATAAATATAATCAAGTCACTCATGCTTGAAGTTTATTTGATAATTAGTTATGTAAAATATATGATCGTTTCTACTTATTACTTGTTTTTAAAAAACAAGTAAAAGTTATGGAACTTTATTTTTTGTTAGTTATTTTAATCAATAAAAGTGAACGATCATGGTGAAATCGAGGCACAGGTAGTGAAAGGAATCAAGAATCGTTGCAACAAAATACATTAAATATTGACACTTTGACGCAATAATAAATATCGAGGGGCTTAGCCGCATAATTGGGATTTTCCCAAAGGCTCATTAGTCAACGTAAACTTTGCGTGATAAAAATTAAACAATTTTTTTATCAAATTTCATTTGAATAATTCTGAAGAAAATTCAATAAAGCTATGATGCATATGAAAATTTTTTAATGAATTATTAATATAGAAAATTAATTATATTTTTAATGATTATAAATTATGTATAAAGTAAATTATTTTATTAAATGGAATTAATACTGACCCTGTCAAGTAATCCAAACTTTTCAAAGTTGATAAAATTAGGAACAACTCCACTAGCCAACCGAATCAGTGGATCATCAAAGCCCCAGAGGTATTCATAAACTGTCATGTTGACAAGTGGTTTGGAATCAAGAATATGTGTTATCTGTGCTAGAGGATAATTGACGAAGAATCCTGAATCATGTAAGGCTGAAGTAACACCCTAAAAAACATTAAAAATTAGACACTGTCTATTATTAACATTTGTGTAATAATAATCAGTACTTGGTATCGCTTTTTTCACTAATCTTTTTCTAGTCATTTATTCATATTTTACTTTTTTCAATGCAGCTTATTAGTGTAATTATTCTCAAGAGTTTTTTGTTAGGAATAAAATTAACCTCTTCACTGGAAGAGATTAATATATTAGGTCGTTGTAAACAAATAATTGGTGTAAAAAAAAATTTAGATATAAAAGAAAGTAAATAGAAAAAGAAATATAATGGATAGTAGAATTCAAGGCTAGGGCTTTGACTTTAGATTAGCATAAAGGATTCACGAGTTCATTGACTCTTATTTTATCTTGGTGGAGATTGAGTTTTTCTGTTTCTATAAATTTTAACCTTGACATAGCATTTGAAACGAGTCGCTATTATTTTAAAACTCATAGAAAAGAGTTTAAGAGACTGATAAATTATGCTAATTTGAAGACTTCTATCCTCTAATATAAATTCAGGTGGTCAGTTTACCAGTAATGGGATATTGGTGACGGTGACTATGTCCTTCTCAGGGTCTCGAGCAGATAAATCATGACGATAAGTCACTATCCTTTTTGGTATGTACGAAATTGTTCCGTTGTCGTGCCAAACGATATTAGTATTTTCTAACTCTTCTCTGTTGAATTAAAAATACACATATTTAATGAGCCTAAGAATGTGATTAATGGTTTTAAAATTCAATCATGTATGTAGTTTTTGATTATATTTTTTTCTATTGGTTCTAAGTTATTTATTATTGATACTTACTGATACACGTAAGGACCAACTTCTTCAACTCGTAATTTTTCTTCTCCTCTCAAAAAGGCGTCAGCATTGGTTATATTGAATACATATACATTCAATAGTACATCCACTGGTGGTTTTCTCCATGTAACGAAGACAGTTGATGTTGGTGTCATAGTAAGTTTCTTGAGAAAAAAAATATTTTATATCAATTTTATTTATTTTATATTATAAATAATAAATAACAATTGATAAATATTTCATGAGCCAATAGTTTTTAGTGTATAAAAAAATTAATTCAGCAAAAAATACATATTTGTTAAACTCTCTTGTTGTTTACATGATTATAAAAATATAGGTCCAAGGATATAAAATTGAGAAAGAGTCATAAAATGCATACTTGACGAATGTTGACTAAAAATTATTACAGATTGTATCAGATTATTTATTCTCAGGTGATCATGATTTATTTGCTCTATTAAATATTATTTCTTAATTTATCCATTAATACGCTGATTAATATTCATAAAATTTAATTCTCAAATTCTCAAAACCTATTAAATGTTGGGTTTTTTTTTTTTTATTTTCTTGGAACTTTTATTTTTGAATAATTCGTATACAAATTATTTAATTAAGACAAGAGACTTATAAACTGATAGAATGATTATTTAGAATTTATTATATAAAGTAGTATTGAAATTGAAATTTTTACTTACCCATTTAAATATTACTTCAATTGGATCAATGATGTAGACTGCGTAAGATAAAGTACTGCAAATGATGCCAAACATGAAGATGATGATACATTCTGAAATGCAGAAAATAAATATATATAAATAAATTCATAGAGTTAAAGGATTTTATTTACAAGACCTTACGTAAAACCTTACGGTACACATCAATTATCTGCCTTACTGTTCTTTTTACTTTCAACATTCTTTGATGTTTCATTGAATTCTACAATCTTACAAATGCTGACAATGGGTACACGATACAACTTAGTGCTCCATTCACTCTTTTTTTTTTTCCTTTTTAATTAAATACCATTGCAATTATCATTTTCTCTCGAATATTATTCAATCTTGAAACATTATGTTTAAATCAATGATCACATTAATAATTAACATAATTATAAAATTATTGAAAGATAAAAAAATTTTTGGAGCAAGTATTTATCATTTTCTATTTTTGGAGTAACAGTAAAGTATTTAAATGAATTGCGAAAAAAAATTGTGAGTAATTAATTATAAAAAGAAAAAAAAGATAGCAAAAATCTTACAGGAAATAATCAAAATGAAATGCCAAGTTCATGCGATAAACACATGATTGGAGTAAGAACATAATTGAACTGCATTTCAAGTGCATTCACCCATTCATTTCATTCTTAACTATATAAACGATAAACGCAATTATAAATCATTGACTCTGAAACTCGATTGATACTCATTACTTTATTATTGTCATGACATATAATGCAGTGAGTTGCAATTATTTACGATTAAATAACATGTTACAGAAAAAATAACGACAGCATAAAGAAAATATATAAAAATCTTATTAATTGATAAAAACAACAGTGAGACAATTGTGAAACATTTTAATATATATATTATACATTGAACTAATAAACTTGTTTGACTAGTTACTTAGGACGACTTTTATTAACTAATCAATTAATGGCCCCGAACTTTTATCCTTCTATTATTCGAATTATTACATGTATTATACGAGGCTAATTGTTAGATGAAGAAAATCGGAGCATACTTGAAGATTTTTAATCGTAAAACGTTCGTGTGTCCCAGTTCGCTGTTCACCTTGGCTTACATACTTCTGACACAACATTCCCCATCACCATCAGGAATAATCGGCAACACTTAGGAAAAAACCAATTCGAGATTCATCATAACTGATTAATTATATACCACGCGATATATCAAAACAAATTTTGCTAATGAAAAAACAAAAATTTTAACAATTTATTATTTGTTTGGAATTTTGGTGATACATCATCATGCCTGACTAAAAAGCAACATAACTACTTAATTGTTTTATAAAACGTTATTTGAACGTTGGTAATGTTTATAATTAAATAATATAACGTGGCAAAAAGTGGTATAAAGTAGAAGAATAAAAAAAAATATCAACATTTATGCGATATTTTCTTCATACTATTAATTGTTAATTGACTAATTGAATAATTTACAGTCTCTATTTTGCCAAGGCGGAATAAATCATTAACGGAAATGGTTTTTCACTCGAGGTGATCTGCATAGATTGCTAATCGACGATGATATCTCGTGGCTGAGACACGTGTTTATTGATTTGATAATAATTTTAACTATCATAGACATCACTTAATCTATTATTAACATGAATTGAACCTTTTTTTTTATTTTTCTTTTTTTTGTTTGTTGTACTTAGCGTTTTTTCGTGGATTGACATAAATTATTGAAGTTAATTACACAGTCTCACAGTTTTAGAAAAAATATTGAATTAAAAAAAAAAAGAATTTTACAATAGAAAAGAATTAATTGAACTTGAAATAATATTTTGAAGAAAAAAAAAAAAAAATGAATTTTATTTTTAATATTAAAAGTGTCTCTTTTGAATAAAAAAAATTGAGATATTCAAACAATTATGAGCATTCTAATAAAAACAAATATTTATGCATAAAAAAATTATGTTAATAAAAAACATAATTCATCAAAGGATTGAGAAAAATAATTTATTACTTAAAAATCAATTCGTAATAGGATCATTTCCATAATAAAATGTTTTATTCAAATAATAATAAACTATTAATATTTAAATAATTGAAAAAAACAAAAATATTATCACGCAGTATCTTTTATAATTGAGTACTTTTACTTTCAATCAAAATAAAGCTCCATTTAATTTTTCATCATTATTGTTGTGTTTGAAGTATGTCATAACACAGTCGATAACATGTTTAACTCTTTTTATTTGTTTATTTGATATTTTTTCAACATTGACATTGAAATTTATTTAATGAATTTTTTATCATGTCTCATCCGCAGAGAAGGATGAGACATACAGAATAAATACTAACTAAAAATATATTTCTAATTATGCAGTAGAATTGTCGTCAACTTAGATTGATATCTATCACTGTTATAATTACCAATTGCATGCATGATATATATCAACGATTCCTTATAGTCATGACACTTTATTCGAATTTATTGATAAAAACTCATTTTACATACTGTCGAGATATAATATGCGAGTAACATAGAAACAAAAAGTTGAATATTTTGCATATTTCAGTACTGTCTAGGAAGATTACCACTGCAACTTGCTAGTGGCCATCACGACATTGTTCTCCTTTTTATTTAATTTTTTATTCACTTGATATAATAAATGAGGAAACTGTTTTTGAATTCTTTCAATTCAACACGTGACATTTAATCAACTGACATCACCTATCTACTGTCAATCATTCTCGATACACTTTTTTTTTCTTTTTTTTAGTAATCAACATTTCAAATTAATCATTTACTTACTTTTTAACTGTTGAACCTGCTTTGCAGTCTTCATGATTGCCGTTGGAAAATTTGTTGCTCAAGTTTCTAATAAATTATCTGAAAATGAATATTATGATAAGATTGAAAAGTTTTATGGACTTTCAATGATTAAGTGATTGCGTTATTTTTCCTGTTTAGAGTTTATTGAATTTCATTCATGGCCAAAAGTTATCTTGAAAATTTCTATTGAATATTTACAAGTGAATGGGAAGTATTTTATTGGAAAGAGATTCATTAATTATGCAATTTTCAATAAAATCAAGCGAATAATATCAAAAGTTAACGGAAGAATAACGGAAAAGTCAAGAATGATTGAAAAAATTATTCATATATTTATTTTTATTTTAATAATGCATTCAATGTTCATCTTGGATTGATTAAAAATTTGTCATTGTCTAGAGTAAATTTTTTTATTATGATAATTTTTATACCAGGAAAAATAATTGTGAGAAATTATTATTAAATAGAAAAATTAATTTTTTTTAATATAAATAATTCTTAAATATCAGCAATAAAAATTATTATGATAAAAAAATGGCAAAAACTGAATGAAAAAGAGTTTTTTTTGGAATCAGATTACATTTCTTAGATTAGCTGTCATTCATTTAAATGAATGACAAAACTTCTAACTGCATAACTGAAATTTATATTCTTCCTTTGGGTGAAAAAAAAAAAAATAAAAAAAACTTAACATTCTTGAGATTAATTAATTATTCTTCGAATGCGTTAAGGAAATAGTACTACTTTTTAACAATAAATATTTAATTAAATCAATTTTTTTAAATTTCGAGGTTCAAGAATCGTGGGAATATCAATATATAAGATTTGAGGTGATTTAAAAAATTCTTCGAATAAATTAATACTGTTTGCTAAGGCCAAGAACATTTTTCGTGTCAACAATAAATTGGCAACTAATTGAAAGTATTTAAAATTAGTCACGAAATTAATTTGCACACTAATTTAATATAATATATTAATTTTCTTCAATACGATAAAAAATATTTTAATCACTTTTCAATAAAAAATAGTACTATTTCCTTTTCTTAATAAATTAATCAGTCCACAAGCTTATTATTTATTAACATCATTTTATCCATAACTTTAGAATAATTAAAAAACTGTAAATCAAAATTTTTTATTGATATTAATCAAAAAGAAAAAATATATACTAAAAATTTTTATTAATAAAAATTTGCAATAGATCACTTTTTGAAAAAATTTTGCCAATATAATTACATAAAAGAAATAACTCAAATGCAAGGTAATTTTCACTTTTTCATTAAAAACAAAAAAAAATATTATACAATGTTGAGGAGAAATTTTCTAAGAAAAGTGATTAAACTTACCTCGATTCATGCGTAAAAGTTGCTCAATAACGGCAACCACCAATTATTAAGATGCGAGATAAAGCAGGTATCGTTTGCCGGCAGGTTACACTTGCACTGCAATTCAATCCTAACTGTAGCGAGATTTGAACGGGGAGAGTTGCCCCGATAATGTCCACGTAACGATGAAGAAATCGGAAAATGTTATTGGGGCAGGTAGGATATGATGTAGCCAATTAGAGGCCAAGGTAGAAAGCAAAAGGATAAATAATAAGTATGTTATACAGGTGGCAAGTTTATGTGATTGGTAGATAAAACAACTAAATAATATATCACGTCGCTTGTAACAAAACAGAGATGAATTTAAAGGCTTTTAGCATGACACCGCTTCATTTTATAGTATCGGATGTCTGCTAACCCCACGACCCTTTTCCTACCACCTATCCTCCATCAACATCAGCAACACAACAGTTAGCATCTTTGCATTGGTTGTATTGGCCAAGGAGATGGTCGACACCGGGTCTCTCTCCCTCTGTATCTCTTTTACTCTCCAAGTCTCCAGATACCTCTTGCACGACTCTAACCGATCCAACCCGATCTCTCAACTCGTTTTCTTTACGATTTCGTCACTTATTTTTAAATTGCATGATCGGTAATCATCAGACTCATATTTTACCATCAAATCTACCTCAAAATTATTTACTTTATTATATTTATTTACTTACATGAATTATAAATTATTATTTACTTCAATTACATTAATTATCATCATCAAGTGATTTGTCTTCATCTTAATAAATACTTGAGCAAAATAATAGAGGGATGATAAGAACAAGTGTTATTACTAGATATCGTAATTGTGTAGTTTGTTATAAAAATCAACGAATTTGAATATGAATAATTAGTTATTCATTTATTATATACTTTTTTAAAAACAATTATAATAATATCATGTTAAATAAAGAAGCTTATTTATTATTTTGTTGAAAGAAAAAATCATATTGATGATTAACTGAAAAAATTCATTAATTAGCTAGAAAATAAACATTATTTTAATGCAAAATAAATTTTATTCATCATAAACATCAACAAATTAAAATAATTGATATTTATAACTATTCAATATGACTTTTTATTGGAACCATTCTTTGTTTATTGCATCACACTATTTATTATTAACAAAGTTTCAAATAAAAAAAATGATTAACTATCATCTAGTTTATAATTATAATTTTGGTTAAACTTCAGCTTATTAATTATTATGATTTGTTGGTTTGATGAAGGATATATGTCAATTGAAGTGTTAAAAATCAAAACATCCACTCAAAATGTCATTTTTTTATAAAAAACTGATGTAATTAATTCAATTGTTTATTAAATCAAGTATTAAAACTACGTCAAAAAGTTTGTTATTATTACTTCTTCTTCATTCAAGGCAATCATTGTCATTATCATTTTTTCCTCCAATAAAATTATTTTTTTTGGATACACTATTGGACACATAATGGACTTTATAGTTCAAATTGGTAGATAAAGAGCAGACTAATAATTATAGAAAAATTTTCCATAGTATGTGTGAAAGGTAGGCCTTGAAAATTGTCTGACCTATCACCCTTATCTTCCTTGTTAGACTTTCAAGTTGATTCATAATGTGTACTCATATATTATTTGATATATAAATACATGTATTTGTATTAATAAGCAAATAGTTCAACTATTGAAATACCAATATCTGATTAAAGTGGACATACTAAACGATGATGATAAAGAAAGGATGAAAAAGTGATGGAAAAAAGTGTATTATTCCAAGTGAGTGATGACAGTAATTTTACGTGACATAAAAGATTCGAGTGATAATTAATAACCGTATGGCAAAAATGATGCACGAATATATGCTGGATAGTATTTCTTAGAGACCATACATATTTATCGAGCCAACGTGAAGTTATTTTTTCTTATCTGCTGCTGCAGCTTTATAGACTTTAAAATGATTTAACTATTTGTAATTATATATTGCAAAGGTAAACAAGTACATTGGTAAATGAATTCGTTGAAAAAATTGGAAAAAAAAATATAAATTATTCCATTTATGTGTATTACAAAGTATACTTTAGTTCTGATTAATCATTTTAATTTTAAACAAAATTTAAATTCATTCTATCAATGAAAATCTTTAAATTAGCATTATTTTTGCATCAGCAGACGTTATTTTTATTCATAAAAATCTTTTGGCATCTTCATTTTAATTTTGTACAGTCGTAAAAACTATATACATCTCCATCCCCTTAATTTTATTTGTGATTAGTGAACCAGGTCCCATTAGAGAATCACTATCATCAAGGTCAACAGGCTCTTGAAGCTTAATAAATAATCGTTTATTTTATTACTGTCTTTGACTTAGCTCATATATGCCCCCACGGCCATGGTCATCAATGTTATTTACTTATGACCATGCACATTTTCAATTCATAGATTTGCCTACAAAGGTATGGCATGTAAAGTAAAAACAAATAGACTTAGAAGTTGAGTTTCTATTAATGAGTTTTACCATTTCTTCTTTCACATACAATACTTGTTTTATTTACAAAATTATCAACTGTTGACAGTTTTACAAATTGTAATTACACAGATTAAAATAGGTAATATTGTATTAGTTCTCAACATTGAGTACTGGTATTTAAAAAATATGAATGACAAATTGTTTGTTTTTGTTTTTAATAAATAAAAAATATCATTATTTAATAATGAAAATATATATGTTAAATAATTTGTTGTCATTTTTTTTTTAATCCATCAATGAAGCTATCACTCTTTGCCAGTAATCTTTGTCTCTGGTAATAAAAAGTGTCCAGAAGATAATTATTATTTTAAATTATGAACCGCAATGATTACTGCATTACATCTAATCCTGATTATGCAGACTATTCTCGAAGTTTTTAAATGAAAAAATTTTAAAGAATGAATAAAATTAAATGATGAGAAAAAAATTCATCTGATGAATTTAGAGATTTCTCAGTTATTTCTATCTGGTTATTTGAATTTTAATATTAATATAGATGCCATATTTCTAGTTAAGATTATTCAGAATGTCATAGAATTTTATAAGAATTATTACTAAAAATATTACTAAGTACTTGGGATAAATTGATGTGACGTTTGTTGACAGACGTCATATCATCTAGTCGACAAAAAGTCCACACACGCTAATACTTTGCGATACTTTTAACCTTGATTATGTATGCTAAATGAGCTGAAATAATTTTTGTTGATCCTCTTCGAGAGTCCAACTTGAATATGATAACTCACGTAGCATAAAAATTCCTAACCATCAATTTTGAAGTTTTGATTAATTGTTTCCAATTATTATTATATTTTCTGGTAGCTATTTTTAGCATCGAAAAATTAATTGACATATTTACATGTATTAATTTTCAATATCTTCATCATATACTGAATTATTTACGCATAAAAAATTATATTATTAACATTTATTAATAATAAAATAACTTACCATTAACTTGATCGAAAAAATACCAATTTTGTGGATATAATCATCTGATAAAGTCTTCTTAACATTAAGCTGTTCCATTAATTTGTTTTTTTATTAAAGATTCCTAGATTTGATGTAAAAATATAAATCCTAAGAAATTTTTTTAGATAAAAAGTAGGCGAAAAAAAATGTATACCAACAAAAAAGACTGGTGTAAAATATAAAACATCTTGGATTTTATATGAAGAAGCTTGTAGAGCTTAAACCTGTTCATTTGTTAATCGTTGATTTGTAGCTCTCTGGAAAATTATTCATTATCTAAGCAAAAAGTATTTTATTATATACCATAAATGACTATGACAAGTGAACAAGTCACTGCAGAAATATTTAACAAATCATCAATAAAAAGCTGGAAGTGTGCTCTTTATGATCTATTAGTTTTTTCCTTCTTACTTACATCTTAATATAATGTCCCTTTATTAATCTTGTCTAATTATCATTGCATAATTTAATTAGAAATTATTTCAATTATAGTTATAAAAAATTTACGCAAATTAAAATTAATTGATATTAAGATATTATTATTTATGGAGTTGAAATTTCCATATTAATTCCATTATTTCTTACATTTCTCTTAGAAATTCATTCTTATTGTAAATATTATTAAAAAAAAGAAATTTATAACACTTTTTCGATAGAAAATGAATAATTTTGATGAAATATATTTGTTAAATATATCTGTTTAATAAATGTTAAGAAAAAGAAAAAAATAAATTAAACAAGTTGTCAAAAATTCCCAAAATACCTGATTTCTTTCCATTTTGGAGCACATAGAGGAAAAAATAAAAAGACTGAATATTTTTCCTTGTTCTAAAAAAAAGATCTGCATATTAGAATTTAAAATATCGGTTTTCATTCATCTTAAAAAAATAAGAACTTTTGTAATTTATTTCTTAAGAAAAAAAAGTCAGAGTTCGATTTATAACCACTAAATTTCACCAATGACTTTCAGAAATATTTTTAACCTCTTTTACTATCTTTCTATTACTATTCTAAAATTTAATGTTGCTTGTTTTAGTTACCTGTAATACTTAATTATTTTATTCAACATAATCTACTTGTTTTGTCGTGATTCATCCAGTTTAGTATGTTTTTTTGTTTATTTTATGTCATATTGGATGCAATATTTATTCAAATCAAATTGTTTCCCATAAAAAATAATTTAATAGTACATAGAAAAATCTAGATTAAAAAGTGATTGTGAATATTAATGATTTTAATTGTTGAAAATTCAACCATCGTGGATTTTTCTTTGTTTGTTGTAGAGGACAGCAGGAGCTGGGTGATGACGCAATGTTATTTACATTCTAACATTGATGATAATACACTCTTCTAGAATATTTTCTTCAATAAACTTTAATATTGCATTCGAAAAATTAAAGAATGCATTTTACGATACGTTTCTAATTGCACTCATTAAATTATAACTTTAGAAAGATTTTTGAATTTAATTTTTATTCATTACGTTGCTTAGAATATTTTAATTGTTTGAATTCCGGAAACAAGTGTTTGTATCGAGTATGTAATTCGATATTCTGATGCACATTCAGTTAACTTCACTTCGGAGTGTTCTTTTGACAGTTGTAGATGTCGCGATGATCGGTAATGGCGAAAAATTCAATGCAAATTGAGCCATTTTTATTATTGTTTAGTTATAATTTTTGCAAAAATTAAATTTCTCTTCATATATATTTCTATATCAGTTTTATTTAGAATTTTTTTTTGTCTCTATGGAGGTTAACTCGGGAATAAGTACTGATTTACCTTGTTTACAATAAATGAGGAGGGGATGATTGAAGAAAAACTGTCATGAGACGTAGGAGCATCAATTTTCACAGTTGATCAATGTAATCGTGCAAAATTAATGTGTAGTTTGGTGCATTCCGTGAATTATCATCGACAGTGATACAGATTTGATAATTATTTAGTGAAAAATAATTTTTAATAAAAAAAAGTTTTTTTTTTTAATGTGAAGATTATTTATTTAAGCTGCCATATCTTTTTATTTATTTTTAGTAGAAAATTGAAACAAAAATAAATTAACACCCACTAAAAGTTATCTCAAAAGTTTAGTGAACTTTTCATATCTTCATTTTGTGGTTCAATGATTTCTTAATGGTATAAAATTCCAATTATTCCCGTAATATTTAACATATTGAAAACCGAAGAGTTTACAATAGAGTGGTGAATAAAAAATATGCCAAACCACGACTGAGGACTAGTATTTTTTTTTCTCCAAAAAAACAATAAGGTAAAATCACATTAGTGGATACCTTGATATATATTTATTTACTAATTAATTAATTAATTAATCAATTAATTATCATTATTGGTTTTTTATTTACGAGTAAATAAGTATTTTCCTTGAAAAATTTCCAGAATATCAACAATGATGGAGCTGAGTCACAGTCTAACTCTCAACGAAGATGCCCTCGACCAAATTCCTGAGGCTAAACGACCTGTTTTCGTATTCGAGTGGTTACGATTTCTCGATAAAGTCTTGGTGGCAGCTCAAAAAGTAAATCTTCATTATTTTAAACTTACTAATAGTTTAATGGTGTCAAGCCGTAGATGACATTTATGCAACATTACATTTGCTTTAATTATCATTATTTAATTAGATTATTTATTGTTATAAATAATCAATAGGATTTATAATATCAATTAATCATTTTTTATTAATAGAACGACATAAAAGGATGCCAGCAAAAATTAGTCGAACAGTTAACGAGACACATGCAGGGTGCTCCAGGTCCACCAACACGAAGATTGATAGCTCGATGTCTTGCTACTCTATTCAGCGTTGGAGATACATTTCTATTATTCGACACAGTTAATAAATGCAACGATATTCTAAAGAATAAAGATGATTCTCCAAGTTTTCTACCAACAAAATTGTAAGATATAATCAATATTTACTAAGATATATGCTCCTTCACTTTAATTGAAGAGACAAACTGTTGGGGATGAATGATTGATAACTTATTATAGAAAAAATTGCTAGGGGAAATGTATTAGGGGATTATAAATATTATTATTATTATTACAAGACAGATTTCACGCTTATATTCAGGTCAATGTGTCTAAAAATATAAGTACCTAACGATTATTATTTCCTCAGAAAAATTTTCCTCTGTCATTATTTAGTGCCAAGTAGGTTGAAATTTTTTTATAATTGTTTTTTTTATTTTTAATTTATTTTACTAATGGTATAAATTCATTATTATCAATTATATTAAATTATAGATTTTATTAACGTAATCTTTATAATTGAAAATCGATTATTTTATCAATCTATCATTATCGCAACTATAATAAAAACATTTTAATAGCTTAAGCATTATTTTAATTGTTTATTTGTACTTTGAATCAAATCCAGAGCCGCAATATGCTGTGTTGGAGCCATGTATGAAAAACTGGGTCGGATGATGGGTAGATCTTATGAAGAAACAGTACAAATCCTAATAAAATCTTTACGTTCAGCGGAATCTCAAGCAAGAATTGAAATCATGCATACATTAGAGAAAGTATGTGCTGGAATGGGCTCAGCGGTGACAAATGTACATAAAGAAATTTACAAAGTGTCTCGACACTGTCTAACAGATAGAGTAATGGCTGTAAGATGTGCCGCTGCCAAATGTCTTTTAGAAATGTTGAATCATGCTCCTTTTCTCTATACAACCGAGATCGAAAGCATGGCTACATTATGCTTCAGAGCATTTGAAGGCTCTAATTATGAAGTACGATGTTCTGTTGCCAAATTACTAGGAACTTTGTGTGCAATGACTCAACTTCCAGCACCAAAATCAAAGAATCCAACAATAGCACAAACTAAAAGCATAAAATCAATCTCTTTGGAAGAAGTATTAAATATGCTAATGTCAGGATTTTTGAGAGGTGGTGTTAGCTTTTTAAAAGGAACTGGTGAAATCATAAAAGGAAGTTCAGGAGTCAATAAAGAAGTTCGTGTAGGCGTCACTCATGCCTACGTAATTTTTGTACAAATTTTAGGTGGTACCTGGTTAGAAAGAAACATCGGAGTTTTTGTTGCTCATGTTCTTGACCTTGTAGCCAACCCAAAGGCCGCGAACTCTCATATAGATGCTGTCTACTCTCGAAAATGCATCAACTTTATTCTTCGTGGAACTATCGGTAAACTTTTAGGGGAAGGAGCTCAAGCAGCAGCATGTAAAGAAATTGCTCATGTAATTTTAAAGCAGATGAATTCTATTGATTTTAATCCAGAGAATGCTAAAGACTACAATCAAGAGACACTATTCAGTCAACATCTATTAGTTTGTGCTCTACAAGAAATGGGAAATTTAATCATAAGCTTAGGAACGACAGCATCCAATTTAATTTCAGACCAATCATTAAGTCTGATTGACACCACAATAGCAGTTTTAGTACACCCATGCCAAGCAGCGAGGCTAGCAGCTTCATGGTGTCTTCGATGCATTTGTGTTGCGGTTCCAAGTCAAATAACACCTTTAATTGATCGATGCGTTGAAGCTATTGAAAACATGCCAAGTTCTCCTGAAGATATTGCTGGGTATAGCAGTGCATTAGCTGCTGTTCTTGGTAGTGTCAAACTTTCTCCTCTAGGAGTCCCTCATACTAAAGGCAAAATTATTTTCAATGCTGCTGAAGAGTTATTAAGGAGTGCCAGTCAAAATAGTCGACTTTCTTTAAACAGAACTCATGCTGGATGGCTGCTAATTGGAGCTATTATGACTTTAGGAACTGCCGTTGTCAAAGGGCTGCTTCCTAGGATGCTTTTATTATGGAGAAATTCGTTTCCAAGATCTAACAAAGAGCTAGAGAGTGAAAAAGCTCGTGGAGATGCTTTTACCTGGCAGGTTACATTAGAAGGACGTGCAGGAGCACTTTCAGCAATGCATAGCTTTTTATTGCACTGCCCTGAACTTATTAATGATGATATTATTCGAAGACTTCTTACACCTATTGAATCTGCTCTTGCTATGCTTACTAATCTTACACCAGTTCTCAAAAATTATGGTCAACAATTGAAAGCACCTACTGCAATGGTTCGGCTTAGATTATATGAAACTTTGCTACTTTTACCTCCTCAAACGTTTGAAGGATCTTATACTCATTTACTTCGGATGTTGGTCTCAGAATTTACTCTTACGGAAAATCCAGGAAATACTACTACTTCCTTGCTCCGAGTTGTATGCCATGCTAATGACTCGGTCATTTTGGGAACTTGGCTACAGGAAACAGAACATCGCACAATAGAAGACCAGGTATTTATTTAATTACTTTGTTGTTGATTAAATATTATTTTCTAACAATAGATCTAGCTTTGAATTATGGTAATTGTTTAGATAGATTTTTCGTTGCTAATGATATAGTAATAATGATATTAGTCGTAAAAAAATCTAAAAAGTAATATTCATAATAACACTTAATATTCAATATTCTTCGTGCTTTCATTAATGCATAGATGGAACCAAATCGAAGAGCGGATATGGAGCACGTGAGTAAAATATAAAACGGTTAATTGAACACTATAAAAAATCAAGCAATAGATTTCATTAGCTGGATTTCTAGTTGATTATTATTTCCGTTAATAGTCTATTAATTGATTCAATTAAATTATTATTTAATTGTTTAAAATCTACTCGTTAGAAACATTAGTAAAAGTGATGTATAAAAATATCAATTGCAGTCTGTTGGAAAAAATAAAAAAATATTTATGCTCTTTGTTTTTCTTTTCAGTTGCAGCCAAATAGTGCAGCGGGTTCTGGAGCACTAGAACATAATGAATGTTGTTTATACAGACCTTTACCACCGGTGAGTTTTCATTTAATTATTTTTTAACTTTGTTTACTTTATAGAATAAAATAAAATCTTGTTATAATTTTTTTAACTTCATTAAAATAAAATGATTTTCTTTACTTACATTGAATGAGGTAAAAATTTAAAAACTTTATTTTCATGCTATTTATTTTTTATGAATAAAATTTTTTTTTCTTACAGAATACATTAATTCCGGGACCACTTCCTTTAGGAGTAGCTGTTATAGACCTCTCAGTTACACTGTTCGGTCAAATATTCCCTCGAGTTGCCAACAAACATCGTCTGCAAATGTTAGACCACTTTGGCGAATGTATAAAGCACGCAAAATCCGGTCGTCAAGAAGCAATTCAAATAAACGTATTTACCGCAGTTCTTAGCGGTTTGAAAGGCCTAAACGAAGCCAAAACTGGTTTCGGTCAAGAGGATGTAAAAAAATCAGCAACGAGTTTAATAGTGAGTACATTAGTCAGTGGTAATCCTATTTTACGTTGGGCTGCAGGAGAAGCCGTTGGAAGAATGGCTCAGGTAGTGTCAGATCCAAAATTTACAGCAGAACTTGCGCAAATGAGTTTTGATAGATTAAAATCTGCAAGAGATGTTGTCAGCAGGACTGGCCACTCATTAGCGTTGGGTTGTCTTCATAGATATGTTGGTGGTATGGGTTCAAGCCAGCATTTAAATACTAGTGTAAGCATTTTATTGGCCTTGGCTCAAGATAATTCATCACCGGTAGTTCAAGTATGGGCTCTACATGCTCTAGCATTAATAGCCGATTCTGGAGGACCAATGTTTCGTGGTTATGTTGAACCCACATTATCTTTAATTCTTACTCTTTTATTAAATGTGTCTCATTCTCACATTGATGTTCATCAATGTATTGGAAAAGTTTTATCAGCTTTAATTACTACAATTGGACCTGAACTTCAAGGTAATACTTCATCAATCTGCACAGCTCGTTCATCGTTTTTATGTGCTTGTGCAATAATGCAAGATCATCAAGATCCTTTAGTTCAAGCAGAAGCAACCGGATGCCTTCAACAACTTCATTTATTTGCTCCTCGTCATGTTAATTTGTCTTCCCTTGTGCCAACACTATGTAGAACTTTATCTAGCAATCATTTGTTACTTCGTAAAGCAGCAATTTCCTGTTTGCGGCAACTTGCCCAGCGTGAAGCAAAGGAAGTTTGTGAGCATGCAATGAGCTTAGCTAATGAAAGTCGAGACACAAATGTCGTTGAAGGTTTAACAATTACTGAAACAGGTCTTCCAGGAGTTTTATTTAGTCTACTTGATGTAGAAACAGATAGTGGACTTATTAAAGATATTCACGATACTTTAACAAGCATGCTACAAATGTTAGCAGCTGATAATCTGTCTCAATGGCTTGCTTTATGTAAAGACGTGCTTACTGTTGCATCAGAATCAAGTACACCTGAGGAAATGACTGCGATTAATGCAGAAGATAGTGTGATGGATAATGACAGTGCTGATGCAGAAGGCGACGACGATCAGGCAGAATTTCATGCTGATGAATCTAAGCAACGTCCTAGTGTATCTCCAAGATGGCCCACTAGAGTTTTTGCAGCTCAATGTATTCGTAAAATTATTTCTACTTGCAAAAACAACAAGCAAGCACATTTCGATCTATCGATAGCAAAAGAATTGCAACAAGCAAAAGGTCGAGGAGATTATTTAGTTCTCCACCTTTCAGATTTAGTTAGAATGGCATTTATAGCAGCAACAAGTGACTGCGATCCTCTACGTCTTGAAGGTTTGGCAACTCTTCAAGAAATTATTGATAAGTTTGCTAAGGTACCTGAACCTGAATTCCCGGGACATCTTCTTTTAGAACAATTTCAAGCACAAGTGGGAGCAGCGTTGAGGCCTGCTTTTACAGCAGAAACGGCTTCTCATGTTACAGCAGCCGCATGCGAAGCTTGTAGTGCTTGGATTGGAAGTGGTGTAGCTCGAGATCTTAATGATCTTCGTAGAGTTCACCAATTGTTGGTTTCATCTTTAGAAAAGCTTAGAGAAGGTAATACACGTCCTCAATTATACAACGAAAGTCTCTCCACACTAGAAAGACTAGCTATTCTCAAAGCTTGGGCTGAAGTTTATGTCGTAGCAATGATAAATGATGGCTCTGCTCCAAATACTCGTGAATCTTCTTTGAAAAATATTAACAAGACTGAAGGCATTGATAATGAAGGGTTTGGACAATTTGAATTTCGTAACGAAAGTCTTTTAAGCCTAGTACAACCAGAATTATTAAGTTTAAGTCAACATTGGCTTGCAGCTCTTCGAGATCATGCTTTGCTCTCATTACCACCTGAATTTGTGAGTCAATTACCTCACGATGGTGGAGCTTTCTACACCACAGACACAATGGAGTCTGCCAGACCTTATTATGCAAAATCATGGGCTCCGATTCTTCATGCTGCAACGCTTTGGTTAAATGTTCGTGGATTTGATATGAATCAAACGAATACAGTATCTAACAGTCCTTCATCACCTAATAATAACAGTAATAATGAAAATAACAGCAATAATAATATGAACATGAATAATATAAATAATATAACAGATAACAATATTAATTCTAAAAAGACAGACACCAACATAGAACGTTTCCATCTTCTTTTTGGCATTTGTATGGAAGCCTTATGCAGCTCACGTTCTTCAGAGTCAACACAAAACATCGAGACATGTCTGAGTGCTTTGTTTACACTTTTGGACTCCTCATGGGCTCGAAAAGTTCTAACTACAGATGCGTCACTTCCTATTGAACTTTGTAACGTTCTTCACAGACTTTTACTAACTCGTGAAAGTTACTCGATTCAAATGATGGTGATGGAAGTGCTTAAACAAATTATGAAAGCAACTCAAGAGAATTTAACAGAGAAGAAGAAAGTAAAGTTGAAAGAGATAAGTTCAGAAAATCAGGAGATAAAGGATATAACAGAATTGGATTTATTAGGCGAAGGAGATACAGAAGGAGAGCTAAAACCAGGAAAGTCTTTTGTTTTTGCTGTTTTAGAAGTCTGTCTTTGTTTATTAGTACGTCAAATACCGGCTTTAAATCCTAATCCCGGTGGAGCAACAGCGATTTTATCTCAGAAAGGCTATGTTCCATCAGAGGAAAATGGAAAGCTCATTGCTTCAGCTCTGAATGTCATGGAGACACTTCCTACTCTCTGTTCACCCCGAGGTGCTCTTGCCATCTTACCGACTTTGCTTTATTTAACTACTGGTGTTATTAGGGAAGCTGGAGTTCGTGTTGATAATCATAATGTTCGATTAGCTTCTGAAGTACCTATACATGCGGCACTACACTGTTTGAAGAGCTTAATCATGAATAAGTACTCGAGAGATGATAGAAGCAGAGATCAGTGGACTATGCTGCTTCAAAGCGCTCTTGCGAAGATAATTGACTTGGCCAAATCAGGAAATGACGAGACTAAGATGGATGATGTTACAATGATGCTCGGCATTGCTGTTTTTGTATTGCATGCACTACCAGAAGTCGTCAGTGCACCCAATTTACAATTTCCTTGCATCAATCATTTTAGACAAGCCATTTTATCAGATAGTACAATGGTTAGTAAATAATTATTCTTTTTTATATATAATAGTTTTTTGGCAGTCTACTCAGTCAGAGAAGATAATTTGATAAATTAAATTTTAAAAATCCATCTTACAATGTAGCCCTTTAAAATTTAGAATCTTTTCTAATTTCTCACTGAGTAAATGCCATTAGGTATTGCATAAGTACGTAACGTCAAACACTTGAAGAAATCTATGAAATTTAGTGAGCACTACATTTAAATTTTAGGTAAAATTAAAGTGTGTTCAAACACTTAAGACGATATTCCAGCATCCTGAGAGAAGCATCAGTACTCCTTACATCCATGCTCTAGCTCCTCGATTGGTTGAATATTTGTACAGTGATAAGAGTAAACAAATCCAAAATGAGTTGGAGTTATCGTATACTTTGGAATGTGTCAATACGATTGAAGCTCTTATTACTCTTGCGGAGCCAAAAAACCGTGAGTTAACATTTCAAATCTTCATTTTAGTATTTGAATATTTCAAACACTCTCTATTATTGCAAAATAGTACGAAGAATTCTTTTATTACATTTTCATCGTAAAAAATTGATTTTAATATTTAAATACATCGATATAAATAATTATTACGATCAATGAAGTACAAAATTTAATAATTTTACTATTAATTAATATTAATTACACGCGATTCAGGAGATTTAATGCAAGGTACGTCAAAGGAATATAAATTTGTTTTAATAATTATTTCTCTAGAATTTTCTTTTCCTGATGAATAAAAAATAAAGTTCTATTAAAAATTGAGATAATACTAAATGATAATAAAATTTTCTCTTTTCTTCAGGTATTCAAATGCTCACTCTGCTCGTACCAATATTGATAAATTATTTATTGGAAGAAGATAAACTGCAACGGGGTACAAGGTGGCAAATAAGTCTTCATCAACAGAGCTTTCAATGGTTGAATAAGATTGGTCCAAAGTATCCTCAAGTAAGTTGATGAAAAATGTTCAAGTATTGCTTTTCTTTCATTTATCATACGTCATTAGATATTGAGTTTTTGTATTCATTTTTATTTTAAATTAGCTTCAAACATGAATTATTCATCAGAAGGCAATTAATAATCAAAAATATTTTTGCAGGAATTTAAGACTTTAATGTCTCAATCAACTGAGCTTAAAATAAAGTTAGAAAATGCTGTACGACTAAGTCATCAACAAGCTCAACGGCATATGAAACAATCTGACACCATAAAGCCAATACTTGCTAAAACAATTACACCATCGATAAAACTTAAAACTGATTTTTCAAATTTTAATTAATTTTCTATTTTACTAAAAAAACACACATCTATAGTAATGTTTTTTTCAACTGATACAACAATGACGATTATGTCATCGAATTAGTGATATTAGGGTTAATTTTCTTATACATCATTACGTAAGATATTGTTTGAATAAGTTATCGGAGCAATTTTAATAATGAATGTCGTAGAGAAATTTTTAATAGAGTAGAGAATATTTAATGATGTAAAAAATCATATAGTAGGATATAATGAAGATTGATAGAATAGTTGGGTTTGATATTTTTAAAAATGTATTTTTTTAATTCTCAGTAAGCACAAATTTAATAATTGTAAAAAAAAAATATACGAATTATTTATGAAAGTTTCCATTATAAAAAGTGTCAACAAATGTTGAGGGACGCAAAAGTTTATAGTATCTTAATTTAATTAAATCAATAATATGGAAACAAAAAATTCGACAAAGAAACAGACGAGCTACATGAAATTTTCAACGAAGATTCATTTTATTGATTTCTCCAGAGTATTTTCTTATTCTTTAATTAACAAAAAATATGTCTCAAATGGAATGAGAAAATGTTATATAGTACAGAAAAAATGACAAAGTTCTAAAAAGATAAACCTAAAAATATGATGTGGACATCGTATACACCGAAATAATTCTATTAGTAACGAATTTACATGCGTCATATGCTCATTTAAAATTATATTATATAAAGGTAATATTTAGATGTAAACCATTCTTCCAGTGACTATTTAATGAGTAATGAAATTCATAAAGTAGAGACAAAAATATTTATTGATGTATTAGTGAATATCTCATCGAGGAAACAACTTTTTTCCTTGGATAAATAACTGTTTTAGAATGATGAAATGTTGTAGATTTTACTGAATATAAGTAATTAATGATGAAATGATATAACAAATCATCTATGCATCTGCAGATGTGCATCACAGTTAAAAAACTGAAGATAAATTATTTTTAAAAAATTCATTAACCTTTTCAGTCCTCATCTGCATAAATATGCATTAAATGTTTATAGGATACTGTCTACGACAGTATATTTTATTTCCATCATTTAAACGACGTTTAGATTGTTTTAAAATTAATTTGTTACTATCAAACACTGACACTCTTGCAATTATAACAATGCAATTTTTATTTAATGTACAAATTCAAGAATTATTCATTTTTTATTGTGATGAAGTAAATTAATTTATTATTGAATGCAATTATACACTTATGAAGACATAGATTGTATTGATATTCAAAACAAATTGTATCCATTGTAGCCTATTAATTCTTTTAGATAATTCTTGTGTAACATTCGTTAGCTTTATACAAAAAAATTGTTAACTTTTCAGATTAATTTTACACAAGACAATTTTTATTTACGTAAGACTCTGGTCTAAATAGTTGGTTTATACCTGTGGGATTTTATTATCTGTTATCGAAACTTTCTCATTCAAAGAAAAATAAATACATTTAAACCGAAATAATATATAATATAAATAGGTATAAGTAGGCAAGTTAATATGAAATCCATATTTATTTTTTATAATATTAATTATTGAATTAATTTCACTTGTAAGTGAATTCCAGTATGTATCTCCAGCAAAAAGTGATTGATTTATTTATTTATTGGCCCTTAATTTGGTTAACATTGCAATTAATAGGCATTAGAATATTCTAATTAATCATTTCAGGAACACAAATGACAATCCGTCGAAAAAGAACTTTCATTTGTAATTTTTCAACAAGTATTTTGTATTTGAAAGGTCGAAAACTTAACTAAAGCCATCCTTCAGAAGACTTATATACTGAAAAGAGTGAGATAAATAATAGTAACAACAATTTTTCCTACTGATGAATTGGGGAAAATATTTTTTAAATTCATTTTAACGAAGATGAATAATAAACAAAGCCAAATTAAGGGTTTTTCTGGTTATAGTTGTTTAATTTAATTGATTGCATAAATATGTATAAAGAATAAAGACTATGTGTATACGTATTCAAATGTAATTGAATTATTAACCGAACCATCATATGATTCATATGGCCATAATAAATTCAAAGGTAAAATTTAATTTTTGGGTTCATTTTAATAAAGTATCAATAACCGTATTGATAAGATAAGACATTTTTTAATTTATCCCAGTACAATCCAAGCATTACGTTACATATTGGGCAAGAGTGAGGGTTAATGAACGTGTCAATGAAGGTAACAGTATTGTATTTATGCTACGCATATTTTTATCTTATTTATTATTATTATTATATCTTATAAATTATATCTTATAAATTATATCTTATAAATTAAAAAATAACAATTAATACCTTCTTTTTCATTTATAATCATATATACTAAATAATATTAGATATAATTTCTTTTAATATCAAAGTTTACCATCACATCACAATTAATATCGCTCTCTTTACGTTTAGGTTATGTGAACGGATTAAAGTACATAAAAGCTTGCGATCTGTGATAACGTGACCAAGAATTGTCATTATTGATTCTAGAGATTAAGAACATTATTTGACATTTGCTTTATCAAGTTTATTGTACAGAAATGAGTAAAAAAATTATTTTAGTAACCGGAGGAACTGGTCTAGTAGGTAAAGCTATTGAAAAAGTTGTTAAATCAGACATTAGGCCTGATGAAGAGTGGATATTTGTTGGATCTAAAGATGCAGATTTATGGTAAAATATTTTTATTATTTTCGTACTATTATCTCAAATTAAAGATTTTTCGGATAATTGTTTTTTTTTTTTTTAGTAATAAACAGAGCACTGTTGAACTATTCCAAAAGTACAAACCTACACATGTTATACATTTAGCTGCTATGGTTGGAGGATTATTCCACAATATGAAACATAATTTAGATTTTCTAGTAAGAAATATTATAATATAACCAATCTATTTGAGTTATATAACACTATTATTTTTTTCTAGCGTAAAAATCTTCAAATGAACGATAATGTTCTTCAAACTGCCCATGAAAGTAATGTCGTTAAAGTTGTTTCATGTCTTTCAACATGTATTTTTCCTGATAAAACATCATATCCAATAGATGAAACTATGGTGAGTGACAATAAAATATCTCATACTAAAAATATTTTATAGAAAATCTATTCTCTTTTAAAATAACTTTATTTCTTCTAGGTTCATAATGGTCCACCACATCCATCAAATTATGGTTATAGTTATGCAAAAAGACTTATAGACGTTGCTAATCATGGATATTTTGATCAGTATGGGAGAATGTACACTAGTGTAATACCTTGTAATGTTTTTGGACCTCATGATAATTACAATCCTCACTCGAGTCATGTAATTCCTGGACTTATGAGAAAACTTTATGATCTTATAAAAGAAGGTATTTCATAGCTATAAGGTTGATAACATTTTATAAAAAATATAGCACCTATAAATCATAAATAATATTCTGTACATTTTTTTTTGAATGGTTCTACTTATTAAATTTTTTTTGAAATATTTAAAAAAATACATATGTCCAATGATATTGGTTTTAGGTAACACCGAGGATAAAGTATTTACAGTCTTGGGTACAGGGAAGCCTTTGAGACAGTTTATTTACAGTTTAGATCTAGCTAAGCTTTTTATATGGGTTTTGAGAGAATATAATTCCGTTGAACCAATTATATTATCTGGTAAACAAATATTTTCATTTAATACTCCAATTATTAGTTATTATTAACCAATAAGAGCTTTCTATGCAAGAAAAATAAGTTAAAAAATAACATTGACTCATCTTTTGACTGTTACTTTTTTAGTGGACGAAGCAGATGAAGTGTCAATTGCTCAAGTAGCAGAAACACTTGCCAAAGCGTTTGATTTTAAAGGAAAAATAAAATTTGACACAACTGCAGCAGATGGTCAATACAAAAAGACAGCGAGCAATGCGAAGTTGAGAAGTTTCTTACCTGACATGAAATTTACTCCTTTTGAAAAAGCAATTAAAGAATCTGTCGACTGGTATTGCGAAAATTACAGTTCTGCAAGAAATTGATACATCAAAAATAGTAATTAAAATAATTAAACAATAAATACATATTTTATTTCAAATTATTTTCTTACTAAAAACATCCTAAAGTCATATTTTATACACAGTATTGCTTGAATTTATTGGACTCTAATTATTTATAGTATTTATGAGTATTCTAACCAATAGTCTAATTATTTAAAATTAAATTAAAGCTATTTTAAATAAATTGTTCTTCAAAGAATACTATTCGCAATACTTTTACATAGCTTCAACATCATTCAATGTACTGTTGACAACTTTATAATAAAATCTTTTTCGCAATGCATGTAAGCTAATGACAGCAATCAAGTGAAAGATTAATTAACCAGCATAATCTAATTATCGATTTTCAATAAACGCCTCGACTTTTGGAGCCACATCATGCCTATATTTAAGTTCTCTAGGTTACACTGTGTAACAATGCTAAGAAAAAATATATCAACTGGCGTTAAATTCGCCAACCGATTGCAATTTTCACGTACGTCACATTCCTGCTTTACATTCTCTTTCTACAGACACACAATCACATGCGCTATTCCAGTCGTAATTTCTATTTCACGTCTTCTTCTCTCTATCATTCTTTATTCTTCTTTGTTATCTTAGTATGTGTGTAAGTGGTTCCAAAAACGCGTGCGCCAAAGCGTCGAGACGCCGACGCCGTTCTCTTCAGTCTTCTCTATGATTTGCCGCTGCAACTTTTAGCTTTCAGTGCGCTCAAGCAGCTTCTTGTTAGTGGTTGTTGTTTGTCTTTTCTCTTCAGTTATATCTATCAAAACAGGAAACAATGACATGAACACGTGGTTTAATGAATTTCGTTTTTACTTATCTATAAAGTTACTTGAGTTATTGACAAGTTCTTACTTCTATTCTTTACAATTTTTTTTTTCGTTCATCGAACAAAAATGATGACTTTTCGACACAATTATAGTGAAACAAGTGATTGAAATCTCAAACTGTTTTCCCGATCAAGCCGGTTAGTTTTTCCAACCGAAACTTATCTTCTTTAAGGTTTTATCTACACAACTTTCATTTCCTTTTCAGATATTTCTTTATCACGATTGAAATATACGGTACTAGAAGCTAAGCGTTGGTGGTGTTGTGAAAAATTAACTCAAGTGACACATAGTCTAGCGAAGGATCGACAATCTCTCATGGGAGTTAAGGCAAAAAAGAAACACTAGAGATGATGCAGAGTTGCTTGACCGCCCGGTGTATTTTATGGGCTTCGAGGACACATCAGCTTCAACTCCTGTGGGATGCAATAATCACTCATAGTTATAAAGTAATATTGACAAAGTCATCAAAATTTTTTATATTACATAGGAAAAAACATGAGTAACTATTCAAGCGTCAAAAATAAAAAGGGATGGAACGAAATTGAACGATATGTGAACAGATAAACCAGTAGATTGGAAATGGGATGACATTGAAATTAAATTGTTGTTTATTTTGAATTCGAACATGGAAATAAGATTTTCGGAGAGGTTTTTTTTTTGATTTTAACTTATTACAGTTGAGGAAGTGAATATTAGTAATATTTTGATTCAGAAAAGAAAGTTTTGGTTAGGTTTATTCACAATAATGAAATTACTTCATTTTCAGAAAGCTAGAGAAATAGAAGTCAATGATATGAAAGAGATAAGATGATCAAAACAAAATTCACCTTCAACACTTTCATAACAAATAATTTATTGTGATAAAGAGAATTCCGATAATATTTGTAATTCTGTGATCTGTCAACAAATTATAAGTTATTATATGATGAGTACTTTTGGTTGATAAGTCTAGCAAACAAGTAATCATTTTATGATCAAAAATTTATCATTCAACCTAAATTGAAATCTAGTTGTCTAGGTGACAAATCGTTAATGGAGATCGATAGTAGACTACTTTTTTTTCTATTTTTAAAATCATTTTATTATACAAATTAGTGTATACCCTTTGTTACTGAAAATAGTTTTTCTTCAATTTGATTAATTTAAAATAATTTGATTTCAGTTACTCATTTAAAAAATTTTTTTTCGTTAAATGAACTTTATTTATTAAAAAATTGTTTTGCTAATCTTTACGTTTAGTATTATTTATCGATGTTCTTGTTATAGCAAGCTGATACAAATCGTAAAAAAGTTATAACTTTGTCATCAAATAAATAAACAAATTTCCTACCGGTAATTGGAATTGACATTTAATTACAACATTCAACACATTTCGTTGAAAGAAAAAAAATATGTCACTATTTATTGATTGAATATTTATTAATAAACCGACAATTAACTAATAAAAATGGCAAGTTAACAATGCGATTATTGATAAATATTTAAAAATTTGTAACCACTAAAAAAAGTGTCATAATTTGAACTATTTAGGGAAGAATCTCATTAAACTTTTAAAATATTTCCTTCTCATTACCTTTATCATATAATATGTAGAAGAAAGGTATATTTTTTTTTTGAAAGAAAAAACTATTCTCTGCTAAAGTTTCTTTTTATCCTTATCTGAGTCACGCCAGATCACGATTCTTTCATAAAAAATATATTTCTCACTTTAAATGATAAAACATGAGCTCAAAGAAGTGTGATCTATCTTTTAAAAAAATAGGGATAATGTTTTAAGTAATTTTTTCTCTGTAGTGAATAGGTAGATTCTTTTATTGTTCATAATCTGTAAGAAAAATATTTTTATGCGAAATGATGATAAATCATTTTTATTCTCTGTTAGAAATTCTTATCTCTCCTGAAAATTATTTCACTCAAAAAAACTTATTCGGGAAGTTTATGAAAAGATTTTAATGAAAGATTTTCCATAATATAACTTTGAATCAAAGTTAGTTAAAAGCAAAAGTTATTCATGTTTGTTCTCTGCTTTACATAATATATCATAATTCTTTTTTAACACATGCTTTCTATTTTTAGGTTCTGCACAATAAGATGTGGAATTCTGATATTTAATATTGTGGAATGACCGTTCGATAATTAAACTAATTGACTCATCGACTGCAGTTGGCATTACATAAAGTATAACAGCAAAAGCAGTTCATTTCAACAACCAAAGGTGATGTTAAAATAAAATTACATCACCATTTTAAGCATTAATAAATGTTGAAACCTGAGAAAAATAAACTCAAAAGCTTTTCAACTGGTGAAAGAGGAAAATTGTAACGAGGATTTCAGTGAAAAATACCACCGATAAAATACCAATTTAATCCAAGTGTATAAAATCTGAATTTAGTAGACACGTGAGCGTTAGTGTAGGAAGAAGAAGATGGAAATGAGAAACACGTTGTGTTTGTGAAATTGCCAGTGTGAACTCTAGAGAAATGGCGACAAAGGGATTACAGGTGATAGATGACAAACAAATACCAGGGACTTTATATTTAAATAACAAGCGATGGTCGTGGAGGTGAAAGCATTTTGTGTTAGAAAATATGTAAAGACATTAACAGGTTAAAGACTACATTGGATAATGTTACTGATGTTAACAAGGTTAATTAATCACATTATCATTTTTACGACAACGATATTGAAGTTTAGATGAAGCATTTTGAAGTTAATTGGATAAATAAACATTTATGTGATATATATATATGAAATAATGCCGGGTATCGTGGTATTTAGACGACGATGGAGCGTCGGAAGTGACGACCTAGTGGTCCCTGGAGCATTTCTCTCTATCGTCCATATTATTTGGTGAGTATGTTACAATTATCTCAATTAATTAACATCCAAATATCCGGTTAACCGTTCTAGACAGTCAACACTGAGTAGATTGCACAGTACTGAGAATAAAACAGTTCTAAATGAGAAGTAATTATTTTAGTATTTTCACTGCAATCAAGAGTTATTTATTAAATTAATTAACTCAATTGGTATTTGTCATAAAATTATACTAAAATTAATTGAACTGTTTTAATAGCTTTTATGCTCTGACTGAATACGTCAGCATTTCTTATCATATTTTAAATTGTTAGACAATTCAAAGAATATTAATTAGAGTATGAGAATAATAATGACTTTAGCATGTTGTTCATAAAACATAAATTGTCTACGAAATTTATCAGCCGTTAAAAATTAATTTTTAATTCGAATTAAAGTTTTTATACATTGTAAAGAATAATATCTTGCTCCAAAATGTGAATTCTTGAACATTATTTTTAATTTAAATTGTAAATTGGATTATAATGTGAACCTAGTGTAAACATATCCATTTTACACATTCTTTTAACAAAGTAATCATCTTTTTATCCTGAATAATTTGATAATTTATTATTCAGAAAATAATCATAGCATTATATAACACAAAAAGCTAGCTTAGGATATATAATTCAAGTTCATTCAACTACCTACAGCCCTTTTTTTTTTTACTTACAGCAATTAATCACAGCAAATTAAATTAATCATATTTTATTTCCCTTATCGGATGATTATAGTAGATATATATTTTCATCTATTCTTTACTGTAATTCATAAAGTATCTTCAGTAACGTGAGAATGTAGTATCTAGTGTATTGTATTACCAAGCAAGAAAGTGCTCAAAATTCAAATATAAAGTTTATTTAATATAACTATATATGTGATATAGTGTAGCATAATAGACTCTCAGTCTGTGCTCAGTTATCTCAACCATTTGTAAGCTGAGTCAGACTTAAAGTTGATAAACGACTTTTGATTTGGTGGTAGTCGATAACCATGTGGCAAAATTTCGTACTAAGTTGTCATCAATATTAATCTTGTTAGTTAAAAAAAAAAAACATACAATAACAATTTTCAATCTGTTTAGTCTCTCTTCAAGAAATGTTAATTCGTAATAGTTTCATTTGACTTTGCTCAAGTGTTGAAGTTGTTAAGTTAGAGACTTCTGCGTTAATCTATTTACGTTCATTAATTTTCTGTAATTTATTTGCATATTTTACATTTACTGCAATGCCGGGTCTTGTGGTATTTAATAGGCGATGGTGCGTTGGCAGTGACGACCTCGTTAAACCTGCCTTTTTGCTAGGTTGCGTTCATCTTCTCCAGTGAGTTTTAAACAAGGTGTTTTACTTACGTCACTAACTTGTGGAAATAAAACAAAAGTTTCACTTCTTGAATACATATTTTATACATGATATATAAATATGAAGTAGATTGAGTTAAAGCACTTGAATTTATGGTAATAAAACATTAGCAAGTTTTTCAAATATATTTTCAAGTGTTCACTTTATCGGCTCCGATATTCTACTCATTTTTAATGTATCTTTACTATTGGTAATGGAAAAAAAATATTTGGAAAATAGTTAAATCATGATTTGTTTCTAATGAAATTATTGCTTCTAGTTGGCCATTATTTTTTTGTATCCATTGAACAAATTTTAGTCCTAGTGATTAATTCTTAGACTGGAACTATTGATTTCGTTTTTTTATTTCTCTTCTATGTATGTATTTTTTTAGTACTTTGTTATAATCGTGATAGAAATGGTAAAAAAATATTTGCCATATATTATAAAAGAAAATTGAATTCAAATAATGCGAATTTAATTTGTTCTGTCATAAAATAGGAATTTAGTTAATCTGATAAAATTGAGAAACCCAATCATGCTGTAATCCATTCATAAAATTAATATTTTTTTCCAAACTTTCTTCACATAAAATAAATTATTATTTATTATAATAATTAAATATTCAAAATTTTTTGGATGATTTCATTTTATTCCAAAATATTTTCGTTATTATTAATATTCATCAAATGTAATGTTATAAATATTATCACAACTGTAGATGAGATTGATAATCATCAGCATAAATGATAATATTATTCATAATATTTATTATTGTAAATGAATTTAATATTCATGAATAAAGAAACTAAATGTCATCTTAGAAAATATTTTCCATCAAGCAAAATATACATCTCGACTACTTAGAGTTATATATTTTCACGAGCACAGTATCGATTTAGTTTTGTTTAATGTGTTTTCGTCGCCTTGAAAACAAAATATCAGCATGACATACAAGCTCATGAAGAAGACAACACGGCGCCCAATTGCTCTACATTTATATCACAAAATCATTGTAATATCAAAAGAGCTTATTAGCTTATTCTGATCAGTTTCTTCCTCATCTATCTTTTCAAAAACATTGCACGTTCACTTCCTAATGGTATTTCCTAATGTAAAGTATAATTTAACAATTTAACGCCTTAATCTAAGGCGAATGTTGGAGTCATCTGTGGCACAGTTTTTCATTTTTTTTATTTCAACCTCATTTCCGTCAGTCACAGCTTGTTCTACGTAAAATTAGACTAATTTCCAGCAATTACGAATATAGAAGTTTGGATAATGGATAAGAACGATCTTATCAGAATAGATATGAGGGTTGTCGAGTGGAAGAGAAGAAGAAAGATCACCGGAGATAAATTTTAACCCTTGTGAATAGAATGTAATGTAATGTAAGGAAATCGAACAACACAACTGCAAGTAGTATAGAAGCAAAGAAGAAGGGAAAAAGTGGCCCTTGTGGATCGATACGTCACAGGCCGCGTTACATTTTGCTTGTGAATGTCCCCCAACCTTTGTATTCTATAGTATTCTATACTCTACTCTTACTACTACTTCAATAACTCCCCCAACTACCCCAACATATTTTTTTCTGGCGGTTCCAACCGCTTGGGTTTGCCACTGCTGCTCTCCTTTCCCTTCATCTATGAATCATTTAAGGCATACCACCCCGTATAGCATTTAAATCGACTTATCGACACTCCTATGCTTTGATGAAATGAAATGCAGTCCGAGCTTTTATTTCCCTTCAAATACTGATACATGCATTAATAAATAAATCTTCAAATAATATGAATAAATCTCAGAATATTGAATGCATTCTCAGAGATATCCAAACCAAAATTTTATTTATCTTCTTGCTATCAAGTTTATTACAATTACCTCCATTCTATCATTTTTTTGTTGTGGTTGAAAATACTCTCATGAGAAAATGGTCGGAAAATGACTGTTTTTATATTTATTTTAATAGGAAACGTTGAATAGATTTTCAATCTATCCAAATATTTCCATATAAATATTTCAATAAAATATATAAATTTAAAAGTAATAAAGTTCTCTATAGACTTTATTTATGTGATTTTAATAATATGAAAAGCGATGATAGTTTACTTAAATATTCATAGCAATTTCCATCAGGATATAACATCATAAATATATCTACAAAGTAACCCAGATGGTAAAATAAATAAGCTGAAAGGACAAATTTATGTTTGATGTTGTCAATAAGACTAAAAGCTAAATGTATCCATGGAGAATATGGCCTAATACTGGAGTAGCTTAGTTGATGGTAATCATTTTCATAAATAGCTTCTAATTTATTTTCAAATAACTTCATTTTTTAAATAAACAAGAATCATCAGTACCAAATCTTGGCCAATAATTTAAAAAAGAGCCTACCAATTACAAACCTTTTTTATGATCTAAAATCAGCATTGATTACATATTGGAGCAGGAAAGATTTTTCCATAAATATCCCGAATTATTAACTGTAAATAACAGATTGAAATGGATTCCATTTGATCCATATGCTGTATAGATGTATTAAGTTTCCATTGTGCATGTGAGCGTTGAAGATAAATGACAGCAATGAGCAGCATTATATAGCATCATCGCATATAGTATATAATGGTCCGTCATTCACGACTAATTTCACATAAATGCTTCAATCTCACTCCGTCTGTTAAAATCAAACAAGAGACAAAGAAGATTAAACAGTAATGAAATTTACAAATCTTTATTGAAGAAAATATGATAGAATTTATGAAATCTGATGGCTTCAATTGTACCTCTTGATCCACGTGTTCACCATTTAGCTCGACAAGTTCTCAAGTGAATTCGGTAGATTGAAGAGGTTTCTACTCACTTCTCAACTTATTATTCTTCTATCTCTAGATAACAAGGTGTGCTGTAAAATACTTGGTAATGCTTCAGTCTTGTTAATTGTTCATCCACTATTAATCAATCCCTTTTTAATTCTATCAACCCATCCGTGAGTGATTGTTGTGGATTTATTTAATAGCAAACAAAGAATTCTATTTGCTTCCATTAATTTCTCTTGGAGACTCTAAAAATCACACTTTTTGTCGAAATAGCTTTTTAAAAAGTGAAATATTTTTCTTTCCATTCCCCATTAAAAGTCATTCCATTGAAGTTAGATAATAAATGTTATTTACTTTTTTTTTTTAAGCCTTCTACTTCAGGTATTGTCCATTAACCTACATGAGTTAAATGTTTTTGCTATTTTTCTTCCTATCGACAAGTCATAAATTTTTTTAGACACTTTTAAAATAGTCTTGGGAGTAATTATTTTGAACTTTTGCTAATATTTCACCACTGAAGAATGTTACATAAGTTAAATAATGGAATATAGAGAAAGTAGAATGTATTACAATGTCACAAAATCATTAAAATAATCAAAACATGTGTTTATCAAATTTATTGGCAATGTTGAGAATAAAATAAGATAGGTCTGGCATGTGTTAATCGACTACGAAATGGTTCATGTCAAAAATAACCATCCCCATTCTCCATCTATTCCTCATATTCACATGTTACTAACGTCTTTATATTTGTTCCAAGTCTTTCTTCACTATTTTCCTTTTTTTCGCCTTCTCTTGGCTTGGATACCACATTTTACTCATAATATTCACTAAA